GTATCTCAGATAGAGGATGCTATTTGTGATATTTGTCTAATGTCGAAACAGCACAGACTTAGATTTTCTGTTTGTTCCATGCAAACAACAAATATTTTTCAGTTATTTCACATTGATCTTTGGGGGCCTTATCATGTGAAATCCATAAATGGTGCGTATTATTTTGTGATTGTTGAAGTAGATGATTATACTGGGGCTACTTGGAATTTTCTTATGAGTCATAAGTCTCAAACAGTGTCCACCCCGACTCAAATTTTTTAAACAAGTTCATACTCAATATTCCAAAACCATCAGTCCTTATTCTAATATCATGGTATTATACACCAAAAATCTTGTGTCTACACACCCTTACAGAATGGGGTGGTTGAGAGAAAACATAAACATTTACTTCAAATAGCAAAGCTTTGCTCTTTCAGTCTGGACTACCAAAAACCTTTTGGGGGGGGGGGCGAAGGGGGAATCCATTTTCACAGCCACAAATCTCATCAATAGATTACCCTCAGCTCTCAATTGGAAAACCCCTTTCGAAATCATAAATTGTAAACCACCACAATTTTATCATTTACGGGTTTTTGGCTGTCTTTGTTTTGTCACAAACACACAACCACACAAAGATAAGTTTGATTCTAGAGCTCATAAATTATTATTTATTGGTTATCCCCATGGTCAAAAAGGTTACAAGCTTTATGATCTTGCCTCTAAGAAAGTTCTCATTTCTAGGGATGTTATATTTCATGAGACAATCTTCCCTTATCAGAACCAAGAATTATTGGTGTCAACTGATTTTTCACAGCCAGGAACTCAGCTTGATCCCTCCTTTTTTTTTTGAGAAAATGTAAAAACCTTTATATATAACTTGAAAGTGCATATTTACAACCAAAAATGTCATGTTCTAACAATTATACAAGATAGTTCTGTGCTGGAAAAAACTTCTGAAAAAACTCCCTTTCTGTCAAAGTAAACTTCATACTATGGTTTCCTTTTATCCTTACATAGAGTTCCTTCTGTAATTTGTCTACAACTTGTGCTGAAGTCCTCGATGCACCACTGAGAATTCGCCTATTTCTTTCTTGCCACACGTGATAAATGACAACAACAAAAGTAGCACACCACAGTTTATACTTAAACCTTGTTCCTATCCAAATTTTCCTGGCAACCTTTCTCCACAGGCTCCATTCCAATGGAAAACTTCCAATACCAAGCCAAGACAGAATTTGGCACAAGATACCTATAGTAACAGGACATTCAAAAAACAGATGTTGATGATTTTCAGGATGTGACTGGCATAATGCACAAAGAGGATCTACCTCTAAGATGAACATTAATGCCAGTCTATCCTTAGTCAACAGCTTTCCTGCCAAACAATCCACGCAATGAAGGCATGCTTAGAAAGATTAAAGGAGGACCAGATTACCTCTGCTTCTAGGGGTTTTGCAGTCATACCACTAAGCCATTTATAACCAGCAGCTATGCTATAAGTTCCACTTTCTGTTCCTAGCCAATCCTAGCCATTGAAACTAGCTTTCCCAAGATTCTTTATCTTTACTACTTGTTTCCAATACCAGCTAGCATCCTTTTTACTTTCATATTCCCAGATAGATTGATTTTTAAAGTACACTTCATTCACCCACTTTATCTAAAAAGTCCGCTTTTCTGGCAATATACTTGCTTCAAGATAGCTGCTTGGTTCCAGGTTCTAATATTTTTCAGGCCCAATCCCCCTCTTTCTTTCTCTTACAAACAGTATCCCAATCTACTATGACAAGATATCTCCCAGATTGCTTCACATTGGTCTGGAAATTAGCCTTGTTTTCCTTCTGAAATAAGTGAAAGAATAGAATCATCATTTTGAGGTATGCAAATCTGTTTTTTTATTGATCTCGATGATGTTGTTTCTTGTTGGGATGAAGTTTTGAGGTATGAAAATTTGTTTTCTGGATATAGAATTTTCTTGATATACAGAGTCTTGGTTATGATTTACGATGAGTCTGTCTTTTTTTGGAAATCTTTGTCATATAAGAACGTCTGACAAAGTGACATACACAATTCAAGTTGTGTTTTTCTATGAATGTCATTTCTGAATGTCTAATTCGGGTCTTTGTTGAAATCACTTTCTATTTTTGTTTAATTGCATGAATTTTTGGTCTTTGTGATGATGTGATCTCTCTTCACATCTTTGATTTGTTTATAATTTTCCTGAATTCAGTTTCAACATTTTTGTAGCCTTTGATCGGATCGTATTTAGGTTACAGATTTCTTATATACTTGTAGCTTGTTTGGCTTCTCAATAGTTATACTCTGATGAAACCATAACTTGTATCCTGTTCTTTTTCTTTTTCTTTTTTGGTTAAAATAGGAAAAATATTAAGGCTTCAATGTTGTAGTACAATACGCCGCGGGTAAGCTACACCCATTATATCATGGCATAGCCATCCCAAAACCCTTGGTGGTGGTGAATCCAGCCTGGTAAGCCCACCCGGATTCGATTCCGCCAGGAATGCCAAAAGATCTGCAGCAAAATTACATTCTCTATGGTAGTGTTTTAATTCTATGATCCAGTCTCTGTGAAGGAGCTCCCTAATAGATCCCAGAGGAGCTCTATAACTTGTTTTCTATTCTAATAAGTCGACAACTACCATTTATTTAAAGCTTTAAATTTGACCATATTGGAACTAATGTCCTAAGGGCATATATGCATGGTTACTTTATTGACTATCGTCTTTATAGAAAGACTCTAGATTTGTCAAATAAGTTGGTTGCCGACATCTGTATCCCCACCTGTTACGAACAAGAGTTGCTCCTCAACTTGCTCTCAATACTAACATCTTTTTATTGATCAACTAACGGCTGTTTTTCCAGAAATGGGGAATGAACACATTGAGAACACATTAGAAGAATGTGGCTATGATTTGGATTCTGCAATCAGAAGGCCGAATGAGCTCTGCAATGGATAAATCTAAATCCTTAGGAGCTTTTGTCATCAGAAGATTTTCTAAAGCAAAATAGGTTTTCAAAAGATCGAGGAGAACGGCATCTGCGGCACACTAAACTAGGCAGCTCGATGCCGGGACGTATCCATCCAAATATGTTTTAGATTTCCAGAAGCAATAACCTATAATCTTATAGCTTCCAGATTATATATTGTCAAAGTATATAAGTACTTTGAACTCCCATTTCAAAACCAATTGGCAATGAGTGGGGTTCCAATCTCCCAGATTATATATTGTCAAAGTATATAAGTACTTTGAACTCCCATCTCAAAACCAATTAGCAATGACTGGGGTGGCCTTTGGAACTTATATACTCAGTCACTTCTCTTCACAGTGGTAATATGGGACAGATTATACACCTTAATACCCTCCCCTAAGTCCAATGGGTCTTTGAAAGCCAGTTATACCGATGGATCGGTTCACAACAAGCCCACGAGTCAATACTCTAGTAAGAGAAAACCAGTTATACCGCTGAATCGGTCCACAACAAGCCCACGAGTCAACGCTCAAGTGGGTTAATATAAAATTACCACAGGTCACCTCCGGTCCAAAATTTCACCACAGGCGTAGTCCGTTCTGATACCATGTCAAAGTATATAAGTACTTTGGGCTCCCATCTCAAAACCAATTAGCAATGACTGGGGTGGCCTTTGGAACTTATATACTGAGTCACTTCTCCTCACGGTGGTAATGTGGGACAGATTATATACCTTAACACCCTCTTCTAAGTCCAATGTGTCTTCGAAAGCCAGTTATACCGCTCGATCAGTTCACAACAAGGCCACGAGTCAATGCTCTAGTGGGAGAAAACCAGTTATACCGCTAGATCGGTTCACAACAAGCTCACGAGTCACCGCTCAAGTGGTTAATATAAAATCACCACAGGCTACCTCCGGCCCAGAATTCCACCACATGCCCAGTCCGTTCTGATACCATGTCAAAGTATATAAGTATTTTGGGCTCCTATCTCAAAACCAATTAGCAATGAGTGGGGTGGCCTTTGGAACTTATATACTGAGTCACTTCTCCTCACGGTAGTAATGTAGGACAGATTATACACCTTAACATATATGTATTGAGTCTAAATTAGAGTCAAGTTTCTTAAATCATCTAGTACAAATTTAAAAACTCAATGTGCACTATTTTTTTGGACAGAATTAATAACATTTAAGCCGAACAGGATGCATGTTTGGCAATTCTCAAAATCATTAACGTCCATTCCACATTATTATCATCTACAGCATCATTAACAAGAATCTCATCGCAAAACTTTTCAACTACGCCCTGGCGCAATGTTCCATTTATGATAAAAATTAAATTGTTTCAAGGGGATTACTTGCGTATTAGAAAGAAATTTGGTATACTCTGTACGTATGCGAACCACATGAAGTCGCACTCAAACACGATGACGTTCTTGCTGTGGGATTGATGATTTTCAACTCTAATCTTGTTGAGTACCCTTAATCCTGTCTGATTTCACGCTAAGCAAAGATTTGGATTATTCCTCATCCTGTTTTCAAGCCACTGTTTGATATTCTTCCCCATCTTCCTGAATCATCACTTCATATACTTGTTTATTAATTTTTCCAGCTGGCTCACAATGGTACTCCACAACAATAAGATTAGAAAATCAGTACCCTGAATGCATAATTCATTTTTCTTCTTCTTTTTTTTTTTTGGTGCATTTTGGATGTACATTAGGCTTTGTTCAAGATAGTCCTTCATTTAGCGAAAAACAAACGAATTGGATCTACTCCTGTACTAGGATAACAGCTCAATCATATAATGAAAATTCCTGTTTAGAATTACTCTTTTTGTCCCAAAATAACAATCATTGAACCGTTTATGAACTGAACAAACAATCTACAGTTGTATCCTAATCCACAACTGAGCATAAGAAGTTTTGAGTTTTGACATTAAAGAAAAAAGTTGACACTGAAGGATAACAAGTTGAGTAAAAAGTGAGTCGAGTGATTGTCATCTGCGGCCTCATGTTGAACGCGTTGAGTGGGGACGAAGAAGATTGGCGTACGTAAATAAGCCGATTCATAAGACATCAAAACCTCAACTGAATTCGGATAAAAGCAATCCTAGAAGTATGTTTTTATTCCTCCATTTATAGCTGGATTTAGTATACAAATTATTCATGCATACGTGTAGTTTTACCAACTTAATTAGACTTTTTTGTGGTTCTGTGCATTGCAATTAATCGGCTATAGGCCAGCCATGCATCCAATGATTCCGTTGACATTCTCTCTTTTGAGTACTATCTTCACTTGCTGCATATATGTATATATATTTTTAAAGGCTCTAAACCTCACCATATCATCAATCACATGCATTTCCCCAAATTCATGACTAATTTTCAGTGGTTCACTTTACTTCATTGTGTTACATTAACACAAGATTGATCGCAATTCGTCGCGCCCCGATCGAGACGGGTCTTTTTTTTTCCCCCCTTCTGCCAAGAATTAATATTTCTCGAGATCATAACAATGTTGCACATGAGGGCTCCTTCATTTCTGTTTATGTCTTTCTTTATATTGTTGCTGTTCATTCAACAAGTGTCTAGTCATCGTAACCATCATCACCGCCATCATCATCAACAGCACCACAAGTTTGTCATGGCTGCAGATGCATCATCTTCTAGTTCTAATAGCTCGAGCAATAATAATAATAATAATAATAATAATACTGCTCCTCCTATGGACACGTCCACTGCCATTCTCATTAGGGTGGATCAATCAGGATTAGGTGATTTTAGCAGCATTCAGGACGCCATTGACTCTGTCCCTTCCAACAATTCGGAGTTAGTGTTTATTTGGGTCAAGCCAGGAGTATACAGGTCCGTCCACCTACTACATGTGTGATCTTTTTAGCTAGAGTACTCTGTCCTATATGGTCTTTTTTTTAAGGCAAATTCCATAATTTTGCATCTGTTGTTATCACACTATATAGTCCTATGGTCCTTAGGGCTTAGGGTACTCTGTCTCGGATGGTCTATGAAGGAGACAAAAGCCGAAAATAATAATTTCACAACTACTGTACATTGTAACAACAGAAGTTTCTTTTGAGGCCAAGTCCACTGCTAACAGGGCTTAGGCCAATTTTCTCTGTTGCATCTGTTGTTATCACACTAAACAGTTTCGTGTATTTCATTTCTCACGTGACCAAATCAATCAGAGATCAGTATAATTCTCCATTATAAATATATTGTGTATTTGTGTTCCTGACTGCCTGGTGGTTTGTTTGATGGAGAGTGTGATTTTTATGGTGGTATAATTGAGCAGGGAGAAAATTGTGGTTCCTGCGGATAAGCCTTTCATAACGTTGAGCGGGACAGATGCCTCAAACACCATAATAACATGGAATGAAACTGGAAACATTCATGAATCTCCAGCAATGACAGTTCTGGCTTCTGATTTTGTTGGCCGCTATCTAACAATCCAGGTATATATACATGCAATTTTATTTTATTTGATGATCACTGCGAGAACTCTTGATCTCTACAATAAGTATTTACCAATAGATAGTTAGAACTCTATTCGAGTATTATTTGGTCGACGTGGCAATGGTAACGATGAATGAAATACTACATTTTTTTGTTATGGATACAGAATACCTATGGAACGAATGGGATAGCCGTAGCGCTGAGAGTATCAGGGGATAAAGCTGCTTTCTACGGGTGCAGGATTCTGTCATACCAAGATACTCTGCTTGACGATGCTGGAAGACATTATTACATCAATTGTTACATTGAAGGAGGGGTTGACTTCATTTGTGGAAATGCAACTTCTCTGTTTGAAGTAAGCAACTAATAAGTATCCTTCCAATTTTTTTTTTTTTTTTTTAATGAATCATTCTATTCCAATAGAACCCAAGGAGGTCAATAATTAACCAATGTGAAATTTGTGTAAATAAACAGAGGTGTCATCTTCACACAACTTCGGAGAAATTGGGAGCGATTACGGCACAGCACAGAAATAGTGCGCTGGAGAATACAGGGTTTATATTTTTGGGATGTAGGATAACTGGGAATGGAACCACAGTGCTGGGAAGGCCTTGGGGACCTTATTCCAGGGTCATCTTTGCATTTACTTACATGTCTGATGTCATTGTGCCTCAAGGTTGGAATGATTGGGGTGATCCCAACAAGCAAAGGTAACTCTTTTTTGTTTTTTTTTTTGTTTTTAATTATCCTTACACGACTTGAATAAATACGTATCACATCATGCTAATTTCTAGTCGATTTTGATTTGAGTAGACTGTTGTAAATATTTCTCAGAATCGTTTAACAGAAATCAAACTCTTTATCACTTGATCATCGATAACTATACTGTATCATTTTGTTAATGGCAATGACACAGTACGGCTTTCTACGGAGAATACAAGTGTTACGGACCAGGTGCGGATAGATCAAACCGGGTCCAATGGTCTCACAGCCTATCTAATGACGAGGTAGCCCCATTCCTGAACCGGACCATGATCGGTGGCCGTGGCTGGCTAAGACCTGCGCCTATCCACTTCAGAAACAGAACCGAACCACATTGACAATTTTCTCTTCTGGAGAGAAATGAAGGAAAATGAAAAAAAGGAGGACGAAATTTTCACTAACGCGATTGAATTAGGAAGGATATTCTTGAAGACTACACTTGATATTTTTCTTTACCAACACTGCACAGATAGATGAAGGGATTAATTTATGTTAGTATAAAATCGCGTTCACTTTATTGTGTACATAGAACAACCAATAAAACCGTTTGTTACGTTCTACTGTCAATTACATGTCCGCAGGCTTTTTCCCATTGTTTTCATTTGAATATTCACAAATCTAATGACATAGCTTCTTAAGCAAAACAACCTTACCCTTAAGCATACATGGCCTAAATCCTTAGAAGCAATGCCATCAAACGCCATTACAATAAGGCTAAAACTTCAATATACTATCTCTGTTATAAAAAATAGGCGAAAATTGAGTTTTGAGTTTTGTACCTACTCAATATGGATTATTTTGTTGAAAGATAATTATCGAAACGGCAAGATATAATAACGATGATGAGAATTATAACCACAAAGTCGGGATGTAAACACAAGATCAAATGATAAAAAATATATATATGTATATATATATATATATATATATATATCTCCAAAATTGTTCCCCTAATTGATATCTCCAACGCAACTCCTAAAGTATTTTCCAAGGTTTATGTTGTAATGGCCTAATGAGTAAGCTAAAATGAAGTTCAATTAAATTATTTGAAAAAAAAAAAATGCTCTGATGTTTGGCTTACATTGTTCAACAAACGTAGTATTAGAGCCAATTGGGATTACTCCAAAAGTCAAGAACAGGGTACACTGTAACTTTTCCTTAACGACAAAGCTCAGAATGTTATAGATCAAACTGTTAGGCTCTATGTAACTCTCATTGCTAAAATTATACGATCTATTTTATACCAAAGCATGAGTTCCCTACGTTTTCTAAGTTGCTGTTCTTCTCGTACGTGGTCGCGGGAATGTGTTGTTCTTAAAAGGTCTCCATCATTATATTGCTTGTAAGCTATACGGAGAGTGAACCTCAATGCTTTGCTTTTTTGGCGTTTCTTCACCTAATCAGTTGACACCAGCAATTTTCGCTTAACAAATTGATGGGTCTCATCCCAACTTCTTCCATGTTCTATATAATCTCCCCAATCAGCACTTTCTTTCTCCATCAAAAAATCGAAAGACGACTTAAATCATTACAAAGAAAGTCACAACCTTTGATCGAGCATTTTGGCTTATAGCCTAAAATGGGGAGAAGACAGTGCAACTTTTTACATTGGAATTCAGCATTGTTCCTCTTTTGTGCCGTCGTTGGTTGCTTTTCGTTCCTTCAAGTTGATGCTGCTCTAAAGCAGTACCAGTTTGATGTAAGGAAAATTGATTCCAATCATTTTAACTGATCTACATTGTTTATTGGTTATGCGGGAATTTTTCATTTTTGTTTCGGGCTAATTCGTGATCCTTCGGTTGAAATTTCTAGATTCAAGTGAAGAACGTTAGTAGGTTGTGCCATGCCAAGCCAATTGTGACGGTAAATGGGATGTTTCCTGGACCAACTATTTATGCCAGAGAAGGAGACAGAGTTCAAATTAACGTGACAAACCATGCTCAGTACAACATGTCTATTCATTGGTAAAAAATATATGACCTAATAACTTCTGGTTCTATTTTTCAGGTCATTAAATTTCAGCTTCAATGCATGTTACATGATCAATGTTTAACTTGTGGTGCAGGCATGGATTGAAGCAGTTTCGAAATGGCTGGGCAGACGGACCGGCTTATGTAACCCAATGTCCAATTCAGACAGGCCAAAGTTATACATACGATTTTAATGTAACAGGGCAGAGGGGTACATTGTGGTGGCACGCACACATTCTTTGGCTCAGGGCAACCGTGTACGGGGCTATTGTCATCATGCCGAAACCAGGCGTGCCTTATCCTTTCCCTCAGCCGGCTTTTGAGTACAATTTAGTCCTAGGTATGATTCTTTACGAATGAAAAAAAAATGTAACAGTTGATAGTGCGAAATTCAGGAGTAGTCTTAAAAGAATGTGCAATATTTCTTGGTGGAAATGCAGGAGAATGGTGGAATGATGATGTTGAAGAGGTGGTTAAACAAGGTAACCAGTTGGGATTGCCTCCGAAGATGTCTGATGCTCACACAATAAATGGCAAGCCAGGACCACTTTTCCCATGTTCTGAAAAATGTATGTTGCTTACCTTTCACTTGTACCAAATTGGCAGTTGAGCAAAATTGTTTTTTGCTTCACTTCTCATTTTCTTTTTCTTTGCAGACACTTATGCAATAGAGGTAGAACAAGGGAAGACATATCTCTTGAGAATAGTCAATGCTGCACTCAACGACGAGCTTTTCTTCGCGATCGCTGGACACAAACTGACTGTGGTCGAGATTGATGCTGTGTATACGAAACCTTTCACAACAGATGCGATCCTGATCGCCCCCGGCCAAACAACCAATGTCCTTGTCACCGCCAACCAAGCCTCTAGCAGGTACTTCATGGCTGCTAGGCCATTCATGGATGCACCAGTAACAGTCGACAACAAAACCGCCACAGCCATCCTGCAATACAAAGGGGTTCCAAATACCATTTTGCCTAGCCTTCCTAATCTGCCAGCTCCTAATGACACTGCCTACGCACTAAGCTACAACGCGAAACTCAGGAGCTTGAATTCCCCGAATTTCCCTGCAAATGTACCCTTAAACGTGGATCGTCATCTGTTTTACACAATTGGTTTGGGAGTGAACCCTTGTCCAACCTGCCAAAACGGCACAAAACTCACCGCTTCATTGAACAACATCACTTTCGTAATGCCTCAAACAGCTCTGCTCCAGGCGCATTACTTCGACCAAAAGGGTGTCTTTACAACCGATTTTCCAGACCGCCCACCAACCCCGTTTAACTACACAGGCGCGCCACTCACCGCCAACCTGAGAACTGTCCAAAGTTCCGTACCACGTCTCAGTAAGATTAAGTATAACTCAACAGTGGAGTTAGTCCTGCAAGATACCAATCTTCTTACAGTTGAGTCGCATCCTTTCCATCTCCACGGCTACAATTTCTTCGTTGTTGGCACCGGAATCGGTAACTTTGATCCTAAAAAGGACCCTGCAAACTACAACTTGGTTGACCCTCCAGAAAGAAACACAGTTGGAGTTCCCACAGGCGGTTGGACTGCCATTAGATTCAGGGCTGACAATCCAGGTAAAAATTCAACGAATTAAACTTCTCTAAAGCAACAAAAATCCAAACTTGATACACTAATTACTGAATCAAAAAAATTACATGGTTAATGATACATTTTTGCATTTTTGATGATCAGGGGTGTGGTTCATGCATTGTCACTTAGAGCTACATACAGGTTGGGGATTGAAGGTGGCTTTTGTTGTAGAAGATGGTCCAGGAGAAGACCAAACTATATTGCCTCCACCAAAAGATTTGCCATCTTGTTAGTTTGGGTCATTTCACTGATGGTTGTTTTCTTTTTTTCCTTTTTTTTACACTTTCCTGCTTCAAAAAAATGAAAAGCAGGAAGAAAGAAATGGTCAAGTTCATGTGTTAAGTTAAAATGAGAAGTTTAAAGCCACATTTGATGATAGGTGGATATCTATATTCTTTCAATTGTATTCCAAATCAATTCGTCTGCAATAAAATTCAAAGGTTTGCATTATGATCAAATCAATGTTTCTGTTTAGCTTGCATTAAATGGAATGATCACATTTCTATTAAATAATCCTCAAAAAATTGGGACCCTAATATTTTGCCCCCTTTTTATTATTGTCCTTCCATTTGGAAAAAAATTAAAGTCAAATGAATCTGCATTCTTCACCGAGGGTAAAGAGGCCGGGGAAATCCATCCAACCCAAGTGGAATACTAAATTAAGCTTCCGATTAAGATGAGTAAAATACTTATAATCGGAGTGACCGGAACCCTAGGCTACGACCTCGCCAATGCCAGCCTCCAAGCCTCTCATCCTACTTTCGGTCTCGTCAGGGAATCCGCTTTCTCCGATCCTAACAAGTCCGAGAAACTCCGGTTACTCTCCGACGCCGGCGTCACTCTTCTCAAGGTTGTGAAGAAAAACTTATCACAAGCTTCTCGTCTTCATTTGTTCTATTTTACTGTCGTTTAATAATGAAACAATGAAATGCAGGGATCCTTGCAAGACGAGCACAGTCTTGTTGAAGCAATCAAGCATGTGGATGTGGTCATTTGTGCTATTCCGTCCAAGCAAGTGCTGGATCAGAAGCTTCTCATCCGAGCTATTAAACTTGCCGGTGGCGTCAAGGTCAGTAGAATGTACTACTCCCTGGGTCTCAAAATTATTGTCCAGTTTCGATTTCCATTCCCAGTTTAAATTGTACTAAAACTGAAAATGCAAACTGGACAATAGTTGTGGGACACAGGGAGTATAATCTATTTCCTTAATTTTAATCCCAAATTCCAAATGGATGTCTGCTGCGATTTTATTGTCTAAATAGTTTAGTTTAATTAGTCATTTATAGGCAGAATGGTACAGAGAAAGACTGTTTGAAACTCTAATGTGAAAAAACGGAATCAACAGCTTTTTCAACTTGGTAAAAAGATTATTATCATGATTAATATTTAAAGAATGGAAAGACTGTTTGAAAATCTAATGTGAAAAACAGCATCAACAACTCTTTCCACTTGGTAAAAAATTATTGTCATGATGAATATTGGAATAATGGTAATCCTATATGTATTGGTTAAGTATGTAGTTTAAAATGGGTGCTGAAATATTGCAGAGGTTCATTCCTTCAGAGTTTGGATTAGATCCAGATAGAACTCGAGTGTCTGAATTTGACAATGGCTTCTATTCGAAAAAATCTGAAATTAGGCGTCTCATAGAAGCTGAATACATCCCTTACACGTATATCAGTTGCAACTTTTTCATGCGATACTTACTTCCATCGCTTGTACAACCGGGGCTGAAATCGCCTCCTAGAGACAAGGTCACCATTTATGGGGATGGAACCGTTAAAGGTCTGATTGGTTCAGTGCAATTCATCATCTCAATTTAATCTGGCATTTGTTTGCTGTTACTGATAATTTTGGCTAACACACAAGTTTTTCCTATTTCTGCAGGCGTTTTTGTGAACCAACATGATGTTGCTGCATTCACCATTGCTACTGTTGATGATATACGCGCACTGAACAAAACATTGTATCTTAGGCCCCCAGGCAATGTGTACTGCATGAATGAACTGGTGGATATTTGGGAAACTAAAATTGGCAAGAAGCTGGAAAGGACTTATGTTCCTGAAAATGATGTTTTGAAGAAAATCAAAGGTAATGTGCAGCTTGTAACCTTGTTCTACAATGCTTTCTCCTCTCCTTTCGTTTGGTATCAACTGCGATACTTGTTCTTTTAATTAGGTCAGATTTAGAAATGATAGTCACCACTGACCAAGAAAAAACTAGAGAATGAATCTTCATAGCAGCTAATGTAGCAATTGCATCATAAAGCATTAGTGCAGAAAGTTAGCACAATAGTCGTACATCGGCAAGGATTTACCGTGATTTTTTGCCCTCATCTTTTATCAGATGTGCTCCCTCCATCCCACAAAAATAGTTCACATAGAGTTTTGAGTTTTGTACTGTTTTTAGTACAAATTTGAAAACTCAATGTGGACTATTTTTTTGGGACGGAGGTAGTATATTATTCCTCTTTCACATTGTTGATTAGACCCTTGCTGGCGCAATTCCATTTTTAACTGATGTTTTGTCGACAAAATGCAAAACAGAAACTCCACACCCAGACAACATGGAGATGGTCTTCGCCTATTGCGCTTTTGTTAAGGGAGATCAGACGTACTTTGATATTAATGAGGCCAATGGAGTTGAAGGGACGCACCTGTATCCACAAATCAAATACACTACTATTAGCCACTATTTGGATACTCTATTGTGACTTATGAAGCTACTCTACCTCTTTTGTTAGGCCAAGCCCATTTTTGGTTTGCTTTTCTTTTTGATACTGTTTACCCCCATTGATGTGCTTTTCCATCACACTTCTCATCAACTCAATTGGAACTCTTCACCACACATCTCAAAATGTAATTCTTCGGTATAAATTATTCCGACGGTTATGAAAGCGTAAACAGTTTCTGGGTGAAGTATGAGTTGATACTTCATAGAGTAACTCGCATCTCCTGAACATTTTATTGGCTCCCTTCTAATGACACCAGACAAGATTGAGCACCTATTATTAATGTACTTTTATGGCAGAAACAATGCAAATGACAAAAGCAGGTTATTGCAACTGCATTAATCATCATAAATTTTGAAAAGGAAAAACATAATGACAAGTAAACGAATACAACGCAAAGTACTCAATATCCCAAAATTGCTTGCAATTACAATTTTCTATTTTGCACTGATGCCCGCTTTACTTTTCTTCCCCTTCCCGCTAACCTTTCCTCGAGAATTTACAGACCCCTTACCTTTCTGCTTTCCCTTTCCTTTCCCCTTCTTGGTCATTCCATGTGACCGTTTATCCTTCTTCATTCGAGGATCCACAAGTGTCTTTCCCTTGCCAGCCCTCACTTGAACCCCCTTCTTTGCAACCACATATTCCTTTTTGGGTTTTTTCGGTGCAGCCTTGCTGTAAAGTTGCTCAATCATCCTCCTCTTAGAGCGATCATTGATGTCGGCCTGGTCAGAAATGGAGTTTGCCTTCTTTCGAATCTTTTCTTGTTTCCTTAAAAAAGCACGTTTCTTTCGGGCTTTAGCCTCTGCTACTTTCTTTGCAGGCCGAGTATTAATCTCCTTGAATTGAGCTCTCATGGCAGCAATCTCTTCTTTAGTGATGGGTTTAACTGGCTGATTATGCTTCTTTTCGTCATCTGCAAACCACTTTGGCAAGCCAATATCATAATTCATATACTTGTTGTATGCATCGTCGAATATTTCTTCCCTCTGCTTTTTACTAAGCATCTTTTTAGCATATGCCAATATCTCTGCTTTTGTTTCAACATCATCTTCATCCGAGTCATCTGATGATGAGTCATCGCTGGAATCTGTAGCTGGAGCCGGAACTACTTCTAAATCATCAATATGCTGTGAAGAGTTCTGCACGTTGGATTGTTGATCCCCAAGAGGCTTTTTAGACGGTTGATTTTGTTTCTTCTTTGGATGTTCTCCAAGGTCCGGACCATCCACCATCATTTCATCATCACTATCAAATTTCTGCAAGGCATCATCTTCGTCAGGTTCTTCGAAAACATCTTGACTAAACCACTTGGCTGCAATCTCTTGCTGAGTTGGCATGTCTTCCACAAGAGGGACTACTAGAGGATTTACTTCATGATCCCCCACATCATTGTCCGAGTCTTGATCGGAATGAATCATTTCATTATCATCATCACCCTACAAAAACAATAACAGAAGTGCAATTTCTATTATTCAGCACGCAACAATCGGAAGAAAAAATGGAGCTAATTAAGAGCAATGAAAGTGCAACTTCCGGTGATTTGCAACCCCGAAATTGAAGCATTTTTTCCAGTTAAAAAAAAAAAGCCAATTACAGGAGTAAACCAAGTTACTTGTGGAACGAACGAACATTCATCCAGAATTTTTTTTCCCAATAAAGACAATGTAAAAAATGGCTATAGAGCTAAAAACGAATCCAGCTATAAAGGCAAAAAGGAGTTCATACGTCAAGATGTTGAGACTCTGCATTTTTCTTAGCTCGCTTTCTTTGCTTTGATTTTCCTTCCTTCTTGACAACATATTGTTCATAAGCTTCATCAAGCAATTGTTCCATGTAGTCGTCGTATCTGAAAACAGAAATTACACAATGTATGACTTGCAACAAAAAAAGCATTTATGCATGTGTACATAGGATAATGAACTATCTAAACTACAATCATAAGCATATATGTTATTGATACCTCCTCCGTTCCTCATCAGTATCGACATCACTAGATGTATCATTTTGGGATTCTTCCTGGCTTTCTTCATTGTCACTAGAACCTGACTCACCAGCTTCATCTTCATTCTCATTGTTATCAACAGCCACCAGATCTTTCTTGCCCTTCACATCAAAGATAAAATGGGTTCAGCAGTATGAACAGTGACCCTAAAGAGTTCATTGAAAAGGCAAACCAAGTCGGAATGTGGAGGGTAGAGGGAGATCCAACCACCATCCATCAATATTTCCCCAAACAGCCAAAGCAAAAAATAATTCATTTTCAGATGAAACCCATGTATGACTACATAGATTTTATACCATGCAATGATTTTTGGCAAGTTTACACTCAGAGACTACCAGAAGACAGGTGTCAACCCCAATAATAAAAATATATTAAGTAAAGAACAAAAATGATCACAGATGCCAGGGTATCACATACAACCATCCAGCTCTATACCACTTCCACCTTGCAACTAAGGGGAAAAAAGGATATGACAAGATACCTTAATAGAGGATAAAGAAAACAACTCCAGATCGTTGTAATTATCCATTGCTGAATCTGAATGCACACCCAAAGCCTTTCGTGCTTTATCCTGGATTCAGCAAAAAGTGAGGCTAAAATCAGAACATATCAGCTTTCAAACTCAAGCTATGACTCTATTTACATTAGAGGGGAGAATGATGGAGAAAAGGAGAAAAGTAAAACTCCAGGATGCTGCATCGGTACAAGTCCTCGAGAATTTAGCCAAACCAAATATTCAAAGAATCTAGTTTCTTTCCTTCATTAATCGTCATTCTTCTTAAATGATGTTTTAAAAAAGAAAAGCAAGGTTTCTTTAATATAAATTCCTCATGGAGCAACATTAATAGATACTCAAGAAATTCTAAAGCAAATTTGCATTCGTATCAAGGATTGACCTTGGCTCGTCGTTTTGCAATAAGTTTTTTTGCTCTTTTCTTCTTTCGCTCCATGGCATTTGCCAACTCCTCCATCTCATTCAAAACTTTCTCCTCTTCATCCTCCTCCACCTGAGATTCACTTTCTTTGGATGCAGAAGTGTCCTTTACAGAAGGAGCCAATGCCTTTCTGATATGCATACGCCACCTAGATATCAGAAAAACAAATCAAAGTAAAGTTTACATTATCAACCAAATCACGAAAGCATCAGAATAATGCAGAGAAAATGACTTTCAACAAGAACTTCATTGTAGCAAGTTCTGAGCATCAATATCAAATAATTGCAGAAAGGTTGAAACAAACACTTCAATATCTAGCCAAAAAAATAAAATAAAATAAAAATCTTGCCAATATGAATGCCTTTCTAATAAATTGGCAAAATTTAGACATTCATATGCTTCTTACTTCAACAAATGCTTGAAGTCTTGCTTCCCCAGGACACGCAAGTCGTCACATAAAGCTTTGACCTGGAAAATCATCAATCAAAGGGGGAAAAAGCCTTTTGAATGTTCTGGGGGAATAAAAGAACTGAACAAATAAACGGCGCCTATAATGCCTACCTCCTCGGTAGTCAAACTGTGATCCTTAATGGACAACGATGCAGAATCCTCAAAAGTTATGGTTGTGACAGAACCAAGGATATCAAGTGGAGTTTCAGACCAAATAAAGTCAGCAGCTGAGGAAACTTTCCTCAAGAGTGTCTCGCCATCTTCATACCTGCAACAAAATCATTTGTAAGAGCAGATTTCAACAGTACGTAGAATATTCACTGGTCTACCCTTTCATAATTAGGTCTAGGTTCATATACATGATAGGAAACTAGAAATTTTTTACTTAAACCACAATGTCACAGGACCAAAAACTTGCATTTTAACAGTAAAAGTAATTTTTCAAAGGGAACATGTTAGACACTGTCAACTAATATCTCATCAACAACAGAAGGAATGGAAAAAAGAGCACTTACCCATCACGATGTCTCTTCTGTTTTGTTCCACGGAGCACATCAATCACCTGTTTAAGCAACCAAAAAAAAAGGGGAACAGTTTAAGGCATATCCTTGTTATAAGAAAACAATGCTGATGCAAAGCAACAATTGCAATGAGCATGACATTACCTTAGGTGGCTCATTGCCTCTCTCAAACAGGTGCTTTACATCAAGAAGTCGAGGATCAATCTTAGCAGGAGCTTTATACTTGAATCCTATAACATAAATTTCAGCAGATGCCGAACGACTAGCTTGAGGCTTATCCACCTCAACCTTCTCGAAAAGCTGCCAACTCCAAGTTTTAAGAAGTTAAAAACAATGATTATTTACTAAGTCAAACTGAGTACAAAACAATAGGAAAGACGAACTCCCGTTCTAACCTGTTTGAGACAATAAACCACAGCAGTGTAATCTTGAGACCTAAAGACCTACAAAACACAAGAAATCATCTCAACTCATCATTAGAGGGTAAATAGAATTAGAATTCATATCATGATTCAGAACACATTATGTACTTCATTACAATTCAGTTTAAAGGAAATTACCTTCGTGACAAAAGTTCCTTTAGGAGCCAAAAGGTCGGCGGCTAGCTTAACAGAATCAATGACCAAAGCATTCTGACCAGTGGCTTCCTTCGCCCAAGCACCACCAACGTTGGGAGAACCATCGTGGAGGACCAAATCGAAAGCCTTACATCCATTCTCAGCCATTAAATTCTTAATAGTGGCTTTACATTTGGGGGTAGTGATGTCGGCCTGGATAGCGACGGCGCCGCGGATAGGGCGAATAGGATCGAGGTCGACGCCGATAACCAGACTGCCGACGGGGACACGTTCGACGGCGACTTGCATCCATCCACCAGGAGCGGCGCAGAGGTCAAGAACCGAGCGAGAGGAACGGAGGAAGTTGAACCTGGAATCCAGCTGGACAAGTTTCCATGAGGCTCGAGATCTGTAGCCGTGTTCTTTGGCTAAGTGATAGTACTTATCCAAACGATGTTTTCCCTTCACTTTCCCCATCGCTTCTCCCCCTCACGTCCACAGAGCTCTGGTTAGGAACTCTGGCTATGGAAGTTCAAAATGGTTTAAGGGGTTTTAGCCTTTTAGGGAAGGGAGACGAAGGGAGGATTTAGGGTTTAACCATTTAAGGCGGTGATTAACAAACAGATGGGCCTGTCCAGTGGCCGAGGAATAGGGAGAAATGAATATTACCCAATTTTTCGCCCAGTAAACTGTACGATGTACTATTCTTCGTTTCTTCTTTTTTTTTTTTTTTGTGGGAATGATACTAAGATTCATTTTCTTTTTTGGAAATATATTCTATTAGTACTATTTTTTTTCGACAAGAGATTCATTTTCAAACAAAGAAAGGCTGAAAAACCATTGCAATTTCCAGTAAAATTTACAATGCATTCACTTACAATTTCCAAACATCTTTTTGCTCAATATTAGAGATCGTAAATTTGTTAGAAGGTCCACATATGTACCGGTATTATTATAAATTGGTCATCTAATAGATTCATTTAGCAAAAAATTCTACTCACCATTTCACATAAGTCTGTCAGGATTTTGTGGATTCTGTAACAAGAAAGACTGCCAAAAACATTTTCTTTCTTACTGTTTAGAGTACAGTTTTGCTTTTCTTTTTTAACGGAAAAAGGGACTATTTTCATACATAAGAAACTTATTTGAAGCCTGAAAATCACTGATTATAAAGCATCCACAGAATATGATATTACCTGTGAAGAAGAGATTCATTTCATCTGAAAACCCAAAAAAAAAAAAAAGAAAAAAAAATGAAGGGAAAAATTGAAGTCCTCAATGAGGCATAGACCATGAAATGCCCAACATCCATCAAGAATGCTACATGGAAAGGTTAAACCATAGTGTCGATAAACAGTTTTTATGAACCTTTAGTGTCTAGTCTACCTCAAGTCTAAAGAACTAGGAATAAAATAAAATAAATGATACATCACCGTTCTGTAAGTAAACCCACTTGATCAGATGAATGAAACCAGAGGAATGGCATCAAAAAAAAGATTTCAACAGGGCGGGAAGAAAAAACATGCTATATCATCAAGTAACTGAGCAGAAATTAAATCTACACTTTTCAGATTCAAGTTCCATTTAAATGTAAATACAAGTCCCATCTAGTAAGAATATCAATAGCCACTTCCCCCACATTTTCTTGCCATTCCTTTTTCTTCTTTTAACTTTTGCCTGGTGGATTTCTTTCTTCACATCCTTCTCTATCTTAGTCTGCCCTAGGGCTACTGCCACTTACAGAAGGCTTCTTTCCAGAGTATTTCTGCAGCAAAAACCAAAATTTTTAAGGAGGGAAAAAAAAGAAAAAAGATTGTGAAAGCAAGAATGAGGGATATGTTTCCTAATACCTTCTTCCCCAGATTGAATGGAATGTATTTGTATTTAATCATGTGCATGATTTGGCGCTTCATTGTAAGGACAAAGAGCACAATCCAGTAACATAGTAATATTGGCCAAAAGACGGGGACATCAAAGATAGAGAAGAAGGTCATTAAAAATGCCACACAAAAGGCCTTGGTGATGGCATACCTAGCAACACAGAAAATTTAGAGAGGTTAACCGATGGTTTTGTTGCAGAAAGTATTCATCACAACGAGTCCAGTACTTGGTAAACAAATAAGGTACAGGATGTATACAGTTCCTTAGGTTCACTTCTAAATCTTACATTCATCACATTGTTTTTTTTGCCTCTATGCATGATTACAATGCAAACGTGAACCCTCAAATCATGTCGATTTATGAAATCATAAAGAATCTAAAGATCAAATGTAAGGCAAGCACAGACAGCACACAGGTTTAAACTAAAAAGAAATCATGCTGATTGACTGATTCTCATAATATCTTATAGACAATGAGTCAATCACCTCAGGATTCTAGTCTGTCAACACGAACATTCATGCTATTTTGGCCAAGTAAGCAGCCAAAAACAAAAGCACCCAATGATTTGACTTGAACTATTTAGTGGGGGTAAGAACTTTAATGCACGATTAAAACTTCTCAGAAATCACCAAGCATCGCAGGGACCAATCTAATAAAAAATTGCATGAGTAATTTCCAGCCAACAATCAATCAAAATCAACAAGCAGTTTGGTACTTTCTCCCAGCAAAAGAAGAAAAACCTTTTTCCAGCAGTAGCTAGATGAGAAAAGACAAACGTAGTCCGATTTTGATCTCAAAAACACAAAAAAAAAGGCTAAGAAAACGAAAGCAGGATGAATCCCAAGTCTAGGATCTCTTCATGTCCAAGCAAATAAGTTGTCTTAACAATATAATAAGAAGATATATGCATACACTAACTGCAACAAATTTTTCAAGCATCAACTGAGAGTCTGAGATGACCTCATACAAAATCCAGATACTGAATGGGCAAATAGTCCAACTAAATAACAATACATAGGAGAACTAAGAAAGCAGACTGAGAGAAATAATGAGATTAATACCAGAACTTGAACTCCGGAAGACGACGGATGAAAGGCTTGAACTCATCAGAACCCTTTGTCGGCAACAGAGGTCCGTCGGATGGTTCCATTTCAGGGTCAACAAGAGGGGATAAAAATCCTATAAGCAAATTGAGGATGTAGATCCCCAATCCATAGGTTACAATATAAAAACCCTGGACATAGTAAACCCGCAGCGCATAGAGAAACAATAAGACCGAAGTTCCAATCCATCTGTAAACTGCATGGGGAGTTGTCTTATCTAGGTAATATTGGAAAAGCTTCCACACTTCATGACTCCGCTGATTCAGCGATGCGGCTGCACCAGATACACTATCACCTCCAACACCCTCCATGATTATAGGTTTTCACAAACCTACAATTTCAAAAGAGAATATACATGTAAAACGTAAGCCAAACCTTAAATACTTGCATTCAAACGGTGGACAAAAATCTTGTCCATTACAGCCCCATAAACACATAAACATCATGCAACCATAATTTGTGTGTTTCCTAAAGAATAAGTGAAAAAAATAAAAAAGAATCTAAGTCGACACTTGTCAAGAACAGAAAATGAGGTCATGCCCTCAAAAGCAGGCCTCTGACATACTCAAGTATAAGAACATATATAGTAAATCTGCATTTAGATTGAAAAACGAATTTCACTAGTCATCTAGTTTGTCAAATCCTAAACAATCAGCAAATAACATATTCATCCCAACACAATGTTACCAAGCTGGGTTACTTGACCAGCATCAATTGTTAATTTGATATAACACAAAACAAGAATTATGTAGAAGAGAAACTTTGGGGAAAAGAAACATTGTAGCAACTGGCAGTTCCTTCTTTCTTCTTTTTCCTTTTAAGAATACATTGGATACCAAAATCCATGTATATTAAACAAAAACAAAGGGAAATAACTGCCTTTGCGTTCAATCCTATTACTTTCAAATGAACTAAAATACACATAAAACTATTGAATTATGAAATCATGCAGTCTTTACAAAAGGGACTAGACCACACCTGGTACTAAGTGGTAAACAAGAAACAGATTAGTTTCTACAACTAAAGCAAAGACAAGCGTTCTAGCAACTATGCTTCTGTTGTTGTCACAAAGAAAGTCACCAAAAAATAAAAATATTAAGCAAGCGTATAACAGGGGATGGACTCCCGTGTTAAATCCTCCAAAATAGCAGCTCAAACACAAAGGAATTTTCGAATTCCACAAAACTAAAATCCCCCTATCCCAAAAGTTGGGGAGAAAAACAAAATAAATCGAATAAAACAAAGCGAGAATCAGAAGATCGAGCAAGAAATAAAAAAACAAGAAACCCTAATTTCAAATAGAAAACCTTGTAAGAGCAGAGTAGATCTGGTAATGGCTGATCCCAAATCCCCAGTCTTCGTGTCAAAAACAAAAAAAATATCAATATCGACTACCATATTAAAATACCAGACATTGCCGAGCAAGCTACCAACTAGGGCTAAAAAATCAGAACGATTGAAACATCAATATAGTTAAAAATACCCCAAAAAAAAAAATCGAAAGAAATTGACTAACCTTCGGTGACCCGTTGAAGCGGCGATATTGATGAATATGGAGGGGAGAAATGGCGGAGGCGAAATCAAACGCGAGGGGATCTATAAGACGGTGGCTTTTTGATTCAGTTTATCGCAGATTTGTGAAGCTTTTTTTTCTGGAGTTGGGGGATTTTGACAGTACGATAGTTTATGCCGGGTACAGCCTAAATCGTATGCTTGGTACTCGGCATTGGTTTCATGAGATGACTCAAACAAAGGAGAATATGCTATTTTCCTTTGTACATTTTGGTCTTTTCGTCTGCTTCCCGGTTTTCTCTCTAATTTTCTTTCCTTTCTACAAAATAAATACAAACTGTTGTTTTTTGGTTTTTTTTTTTTTAATACAAACAGTTGTTTTATTTTTCTTTTCCTCTGCGTTTATGTACACTTTCTTTTGAATACCTTTTTGGATACTCATATAATTTTTCAAAAATAGAGATTTTTTTAATTAAATTTTTAGTTAAATATACACTAAACATCAAATTTACATTAAAAAAAAATTGTTTCGCTCATTGAAATACCAATGACGAAAAGTATTTTTGATTCATTATTTTCGACAAAAATAATCAATCTCTTTTGAAGTGTATTTTCCATAGTGTCCAATAATAATTATTTCGTTGACGAGTAGGTATGTCGATTAATAAAAAAATTATTCTCATAATAATCGTTTTATTAATATTTGACTAACTAATTGGATCACTAGTAAAGCCGTAAAGGTAGTACTGATACTCTTTCTGATGGGCCTTTCGTGGTTCATAATTTGGACCGTTTTTATGAACAATCCCGGCCCAAATATGTCAATAAACCACCGTGAATTCTCGAGTTGCCAATATACAATAGGGTACCCCATAAAGACAATCAATGGTTTTGGAGTGTTTAAATTCTATATTCGTTAGTCATTATCTTCCGAAATTATTGTCTAGTTTGAATTTTTAGTTTTAGTAAGAAGAAGTATATATGTTTGGAGCAAATTTGTTGGGGTTGAAAGTGAGTAACACATGTAGCTCCTGGACATGATTTGTTTGTAGATAGGAATGTTTGAATTTTATTTTCTTTAAGTGTGTGTTTTTAAGTGTTTTCTAATTAAAAATATAAAAATATTATATTAAAAATGTAACAAGGTATATTAAGATAACGGACTAAACAGATGCGCGTTAGATAATCGACATATCACATTGTTCAAGTAAATGATGTGTAGAGTCTTAAAATTATACTCCCTCCGTCCCATAATTATTGTCCAGTTTGGGTTTTCATTTCTAATTTAAATTGCACTAAAAGTGAAATTTCAAATTGGACAATAATTTTGGGACAGAGGGAGTATTATTTATTTCCCACAAAAAAAATCAAATTGTAAAATGAAAAATTGTACAAACAAAAAAATGTGGATTATTTTTTAGGATAATATAATTTGAAAATTTACAGTGTGGATTTTTTTCGTGACACAGATGAAATACTAATCTCATAAGTTGATATGCAAATAAACTGGTTTTTTCCCGTAAATGGCTGAAAACTGGTAGTATACAACTAATACTGACAGGAATAGTTTGACTTGAGAAATGAGTAGTTGAGTGTTGATGAGTTGGCTGACAGGTAAGCAAAGGAATGGGGATGACATGGGATATTGCCACGAGGTACTTTGCCAATCAGCCGAAATAGACAAGTGCGGACGTGTCTGGTGATGGAACCAAGTTCGTGGCAACTGAATTAGCCAACCAAATTTTAGTGCCATGACTCTTTTCACCACACGCAACAGTAAATCGGAATTTTTACTGGTGTATCTTTTTTAAGTGGCCCAGTGGCTCCAGCCGTTAAGTGTAATGGGCTCGACTTAGTAAATATCCTAGCCGAGCCGCGAAGTAGTCGAAAAAGTGCTGTGGGAAAATGCTTTAATAATGTGTCAACAGCTGTACAAGATATTTTTGTGGGAGCAACTCTCTCTACACGTGGCCTTATTTCATTCGAGGTTTCCTGAAAGCTTTTTATTTGTCTTTCCTTTTTTTTTTTTTTCTCTTCAGTTATTCCACATTTATTTATCCAAAAAATTAAAAATTAAAAATTAACGGAAAAAAAATATTGGGAAACGTCTGCTTGGACTTTCAATACTCCAAAAGCCTCACCCCACATGTTTCTTTCTCATCTGTGCTTCTTTTTAAAAAAATAAATAAATAAATGAATAGTTCTATTGAAATTCGAACTCTCAAACTCACTCATAATACTCATCCTCCAATTTAATCATCTAACCACTCTATCCAACTCTCTCACTCGTTTATCACGTGCGCTTTTTCTTAAAATGATTTCAAATAGAACTGTATGATGTTAATCACTACATCGTCACTCTATAATTTACTGGCAACACAATACAATTCAAGTATTTTGAATTTAATCTACCATTATTTTTCTTTGTCTTTTTTTCTTTTCTATGGCAGAACATTCATTCATTTTAAGTCTTGTTACAACACGGCGAGATATTCATGGTGTAATTAAAAAAAAAAAACTAAAAGCGACATGCGAGACAAAGGAATGAACCCACTTGGGTAAACACATCCAGAATCCAATTTGATCATCAGGTGCTTTGCACGACGAACAAAAATCAAATTCAATACTACCAATTGCCAATTCCAATGTAGGCCATTGGGAATTTGGCATCATCATTGAGAAAGTGTCGAGCTACGGCATACGCAGCCAGATCCAAATGTCCATCCGGAGAAAATGTATGTATTTTTGCACATTTCTAGGGAACATTTAAATCAATTTTTTTAGTATTATTCTTCCAAGGTACAGTACATAGGAAAGTGCACAAAAGGTCCATAATCGAGTATAAGTTTTGATTTTTTCAAAAGAAAAAATCCAATTTGCCCGGCTTATTCATGGCCGAAAGCATCTTTACTATGGAGTATGGACCACCCTGCAAGTAATTATACCAAAACCGTAATAATAACTTTAATGTGAGCTGTAAACTTCCAGTAACTGCGTCATTAACAAGCTGATCGAGCTTCTCCAGTCTGGAGTTTGAGCTGAGGTAAATTATAAACCCTTTTATCCACTTAATTATTACGGCCTTTATAATATTCGTTCTTCTATGTTACCGTCTCAGTTCACACCACAATTTCCATTTCAAGCAAAAGAACCAAAATTTTCCGTCATTCTTTGGTTCCTTATGTATATAAATTATACAAATGTCCGAATTTCTTAGGATGGAATTGGATCTTTTGTTCATCCTTTATGGGTCTCTCTTGATGTCTTCCACCATGAACGCAGCCACTGGTGAGTGTTTTCCCCCTTCCCGTGCATATTAAGACATGCTGTTTGTGTCGTTTGCTTGTGGACTTTTTGGATTTGGATATAAGGGTCTGATGGGAAAAGGGGCTTTGATTCTTGGTGGAAATTGTAGGAAACTAGGTGGGATGTTGTGAAATGTTGGACTTTTTTTTTAATTTTTTTGGGCTTCTCTCTTGTTGCTTGTTGCTTGCAGTGTTGTTTTGTGGTTTGCCAGCAATAATAAATATATAAATGATGCTTTCTGTATGTTACTCTTTACGGCTTCTTATCTTGCTTAAGTTGTTTTCATGTTATTTTACTCACAGTCAAGATAATGAAGCTAATTTTCATCTACATGTGTAAACAAATTAGATAAGCCCTGCCTGGAAGAATGATTCTGTCTTCAGTGTCTGACATGGAAGAATGATTCAGAGGACATGATGTGGTTCTAGGTCTAGCTAGTTTATTAGGACATATAAATTCTGTATGTGATCTCAAAAGCTCAGTTTAGTGTTGATAGTGACCTCATCGGAGCTACTTTTGTCATTTTATAGTCCACAATTCCAGGTTCTAGAGTCTTTTTCGGTGTTTTGTTGGAAATGAAAACTGAATTTCAGATACATGCTCCCAGGCTATTCGAGGATGGTGTCATGGTTGGCTTTTGGCAACTGTACTCCCTCATTTACGCCTTTTTGCTGTGTTTTTAACGAGGAGAAAGAAGTAGACTTTTGACTGGTTGGTATAGAAAATTGTCCAATTACATGCTTGGGTGTGACACCTTAGATGAATCCATGTTAGTTGCTGCTTTTGCCTCTTCTAATAAGTTGTTTAGATCAAATATATTGACATGCAATCAGCTGCTATTGATACAAAGTTATCTTTTTAATTGACCTTAACATTCCCTTTGTTAGGTGACTGCTGGTGAACAACTCATGTCTTAGAACTAGTGGTTGGCTGTTGCAGTCCAAGAATCGGGTCAATCCATCATGTCTGAACATTTTGCATATACACGTAATAACTCTGCTGGGAATTCTAGGCAGTCGATGCACTCTTATCATTCTGATTGGATGTCTCATTGGACACAAAGAAACAAGGAAAGTGATCGTGTTTCCATAGATTATCCATCGACTAGTGGGAAAGAGACTGCTTCCAATGCCTGCAGCCCAGCTAGAGGACCTGCAGGCATCTCACCTGGATGTTCAAAAATGAAAATTAAAGGTTTAAGAAAGAGTTCACCAATAGCAGGAAAGGGAACAAGAACGATTCTACCAGTGCCAATGGGTGATTCAAATTCAAATGGTGAAAGTACGTCAAATACAAGGGACAGGCATGCAGCCAGTGACTTAGGGGCTTTAAGAGCTCACCACAATAAACACAACCTTGATTTTAATTCAACTGCACTTTCTCTGAAGTGCTACACGGCCACCCCTCTCGCGGTGGTTCCTGATGCTAATCGGAATCCATCTAAAGATGGTCATTTTGAAGCAGAAGGCACATCAGATAACACTAAAGAACATGTGAAAACTTATCCGTTTCTTGGAAACAGCAGCTATACCCTTCTGAGGCCTTTGTCTAAGGATCTTAATGTTTCATCTACTGAAATGATGCAGCACAGATCTGATAAGATGAATGAGCTATTACCGTTTTTTCCGTCACGAGTGGGTAGGCCTGCTTTGGCTCCTGAAGAACATTTGCCAGTGACAAATCCAAGTTCTCTAGATAGTGTAAGAATGAATTTCCAAAGACATTCAACATTTCTGGCCCGTGATGATAAGCTAGAATGCCATTCAAAAGCTGGTAGGTGTTTGCCATCAAATCAGCAACAAAAAAATGCATCCTTGTCTGAGACAGAACCCTGTAAATTCAACAGCCGCTTGCCAGAAGCTAGTCAACATAAATTTCAGGAGAAACATAATGCTTCTGGTATTAGAATCTTCTGGAATCAGTCTCATCATTCTGTGGTTGCTGAATCAGGAAATTTATATAATGCGTGTAGCTCATCACCTAAATTTCCAAACTCACTTCAGGATCTGGAGAGCATGAGAATTTGCGGAACCACCCTGGACTCAGGGGTTGGACTACCTGAAATTCAACCCAGGTTTTCTCTGAAAAGTGCAATGGGGGCAGATTTTGACTCGTATAGGTTAAAGGCGTCGCTAAGAAATTTAAGGGAATCGGCTGGATTTAGTAGAAATGCGTTCCTTCAGCTTTGTGGCATGCCTTGTCTGGGTACTGGTCGACGAGGGGTTAAGATTGAATCTTTGGGCAGCTCCTCGGATAGTGAAGGAAAAGAAAAGGTAGATCATTCTGGTAAATCAAATGATGTTGAACTTGAGAAGGCTTTTGACGATTCAGTGAGTTGCAAAGGGAAACAGGTTAGGGATGATTGTGATCAGAAGAATGAATCTTCTGCTGAAACGGACACCATGGATCTTGATGATTTTAGTGAGAAGAAGCCATCAGGTATTATTTTCTCTTCTTTTTTTATTTCTGATTTGTGTGATGCATTCTGTGACTTGTTGATGCTTTTGTATGCTTTTATCAAAAGTCAAAACATTCTGATTCTTCTCAAGCTTTCATTATGCGCCACCCATGTTAATTACAAAGTTTGTTTCTGATTTTTTGGCAGGCATCAATTCTTCTGGAGCCAGTGAGGTACTGTTTCTATGTATTTGAGATTTCATTTGCCAATGTTCCTATCAGTGTGACACGATGTATCTTTTTGAGTGTTGGGCTTTTTGGCTTGATTAACAAAGCCAGAGGGACCAATGTTAATACTTTAGTTGTAAGAACAATAAGAAACCAGTGGTTAGTAATTATGCTGTGTTAATTTGGTATACGAACCATTCGGAGATAGCAGTGGTTAGCTAATTTAATGAAAAGAAAGAGAAAAAAGAGGGTTCCATGCGCTTTGACATTCAATCATATTGGTTCTTTTGAAAATGCCGATGGAAGAGTGTTGTTTCTTGTTTGTTATACATATATGTTTCTGGCTTTCAACGAGGCTGCTTATCCTTTCACCTGTTATTATTTCCTTTTCTGTCGCAATCAATTCATTTTCTGCCTCCTTTTTGTTTTTTTTTTTTTTTTGTTTAACTATTAATCTGTAATTCTCTATGTTCTTGTCCATCATTTAGCTCTCAGTTGCGCATGCCCCGAGTAGAACATGACGTGAAGCTAAATCTTGCTCTATTGCAGTGTTGAAAAAATATTGGTAATGATCTTTTTAATTATCTGGTTTACACAGGTGCTCAAACTTGGATTGGGGACATCTCAGTTTTCTGTCGGCTCTACAAGCGAATACAAGCAAAAGGACCACAAACAATCTGCAAAAGAACTGCAATTTCCTGGTTTACCAGCTCCAAAGAATAAAGATGCAAGCTCTTCAAGAACTCAAAGCCTGGACATTGAGACATTCTTTAGCCTCTGTAGATCAGATCAGTGCCAAGGTGGATCTGCCGTGCTGGAACCAGGTAGCCGATGGATCAAGCGTCTTCGATTGAGTGATTCAGAACCCTGTCCTTTTGGTACAAAGCACTTGACTATGGAGAAGTTGTCTTCTCATGAAAAAGGATCACCCAGGAAAAGTCTGAAAGGCCGTCTGTCTTGCTCTGAACCTACCATTAGTGAACTTCATGGTAAAGAATTAATGGTTTTAGACATGACTAGAGGCCCAGTAAGATGCACTGATTCATCTTCTGTGGACAAAACACAAAAAGAAGGTAGATTGGCGCTGAATTCGCAGTCTTGGATACGGAGGTGGTCTCAAAATCAGTCTGCAACTCAACAAAAGAAACCTGAAGGGTTAGTCAATTGTGAGCCACAGAGATCAAAACTGGCATCTGAAGACCTTCAAGAGAGGCAACTCCCCAGTGTCGGTGCAATGGCCTTGATGGGGAAGGCCATGCGTGGTTTCCAACCATGTGACTTGCAGAAAAAGGGCCCGGTTATAGTTTGGAATACCAGGAACTCTAAGACGTAATTCACGCACGGATCCTCAACACAAAAAATTGCATTTTCCTTTCGTGGTCATTTGGGAGGATATGGTAGAATTCTACCTCTCCAATGAATAGAGCAAGTGCTTGTAGTGTTCGGCGCCTGTTTTTGTAGAATATAGGCCTTTTCGGGGTATATAGTTCGACGTGTCTGATTCAGTACTTGGCATGAGCAATTTGAGTCACATGCCTGGTTTGACAAGCAAATTCCTTGATCTAGTTTGATGAACTAATTGAGGATTTTGGGAATACCATAATTTATTGTGTAAAGTCTAACGTCAGATGTGGGTATTCGTTTTTGTCATCTCTCTTTATACTAGTGATGTCTGGTCGCGCAATGCGCGACCCTGGCCCAATCTATCTGTAGATCTTAGAAATGTTTATATTTGAAAAAAATAAAATTTTGTATTTGGAGCGATATATTTTAGAAATGTTTGAAGGATTTAAAAATGTTTTATAAGTGTGATCATACAAATATTTGTATTTCGCAAAAAAAATAAATAAATTGTATTTCGCCATGTATGTTTTAGAAATGTTTTATAAGTGTTACTTATTAAATAAATAGCTTAATCGAATATATGTGTTGAAGTAAATGTTAGATAAAATACAAAAGTATCCTAATAAATTTAAATATTAGTAAGATGATTTATTGACGTTCTCCATTGGTCGTGCCAAATCAATACTTAGTTTTAGAGATTTTTAATAGCTTTGTAATAAGTTTCATCCGAAGGGTATACACTTAAAACAAAATTGACACTTTGTAACAAAAAACCTAATTGATCAATTCAATTTAAAAAACCACTCTAGTTGAATGAAACATAAAGAAAAAATTAAAAAAAAATGTGCCACATAAAGTGCAAAGAGAGATTTAGTAATTTAGTTATGGTTAGACAAAAGGGTAATTTAGTATTTTCTACATGCCACGTGGCAATCATATGAAATGTTTGAAAGGGAGGTTTTTGTTTCTAATATAGTAGGATATTAGGCAGAAAATCACACACCTATTTTCAGAAAACGTGATGCATATAGTGTGTTGCACCATTCAATCAACCCGAACAAATCATCTACTCATAAGGGCCATATTTAGATTTGACTTCTACGCTTGGAGGATAGATCAGGAAAACTGTTAACTAAGTTTTACATCAATGAGCTCTTTTTGTCACACCGAATCGATCCTCCCTCACTGACATGGCAACCAGCTTGCTGAAGGGCAGACTCGAAGAAACCCCCATCACGAATTCTGGAGTCGATACCAGGCGGAGCAAATTGAGCCATTATAGCCCTCAAGGTGATCAATCCTTCAACTCTATCATATTCATCTATTAGAAAGCTTACATTGCTCTGTGACTCGGCTAATTTCTTCATGGCTTCTTTCACAGTATCCGACACCCTGTTAGTGACAGGTGATATCATCCGAGGATTTCTAACCCTTGCAACTTCTTTGGTGCGGGTCTCAGGCTGTCCTTTCTCTGCATTTAGCTGGATAAATTCCTTCACTTTCAAGTTTCTACATTGAACAGATAGGAGCCATCAGTCCGCATAATCCTCTTGTTTTGCTCATAATACATTACGGTGCAAGTCATATGCATTATCCAAACTGAGAATAACTTCTGTGATTAAGGGAACTGAGAACGCAGAAAGAGATTACTTACTTTCTGTCACTATAGAGATCAATGTCTTCAAAAAGGCGATACACATCAGTAGCTCTCACTGAACCAATCAACTTCTCCGTTTCTGGCTCTATAATGGCAATTGATCTAGCTCGGCTTTCCCACAAATTTCGCAAGGCCTCCACCATGCTTTCATCCCCATGGATTTTTTCAACTTGCTCAGTCTCTAACCTAACAGAAAAAAGGTGTGTCTTATGAAGTGGTCGGCGATAGCTAGATGTATAAGCTGACTAAGAATCTATTAAGGAAGCCAAAATGATCTCAAAATATCTTCAATTCTAGTTCCAGCTTAATTACCTACATTCAGATAGAGTCTTGTCCGCAATGTTATCAAACCACTCCAGTCCACTGGCTTCAAGAAGGGCACGAACCACTGCATTCTATGAGATGTTTATCATCAGCATACATCATCACAGTTTGAAGTACCTTTTTCAATCAACGAACGATTGACTATGCATAAATATAGTGTTTACCTACGGAACTGCTACCAAACGGCCTCACAGATAAAGGAATCAAACAAGGAGTTGGATTGAAAACAAACGACAATTAGCTTCTAAAACAGCATTGTGTTTTATGAAAGTACCTGATAGACAAAACCAATGATCCTAGAATCAGACTTCTCAGTGACAGGAACAACCTGCAGCCTGTGCTTCGAGAGTAGCATGAGAACATGGAAAAGTGAATCATTAACGTGGATCGGGAAAAAAGGATCCCACAGGAACAGCTTGGCCAGTTCTCCTACCTGCAGATTTACAGTTAATCACGAGCAAAAAAACCTGCTCTCAGGCAAAATGTCATAAGCAAATCCAATCATTTGAACAGTAGTTTCGATGTTCTTCTGACCAAATCATGGCTCAAAGGAGTCTATATAGAGTATAAGATGATTTCGACAATGAAAACCTTAGTTTGCAAAACAGGGTGATTCTGTTCTAACTTGCAGGAGAACCCTTTGTCCCCTATCTCATCTTCACCTTCAAGATCCTCCCTACGAGCTCCAGAACTTTCACATTCCTGGAAAAACGTTTCTGAGAATTCAATAACTCATACACATAATGATTCATTTTACCAAGTCACTTACTAGTAAGCAGTCTAAGGAAATTACCTGAAGAAACCACAATATCAAGGTATCTAAATCAATAAGTCCAATGTATTCTTCAGCAAATTTTTTCAGGCCATGTTCATCGCTCAACTTATGGACTAGAGGGGCAGTTTTTACATCTTTCTCGCGCATCAAATGAAGGATGTATCCCACATTATCTGTTGGCTTTGCTTCCACCTCTGACAGAAGAAAAACATGAAATGATAACTCATAATTGCAAACCACGTTTTACAGTTTACACCGACAGAGAGACGATCAATTGAAATATATAATCCTGATCAATTTAAAAAATCTGAAGGGCTATTAACAAAATGTATAAAAAGAAAAAAGAAAGGAATTTTGGGTCATTGGGGAGTACCGGGGAATGGATTATTGACGATGATATCAGAGATGGAGCTGATGGGGATGTGATCAAGAAAGAGTTGGAGTGACCCGGCTGAATCAATGGATGATTTCGCCTGATTTTCATCGTCCTTGCCCAAAACCTCGGCAACAGCTTGTTTCTTCTCCGATATTCCGCCATCGGAATCTTTAACCAAATCTTCCAATTGTTTGAAATCCATCATCAACAATCCCTATTTCCTCAATTTAACAACATCGTCATGGAGAACCATTTATAACATCCAGGTTTTTTTTAATAATCGTTTTTGAGTTTGTTGGTGGGTTACGTGTGGCTGCCACCATCTGCCATGTGTCACTGGTTCTGAACACCGACACATCCTTTCTCTTTATTTAAAGAAAATCTTCCATACACCTGCTGTACCATTAAAGCCGCATCTTTAAACGACTAAAAATTTTGGAGTTAGGACACCGGTGTTTTTTTCAACTCCTTTTTCGGGCAAAATGACATTGGTTGTGTGGGTTTGGCATCATTTCTATATTCCTATTTTCCATTTCCTCAAGTCTCCAAGGCCCAAGCTTGATTCGTTTTTGTCCGTGAAAACATCAAGGGAGATTGAAGTCCTTGATTTTTCGACTCTCTCTTGTTGTTAGTTACTAATTATGTATATCAATGTGCCATTTCTCCCGTATTTGAGCCAAGGAGTTTTGTTTGTAAGCCATCTTTGAAGGGAACCGAATTGATCGTGGATTCTTAGATAGGGATACTAAAAAAGTCCTATGTCAGGCAAATCAAAATACCAGTTTAGCATTTCACCATCTAGGCATTTTGTATAAATGAAACTTGAAAGGAGCAAAAGGCAAAAACAGATGATGGTTCTCTACTTCTCTTATTGTTGCTTGCATAAACTTGCAATACCTGTTCTTTATAACAAAAGTATCACAACAGATCTCAGTATGTACATAACAACATTATTCGGATCTAATCTTCCTCCTAAAAGCATTATGTAAACTATATAATCATTATGGTCTCTAGTCGAGCCCGGTCTTGGATAATAACTTAAAAAGGATAAACGAGAACAGTCGACCAGCATATTACGGTTTGACACGCGTTTGGAACTGGCTCTAAGATTTCTAAGAGATGCTGCAGAAGTGTCCCGGAGCTTTCATATGGAACCATTCGGGGGTTGCAACTGAAGTTAGGATGGATAAAAACAGGAAAAGGATGCTCAATCTGCATTCTTGCAGCGGGATCCCTCGGTTACCGCCTTTCAGAGAGTGAACTGATGCCAGAGATCATTTTATATCACAGTTCCATCCTTGATTGTTGCTTTCTCCAGAATAATAGTGATTCCAGATCGGATGTAAAAACCTTCCTCAGGTCTATCTGCTTCTTGAACACCCTGAAAATTCATTAGAATCAGTACCCATTTCTACTGGAAATAATGATTTATGATAAAATCCACCAAAGATTATTATGATATGATGAACTTACATCTTTATTCAATATGCCCACGTCTTTCCCTATCTTTGCATTCTTGTCAATTATGCAATTCCTGTGCACATGCTCGCATTTAATCAAAATCCAAAATGGTGGCAAAAGAAGCAGAATGTGGATGCAATAGTGAGTATTGGATATTTATATGTACCTGATCTTCGTATTTCGTCCGACCCCAATAGGAACCTTCCCTTCAGCCAACAAAGAGGCAATTTCAGATTCAGTTTGGTAGTAGTCAGCCCCCATCATCAAAGTATCCTGTGGAAAGCAATTTATAAGGTTACAACTCAAACACAGTCGAGGATGATACAGCTTCTTAAGATTTTGACGCATATTAAAACAATCATACCTTCAGTTCAACACCATAATCTAAACGTGATCTTTCACCCACTATAGAATGTTCAACACGACATTCTCTCAGGAAGCACCCATGAGAGATGATTGAGTCCTTAATCTGTAAACAAAGTTAGTTATTAGAAACCAAAAATATCAAAGAAACAGAACTATCAAATTTATCATGCTAGATACTGAAAAAACAAGTACCTGGCATTTATCTATCTTGGAAGGTGGCAAGAATCTTGGAGATGTGAAGAAAGGTGTCTTTGGGTCATAGAACTGAAATTTTGTAAGCTGCAATTGAAAAAGACCGCATACCTTTTAACTCCTCTTGAAATCAAAGAACTATTAGTTCCAAACTTAATCTACCTGAAGTAAGAACTAATCAGCCTAAATTTACTGACATGTCCTACAAGAGTAGGGCATGATTAAGAATTGTTGAGACAAGGGACGAGAATCTGCAAACCTCATCTGTCAATGCCAAGTTAGCCTCATAGAAAGATTTTATTGTTCCGATATCTTCCCAGTAGTCTCTGAATAAATATGCCTGAAGATACAGAGCCGTTAGCCACAGTGTTTTAGCACAAGTTTAATAGAAACATTGTTGTTCACATAATCCATGTCAAACGGAAAAGGGTTCTATTCCTTACTTGAACATCTTGCTCTTTGATGGATGAAGGTATGATTTCGGATCCAAAGTCATTTGATGTAGGGTACCTCCACTTCAAGAGCTTTAACAATACATCTGTTTTGAATACATACACTCCCATTGAAGCAATATATGGAGAATCTGCGGCCTCTTCCGGAGATAATCCTAGAATAGTAGTATCAACTTGCTGGAATAGAAAAAGCATCATCAAAGTAAGTCTTTTTGACAACATCAGTATGTCTGCACTAACTGAAATCTTGAGCCCTATAGTGATGCCTCAATGCTGTATTGGAAAAGCTATAGTTATTATAGTATTCTTGAATTAGCTCGTTTAAGGCTTCTAAATAATGTTCCCAAGAGGAAAGAGAAAACTAGAACTATATCAAACTTACTAATGAGACAAATGGAATATTTGCAGAAGAACTAGAACAACAATTCCTTACAAGAAAATCTGCTGGAAATGAGAAATCATCCTCTATTGTGGAGGAGAACAAATGTGAAAAAGAAAGTAGCATTGTAGGTCCACATTCTTGTAGGTCCACATTCTTACCATTGCCTTCAGGTCAGCACCTCTAGGCTTTTCAGAAAACTGGATAACATTGCCTCTACTGTCAATCTTCACAAGGCCGAATTCTGAAGCTCGGCTGCCAAGTAAAATTACATGAAGTTAACTGAATAAACATATGAATCCAAGATGAGTAAACACAGGTCTGAATCCAACCAACACTAAACATTTTCCATCCATTATCAGTTCTGCGACGAGATTAATATTTGATCAAAACTTTTAACAGTAAACTACTTGTACATAAAACTACTATTAGGTTTCAAAGATGGAAAACCATATGCAACCATCTTTAATATGAAATGTAAAGCATACCTCTCACCAACTGGAGCACATGAAAGTGTAATATCAGCATTCCGATCAACATGATTCTATCATTGAATAGAAATAATTAATGACAAAATTAAACATCAAAACCATGATACATCCAAAAGATTAAGCAAACCTAATATATGTACCTTCACAAAGTCCATGTAATCCATCCGATAAAGATGATCTCCAGACAATATTACTATGTTATCGATGTCCTTATTTTTTGCATCCTACAAAAGATCAAGTGACACTAGATGAAAACAATGGTAATATCATTGATTCCACTAAAACTTTAAGATCTTTGCCGAATACATGAAAATATCAATCTGGTAAATAAGACTAAAACGATCCGCAAAACAGTTTATAAGCTAATCAAAGACCAGTAATGACAAAAAAAAAAAACAAAAAACAAAAGGAAACACACCTCAAACACCCATGTAAATTGGCGAACAGCGTCTGCAGTACCTTGGAACCAATTCATTCCTGCTTCCCCTGAAGTTTGAGTTGCTGCAAGAACCTGTACCATCAAAGAAGAACTTATTCTCCATTCAAATTCATTTCACATTTTGTTTTTAGCGCTAAGACATGATCACACACGGAGGAATCTACAGTGGGAAATTCCTACCTCTACAAATCCATCGCCAAAGTTCACACCATTCCCATGATAAGTTCTAGCAATATGACGATTTAGAGAAGCAGAGTTGAATTGGGTCAACACAAAGATCTTATTGATTCCACTGTTTAAACAATTACTCATTGGGATGTCAATTAGTCGGTAGCACCCACCCACTGGGACCTGCAAGTCATGTCCGAAACATAATTATCAACAACCTCCAAAATGGACAACAGTCATCGCAATCAGGCATTTTCACTTCTTACAGCAGGAGTGGCAGTTCGGCTAGTGAGAGGGAAGAGTTGTGCCCCTGCACCGCCTCCAAGAATGATAGCAGCCACATTTTTGGGATTCACCCTTCGCCTTTCAAATCGTGGGGAAGTGTCGATGGTGGTCTAGATTGGAAATAAAAAAGAGGCGAAATCAAACATAAAAGAAATGAACATAGCATTATCTTGTTCCATGATTCACAATTCTTGTGATTGCCAAGAACAATAGACTCTTAAATGAAAAACACATCTAAAAAGAAGAAAACATGAAACTCACCATTGTATCCTTTCCAGTCTCTGTCGTGATGACAGACAAAGCAACCCCAGGTTTGAATTTCTGTTTCTTTTGGCCATCAACTTTCAATCCTTTTACAAACTGATGAATGCTCACGTTGCCGTTGAGACTGCTCCTGACCCTTTCTCCCATAATTCCATCTTCTCCATTAAAAGGGCCACCGTTGGGCACATTTGCCAAGTGGGTTGTGGATTTCAACGTCGAGAAGCAAGCAGCTTCCATTATTATTGCTTCACTACTGTAATTCAGCCCCAAAATCGCCAAGGGGATCACACAAACAGAGATGACGTAAATGAGCACGAGGAAAAATTCCGGACCCAGTGAAAGTGGGTGCAATTAAGATGCAAACTAAGCAAGATGTAAAGTATAGATCACACAAAGATTGATTCTAGTACTATGTGATTAATTAAGGAATGAAAGACACAACTGTGACCCATGATCAAAGTTACCATATAAAGTACAAAAAGCATTTACATAATAAAAACAAAGTCCTATGAAGACTGAACAAACCTTAATTTAAAACCTCAAAAGACAAGAAATGGAACACCTTAAAAAAAAAGATAAAAAGGAAAAAGAAAAAATTGGAATTGGAAGTCCGTAAAGGTGTGATCTTTACCTTTGGAGAGCTCGGTAACTTCAAAAACAAATGAAGAAAGCCCAAAATTGGAAGGGTGGTGGGAATGCAGCAACAGAAGATGTTGATCAACAATGGTAAATTTTGATTGATTCAATGGAAGAGTGTAAGCCCAAGAACTGAATCACAGGAAGAAAGTGTGTGAATGTTTGTTGAAATTTAGGCCGCAGACCGGAGGAATGGGAGGTGGTCGTTTATACTACTGGCTAGTTGGGGGTTTTTATTGGCATGTGAGTTTTCACGAGAAATCTTGCAAATCTCTGGTTAAAGTATTTATATTCACAAAAATATGGGGTTTAATTACAGCAAACAATAATGACACTGACTTTCTTTAGTCCTTCCCTCCTTCAAAATATCATCATGATTGGGACAAAGGTGATATGATCCCAAAATTTTATTTTATTTCTTTTCTAAATTGGGATTTTTATTTTAGATTTAATGATTTTCGGCATTGTCCCCCATTCTAGGCTGCTCAACTCAATCAAAGAGTCCAACAGAGACTAGAGACCTGATATTGATCGAACACTTGTCTCTGCATGCATTGTTCTCTTTGACTATTGTTGAACAAATAACAATTTTTGAATCATTATTGGGATTGATTTTTTATTTTTATTTTTTACACTTGTGAGTCACCATCAGCGTAACATGTATGCAAATTGCACAAAATTGGATTTATTTATTTCTCTACAAATTAAATATGCAGACTATCCTAAAAAAACTATCCATTACTCCCTCCGTCGCGAAATGATTGTCGAGTTTTGATTTTTATTATAAATATAATTTGAATTAAAAGTGAAAATTCAAATTAGACAATTATTTTAGAACAGAGAAAGAGAAATATTGTATCCTAATACTACTATGTGGTTGTCATTCAATACATTTATGGTCCTATTAGAAGAGATCTTTCACTTTCTTTCATTTCTGGGAAAAACATGATTACTGCGAAGGTTTGCCTTGTGTTTGTCCGTTTCCAAAGTACGTTCCCAATGTAATGAATGATAAATCATAAATGTTGACGGTAGAGAATGAAGGGCATGAGAGGGTGCACTTGCAGCACACCAGGACATGTTGGCCCAGTTGCCAGAATCTAAGGTCTGTGGTTGGTGTTTTTGGAGTGGTTATTTATCAAATCTTTGATAAGCACTAATCAAAACCAATCGTCTCGGTCCGTAACAATCATTCATGGAACATAAGCCTCGTCTCGTCTAGCAAGGGGTGAACGCAAGTAGAGTTCCGTCTCAATAGCGACCCTTCTATTCTCTCCGTTCTATAATAATCGTTCAGTTTGAATTTTTATTTTTAATTTAAATTGTACTAAAAGTGAAATCTCAAACTGGATAATAATTATATGATAGAGGGAATACGATATAAACAAAATACAAACACTAAAACAACCCCTTCCCTCCAAAAAAAAAAAAATAGATAATTGAAATCTTATCTCTGGATGGCACAATGTACCAGAATTTTGGTTTTTATTGGATTTTTGAGTTTTAGGGGTGATAGTGCAGCCAGCAATTAGTAGTGCTTGGCACACTAACAGTTGGGTTCATGACCTTAGCCCAACACGTTTTTAATATACAATTCATGTGATGAATCTAAAGCTCTAAACATATTCAAGTTGATTATGTAAAGCTAAAGTGCCATGGGTGATTCCGAAATATGTTTGTATAATGATGACTAACGAATGCGCAAAAAAGAGCTAACAAACGTTTTATAATGGAGAAACAAATGAACGTACTAGTAGAATTACTCAAATATAGATGAAAAGAAAAATATTGATGAATAATGAGACCAAAGTACCAAACCAATTACTTATCTAGTGCTAGAGATCTTTGGGAGCTGGGACCATGAACGTGTAAGAACACAAACATGGAACCAAATGGAATCTTCTCGACCTACTTTTCCATTTTTGGCTTGTGAAAATCTTGAATTTGTAGGAAGTCATTGCCGTTTAAAAAAAACAAACTACAGTATAGTTTAACACACTCGTCCATAACAGAAAAAAAAAAAAAAGGAGAAGTTATCCTTATTATAAATTAGGCTCATAAATAAAATTATGTAAATAAAAAAAAACGGAGTATCATTTTCGGCTAACACTTTTTAATAAATAAATCAATATCAAGAAAATTTTAAAAATGTTGCACCAAAAAAATTATGTAAATTATTCAATAACCTAAAGTAGTAGAACGAAACTAAGGGAAACAAAAGCTATAGAGAATAAGCACCCCTAATTCTACACACAAAAAAAAAGTCCCATCCCAAAATGGTAAATTATAAGGTAAAGGAAACAGACAGGCCATGTTACCAAGAAGCTTCAATAATGGAGTTACTACTCCACCCAATTTCCATTTGTCATTTTTTCCTGCTGGAAGATTCAATTTGGATCGTCAATCCCTAACAAATTGTATCATTTCCATTTGTATTCTTATGCTTTGTATAGTAACGCTAACACATGTTAAGTCAAAAGCTATTTACAATAATTTCCTTTTAATTGGTTAGTGGTGAAACCTTCCTTTCGTTGCGTTCCATCAAATAGTGCGGTTTCATATCACAAATATCAAGATGTCCCTCGATCATAATGTAGACAATTCTGCATCCTACTTTGTCCATTACATTTACTATATATGAGTTAAATCATTTGAATTACAGAGTTACTGATAAACCGTGATACTATCTCTTTTTTTTAACAGACAGGGTGATGACAGTTAGTGAGAATCGAACACGTTACGCGTGCTAGAACTTTAACGAACTCGATGAATCACCAATCTTTTTTTGTTGCTTATTTCATTCTTAAAAAGAAACTGCGCTTTGGATTGCTATTAGAGTACTATGAAGTCTAATGGATCGACCAAAACCAAACCGGAGCGAGGGTGTTTCCATTCATGGTAAATTCATTAGGCAGGCATTTACCACAGATGCCTTGAACCGCTTCATGTTAGGGATGATTTGTTGTATCCACAAACAAAATAGTACGCAAGTGAAAAACTAAAGCTACACAGCAATTGAATTTGTCTCTGCGGAAATAGAGCCCAGATCAAGTGGCTGTTGGCAATACCAAGACCCCATCAATAACATCGTCGGACAATAATTGAGGACTTTGTGTCACAACACCATTCCACGGACTTGCATGAACAGTGACACGTGGGAACTCACGAAGAATACAGTATTTTGTTGGCATCCTTTGTATCGAGCAAATAGCCAAATAAGGAATAGGAGGAGTTCTTGGGAGGAATCCAAAGGCAGTTAAGTAAATTGGAAGAATGTGATGAAGCAAGGGAGAAGTTCTTGACATCAGAAGACTTTCAGATTGCCTAGCAGGGGATACATCATGCTGGAAGGAACCAATGCACGTTCCTGAATGTTTGTTAAACGGTTTGATACTGGTGTCATTCAGGGATTTTGGAGGCCTTACCAACGAGGTTAAACTGATAAGTTATATTCTGAGGCATAGTGTAGTGATGAAAAGGATTACTTTATACTGGCATGGTGTATCCATTTCAAGAGAAGTTGTACATATTGATGTTACCAAGAGCATATCATTCTTGTCAAATCAAATTTTCTTGAGAGGAATTTCGGTGATATGTGTTGTTTCTGAAATATGCAAACTTCCATCTACTAGATATGACCACTTTTCAAAAAAAAAAAAATGTGGCTCTCTTTTTCATTTTTTCAATGAGATTATGATTATAGAGTTATAAAAGAACTTATCAGGAAGTGTTTTCATGTACTTATTTATCTTAGTTAATATATTACTGGATCTTCCAGGTGACTCTAATTTTTAAATGTTCACAGAATCTATGAAAATAGGTCTAAAGAGAACCATTTTTTTTTTTTTTACATAGGAAGGAAGCCAAAGCGGCTTTGTTACACTTCATCCTGATTGAGGCGGGGTGAAGATGCAATATCTAACTCTAGACTCTCTTTCACCTTTGAGGGAGGCGTTGACGAAATATGCTCCCCTAACGGGCAGCACAAGCCAAATTTTGCAAGGGCATCCGCTGTTTCATTGTTCCACCGCTTGGTATGCCCTACCGAAATTTGCCAATTAAGCTTAAAAAATAACCTAATCCTATGGAATATATTAGTGTTCACACACGAAGAATCTTTGTCTGTCAAAAACACAACTGCCTTAAGAGAGTCTAGTTCTAAATGTACTTTCTTGAAGCCTAGGTCCCAGGCTATCTTCAATCCGATGTAGGCACCCCACAATTCAGCTTCTAACACCTTGCAGCATCCCAGATTAGCCGCGTAACCAATTATTCATTCACCATAAGTGTTCCGCAAAACTCCCCCAGCTGCTGCCTTGTTGGTGTTTAAAGAGAATGCCCCATCCGAATCGATCTTGATTTGATCAGCTGATGGTGGAGTCCATTGTCGAAGGGGACGTCTATTATGCCTGCTGACACCAGCCTGGGTAGGCTGCTTGCAAACTTTTTGGACAAAAATCTTCTTTGCTCGATCAATCTCTTCAACAAGAGCATATATTGCGAATCTCAGAGATCTTTGAGTGATTGAGGTATCTCTGAAAATTTCTTCGTTTCTGCTATTCCACAGTTAGCAAGCTACAACATACCACAGTGGCCATTTCCATTGTTCCTGCGAAAAAGAGCATTTCAAATTAGTGGTAACCCAAGTATTCCAATTAGATTCATACCAGAAAGCAACCCCTAAATTTGAATTGATGCTCCTCCACAATTCCTTGCTCCGAAAATAATCCCTAAACACGTGGAACAGTGTTTCTTCATTTCCACAAGATTGACAGCTTCCATCATCCGTCATGTGTCTCCTTTTTCTTTCAGAATTTGTCATCAATACCCCCCTGAACATCAACCATAGGAACAGTTTAATCCTTTTTGGCCCTTTCCAGTGCCAAATCAGTCCCCAGTCCTTGTCTAGTGGTGTCCAATTCTGCTCCATCGATGCATTGTATGTTGTTGCTGTAGTAAATCTCCCGGATTCCATGAATCTCCACACCAGGCGATCTCTTCCCAGGTTCTGTGAAGGCGGTGGAATAGCTCTGATTCTTGCCAATTGCTCAGGTGGTAACAGTGGCTAAAACAGATTCCAGTTCCAGTTGCCCGATTCATCCACGAAGTCGCATACTTTTTTCCACCACGAATCACCTGTCAATTGTACCATTGCATACAAACGAAGTGGTTCGCCTGAAACATCCACCCAGTTATCCAGCCAGAAAAAGGTCTTTCTCCCATCACCAATCAGCCACCTTATTCCTTTTACAACTTCATCCCATACTGAAGAGATGTTTTTCCACAATTGGGATACCATGTTCCTGGAAATATCAGTGGGGATTTCTTCTCTATTGATCCCATATTTTGCCCTCAAAACATCTTGCCAAAGGCCTCTCTCCCTCGAGAGTATACCCCATGAAAATTTTAAGATGAAAGCTACATTAAATTCCCTTAGTTTTCTGAGTCCCAAGCCTCCCATCGCTTTCGGTTTACAAACCTCCTCCCACTTGACTAGGCTCATCTTCCTTTCCCCCGGCTTACATCCCCATAGAAATGCCCGGCGTACTTTGTCAAATTCTTCCGTGATTCCTTTCGGAAGAATAGTGGTCTTCATAAGGTAGACAGGGATTCCCATCAACGCGGACTGAGCTAATGTTAGTCTCCCCGCCATTGAAATTCAATGTGAATTCCACTGTTTCGCTCTCTGTTGGACTTTAGATACCCATTCTCCATATAGATCCTTTTTTACCCTTCCATGTATAATTGGAGTCCCCAAATACTTGCCTAAGTTGTTCACTCTCTGTACTCCTAATCCCTCAGTAATAGCATCAGCTACATCCCAATCAACATTCGGAGACATATACAAGACAGACTTCTCCTTGCTTATAGTTTGTCCAGAGACTTGACAGAAATGCCCTAAAGTTTCTTGGATCACTTCCATCTACTCCAAACTTGCCTCCGCAAAGAGGATGAGATCGTCTGTAAAAAGTAAGTGTGACAATGGGACCTGGTTATGTCCAAAAAACAGCAGCTTCCATCTTCGCGTGTTTACCTGAATGTTTATAGGCTGTGTTAATCGGTCCATACACAACACAAAGACATAGGGAGATACCGGATCTCCTTGACGAACTCCCCTATTCGGCTTAAACTCCTCTCCTATAATTCCATCCCATAAGACTTGAGTGGAACCTGTCCGGAGCGAGCTCATTATAACCTTCTTGAATGAATCAGCTATCCCCGCATCATCTAAAGTATCATCAATAAAATCCCATTGAATACGTTCATAGGCCTTAACCAAGTCAATCTTTAGGGCCATCCAACCTTTTCCTTCTTTTGCAAAATGCATCGTATGGATGGCTTCTTGTGCAAGTACAATGTTTTCGACAATACTTCGTCCAGGCACGAAGCTGACTTGTGTTGGCATCACTATGAGTTCTCATCACACCCCTTCTCATCACTATGATAGTATCCGTAAACCAGTCCTCCCAGAGTACATTAATAAGAACTCGGTCCAACCTCTCGTGGCACATCCGACTCGCCCAGGTGAATCTAGAACCCACAAAACTGGCATCCAACATGTCATTTCTCTCTATTTATGCTTTAAACAATTTACACCCCTGAGAGTGACGACCCCCAACTTTCTCCATCTCGTGTGTAATTGCGTTGAAGTCTCCTGCTATATGCCAGGGTCCATCGACTGTACCTGCAACCCTGTCAAGATTCTGCCACAATGCTCGTCTGGTTAGCCATTAGGTGCTACCATACACCGTGGTTAAGAAACAAGAAACATTATCACTAAAAGACAGTTTCATATGAATGAACTGTCAGTCATTTAAAACAATTTCTACTGAGACCGTGTTACGCCACATTAGCCAAATACCGCCAGAACGACCAACAGCCTCTACTCTATGGGAGTTTTTCATCCCAATTTCCTTAATTACATTTAGTGCATCCTGACCATTAATGTGAGGTTTGAAGACAGCAATAAGATCAATCCTATGCTTCCTAATCATGTTTTTAATTCTAGCAATCGATTTTTTTTATTGGAAATGCCTTGGCAATTCCATGTCATTAGTCTTTGATCCATTTAAAACAGAGATGAATGGTGAAGAGATTACCTGCCAATATCCGGCAAGATCTCCTCATCGGCTTCCGACCTGTGGTTATACTCAACCACACTCCGTTGGTCTTCCGCCGAATTGAACATCTCGACATCTTCCTCAGCCGGTTGTTCGCCTTGTATGTCCGGTGGCCGGGAGCTCTTCTCCAACCTCACCTTTAATTTGGATTTTATGTGGAAAGCACTGGCAAGGTCGGGTGGTTTGTCTACTATTGGTTCTGGGGTTGATTGGATTAATTCATCCGAGTTTGTGTTTGAATTGTTTTCTGATTCTTTTCTGGGGTTTGGGTGGGGAATTGACACCGCCGTGTGTGTGGTTTCAATATTGGTCAGAGTCGACTGGTGTTCTCCGGTGTTATTGTTTGCAGAGAGGGTGATTTCATCGGTTCGGGTTGGTGTATTTTGGGTTATAGTGTTGGTAGGTAGGTTCTGTTTGGGCCGGGGTGGAGGTAGTTGTATCTGGCCCGTTTGGGTTGAGGGGCTAATGGTATTATCCTAGTTTGTAGATTGGGCCCGTGCCTCCATTTTGGAGTTTTTCTTGATCCAGCTCCTTTCTTGGGCCGGTTGGTCAGGTTTCCTTTTTGTCGCCTTGGTGTTTGGGCTTGGATTTTTGGGGCCCTTACCTGTTTGCTCCTTTCTGATTCCCTGGTACCTATCAAAATGGGTAAATATCAGTGGATCCAATGGATTAGTATTAAAATGAAAGTTGTGGTTACCGAATTGTGAAGATGACGGCTGGTTTTTGTCCTTTGGAGGTTGTTCTGTTTGGTCATTCTCCATCCCGGCAAGGGGTGCAAAGGGGTTCGTTTGTGGCCGGCAAGCTTGATTGCCTTTTCCCTGAACGTTGGCTTTAACTGTGCCCCCTTGATTCCCGTTGTTTTGGTTTCTTCTTCCTCTCTTCTGGGCGTAACTCCACTCGCCTAAGTTATTAGTTGTTTTAAGTTGCATCGGGAGTCGAGCCACTTTTTCCCAGCTAGCATCGGCCGTGTGTGGGGCTTTGTTCCTCTGTTCCTGACCGTTGGAGTTTGCTGATGTGACAGCTGGACCGTTGGGAGCCATTTCTGTTGCCGTTTCCGACTGCTTGGTCGTCTCCTCCGACGGTTTGGCCGAAGCTTCTGGGCATTCCTCCACCGTGTGGCCGTACTTGTCGCGGTGGAAACATATGCGTCTTAGATCCTCCTACTCCACCGTATAAGCCTTACCGTCTATTTTCACCTTGCCAACCAATGGTTTTGTTAGATCCAATTCAACAGCCAACATTGCGTATCTTCCTCTCTCAGCCAGTAAAGTATTCTTGTCCCCTTTTAGGTATCGACCTTTGGTTTTGATAGATCTATGAGGAGTGCCTCATGGAAGTTGTGTCCCGGCAATCCATGTATTCTAATCCAAGCTACGACAGCAAAGATGTTTTCAGCCTTTGTGTCAAAATTAATCTTCCATGGGAGCAGTGTTATGTAATGGTCCACAATTGTCCACGGGCTATTGAGAAGGGCATTATGATAGTCTTCCTCATGCGTAAGCCGGATAATGTGATAACCGTCAATGGAATCTACCAAGTGAATGTCGCCCTTAGGTTGCCACAGATTCATCACTCTTTTGTGTATTGTCAGAAAATTGAAGTTCCTTCCTAATGGTCTGACAACAATCGAATATGCCATTGCCTTCTCCGTTCTCCTTTTCACTCGATCAGCAAAGTAAATTGCAAGCATTCCATCTTCTGTTGAGTATGTTACATCCCCAGGTTCAGTCATTACCTCCTCCAAATGAAACCCTTTTGAGCTTTACTGTTGATTGCCCTTTAAGAGGGTCTCCTTGAAAGATGGATTGTTCAATCTTGAAAGCTTTTCGAACGCGTTAGGTTGTTCCGTCTCCTCGCGAATCTTATTTTTCTTGGATGCTGGATACCCAGTGTGATGGTCCGTGGGGACTGGTTCCTCTACTTCCATTTCCATGGAAGACAGGAGAGAAAGGTTATGTAATTTTACGGTGCTAAATGATGCAGGGCCTTTCTAGTGATAGAAAGGGAAGAAGTATTTCCTAGTTCCTAGACTTTTGTAAGAGAACCGTTTAGGATGCAATTCGTTTTTCTCTGGGCTGCTGGGCAAGATGGTGAAGAGAAAGCAACATACAGCCCACCATCCGCTCAAATTTGTGGCTTTCAAAAAGATTTGTTCAAGCTCCTCCTACCTCATCTCCATTCCAAAGCTTGTCTATTTTTTCGTGCCCCATAAGATCTAGGGGAATTTTGTAGTTTTGCTTTAGCTTGTTGCTAATACAGTTATTTGTTTCTAATCGTCAACTCAGTAACCGCAACAGCAAGATGATAATGAAATAAACGAATGATACATTTCTGTAAGTTAAATCGTTTGAATACCAAAAACAGATTTGCAGACACAGCTAGCTATCGAAAAATCCCCCCATAAAAGTAATAACAACAGCAAGATGATAATGAAATAAAAGAATGATACATTTCTGTCAGTTAAGTCGTTTGAATACCAAAAACAGATTTGCAGAAGCAGCTAGCTATCGAAAAAGCCCCCCATAAAAATGATGATTAAGTCGATTTATAGTCATCCGATCAATTCTATGCCAATGCCTCGGATTCTCAGTATTACACCTATCCACAATCAGATCTCAAGACTCACAGACTAAAACAACACATCCTGTTCGATCAAATCATGTGTCAAAAGGTATTTGTTCCAAGCATTGTTACGGAGATTTGCAACACAAGGATAACACAAGTTGGACAGTGCACAGACACCCAAAACACCTAATATGGGATGCCAGCATGCAAAGATGAAATGCAACAGGCTACAAAGATAATGTAAATAAGTATATCGCACAGCCCCTAGTGAAATAGGGATATTAGGGAAATTGAACTATCCAACAGCGAGAAACTAAACAAAATCTTTGATGAAGCAAGTATACCAGAACTCATATTTTCAAACAGCAATAAATAAATCCATAGCCTTTTTGACAAATAAAACTTAAATTCAGCACATAACTAATGCTTCGGGCAACAAAAACCTAAAATTATGGAAACAGCCAGGCATCCTACGCAAGTAACACTTCAAGTGTTAGTAGCCCTGGTGTATATCTGCTGGCTTGCATGAGCAGAAACCATCCTGATAGACCCTCTGGCCATCAATTCCCTAATAGCCTTCCTTGCAAGGGATCCACTAATCTGCAACATTTTACAATAATTGATGAGAATAATCAAACAAAACACCTAAAAGCAGATACCAAAAGTAGGACTAGGATTAGCAGAAATTCACAACGGCTTCTAGAGCCCAAAAAAATGAACCATCGAAAGGTAATCAAAATAATGGGATATTTCACAACAGATTCCAGAACAAAAGAAAGGTATGAATTTTGCATCATCATAACAAAGTATTTTTAATCAAGTGGCACGAAGAGTAACTGGATTTAGATTTTCGAATGACACTCATAAGAGAGCATCCTAATTCAGCTTTCTATTAGACAACATTAAAGGTTGATCAATCCAAACAACCAAAAGAGTGCAAACTTGAACCTTCAAACTATGCAGGAATCAAAAGGATACCAAGCAAAAAACATAAGTTGGCCTAGAATTCTTTCCCACAAAACAAAAGGAAGCATGATACGCCTTCCAGGCAAAGTAAAATACAGATATCAACCCAACAACAGTCTCCACAAACTGCAAAATAAATTGCCTAAACATACTATGAACAAAAACAAAAGATATCAAAACATGACAAATAATTACTCTAAATCTAGATTACAAAGTATAAGAAAGTTACCCTGAGACGGTCGGAAAGAACGGATGGGGTAATGAGCTTGTACTTAGGAGCCTCAGACAAAAGCTTATCGTAGGTGGCCTTGTCGAACAGCACCATGTTGTTCACCTTTTCCTTTTGCTTTCCCTTGCTCCACTTCTGCAGTTTTCAGAAACAATCCAACACACAGACAAGTTAATCAGCCGCTAGAACAAGAAAAAAACAAAACAACCACAAAACCCATGAGCGATCGAGGATAATGTATAAGAAAACAAGACCTTCTTCTTCTGCTTGCCGCCGCCGGACTTGGCGGGCTTGGAGGACGGTGGGGGAGCTTTATCCTTCTTCGGCGCCTGAAACAGCAAAGAACGGGGATCAACTAAACCATCAAACCGGAGGAAAAACAATAAGAAAAAACGCACATAATAGCGGTTGATCGGAATAGGGCGGCAACTGAACGGAGACGAACCATCGGAAACTGTGGTTGTGGTTGGGTGGCACTAGGGTTTTGAGCTGAGCAGCTGTATTCTGGCTCTCAGAAAAGAGAAGAAATGGGGTTAGGCTCATTTGCCCATTCTGAAGCTTATTTAATTACGGGCCAGATGGTGCAACCAAGTTTTGGCCCATCATATATGTTCGATTTAATAATGTCACATCCATGGACTCAATTGATTGTAATAGTTAGTATAAGGACCAATGTGCAAATGGTCAGAAGTATGTATACAAGAGGTCAAAGTGTAAAACATCATCATTGATCAGAATAATCGAAAATTCCAGATTTGGAAAATATCTTCTTCCGTCGTTCTCTCGATTTCCCCTTTTCTTCAAAAACCCTAATTTCTCTGTTCTTGATTTCAACCTCTGATTTTCTCCCCAATTATTTCTAATTTCACGATTTTCACTCAAGATCGTGACAAATAATATGTTCTTTTTTATGTCATCAAGCCTGAAAGTGTAAGAAGGCCTAATCCAATACCCAAAAGGAAAAAAAGAAAAAAAAAAAGATCATCTTCGGTCTTCTCGTGAATCATTTTTTTTTTTCAAACGATAATCATATATTAAATAAAATGAAAAGTAATACAACCACAAGAGTTGTGTTATAATAAATTACGGTTGAGCTATTACAATTCGTCTTTCTCGCTATACCTAACCATAAAATCAGTGATAATTATAAATGAGTTAGGTCGAGCTAATTTGACAAAATTATACAGAAAAGAATTGTTAAAATTTATACAGAGACGAATAGACATTCTATTCTAACAAAGGATAGTCAGACTAAAATCTAACAAAACTAAAACTGCAGATTTAGCTCTGAATCTCATGAATCACGAATGAACAAAAATATTTTAGGCCATGTGCATATAGTATAGTATGTATTTGATTTTTAGCTTGTAAATAGAGTTGGAGAGGAATTTGTGGTATTGAGCTTGATTTTAAGTGATATTTTCAATAAATTAATGAGCAAATACTTATACAGATGCTAAACCTTCAAACATTTGATAAATTCTAACAGTGAAAGAGTAACAAAGGTTGTTAGTCGCACCAAATATTTCGAGTACAACAAACATTAGTATATCTCATCACTCATCAGAATGTAAATATATACACAAAGAAAAAGAGAAAGGGACTAATTCGACCGTGTTGCGCCGTGGTAGCATCTGTACCATTCCTACAGGCCTCATCATCCCACTACCATTTTGGAAAATGACTATAAAATTAATGTCCTTTTATTTATCTTTTTTCAAAATACTCCATACTCCACTCGGGTTAAAAAGCGAGATACTCCATTATTGTTCCCATTAGTGATACAAAACAACATTGAATAAACACACTTCAACAATACGAGGTTCGTATTATCACTCAAATGAGTCATGTGATGATCCCTATTTAGGTTAGTGTGTATCCTTATCTCTTCTAAACAGCCTTTTTAGAACCCAAAAAGTTGCACTAAGATCATTGAAAAGATTGATTAAGTAACTTTGCATCAAGTCCGGGTTTAAGAATAAAGAAATGGTTAAAATAACTGATTCCATAAAGCAAAATCCGGTATTGGGCAAAACAGTATACTAAGGAGTAAGGAGAATAAGAATACTTACTACTGCTAGAATAAATATATCCTTACTTGAAAAAGGATTTTGTCTCCCACTTCTGCACCTAATTTAACCACTGAAAAAAATATAATTAACCAGTGAAACCTTTTTCAAAATTTGGATAATATAATATATCCACAGGAAAATGGAGCCCAGAGATCTAACCCATTTGGAGAGTAAAGGCCGCCTAGCTTTAAGCCCAATAATGCAGTGAATTTAACTACCAAGTCCACCATATTGGGCCACCACTACTTTACGCACCTAGTTTGGATTCGAAATCTAGTCACCGCCAACACTGCTGCTCTACGCTTTTACTGTATCACAGAAGAAATGTTTATTTCCCAGTTTTTTTAAGAGAAAATTATTTATCACTGATAATAAAACTTTTGCCGAGATGTCCAATGATGCCATGTCAAGTAATTAATCATCACTCAAACAGGTTTATTTATTTATTTATTTAATTTTTAGTATCAATGAAAAATAAACATAATTAAATAATTTAAAGAAGTAACATTCAATTTTCACAATATAAGATTTAGATAAATAAAGAAAAAAATTAAAAAAAATCTTATGTCACACGGTATCATTGGGCGTATTGGCACAAACTCTTTGTCAATAATCCCTTTTTAAATTATATGCCTATTATTTATAAGCTCTGATGCAACATTTATCAAGTTAATTTCTATCATCTGTATATCAAGAACTTTGTGTTTTTTTTTTTTTGTCTTCTTTTATTAAGGTCGGCCCTCTTTTACAGATTTATGACATATGTTACAATCACTTCTTGTATGCACCGTAACTTAAGAACTTACAATAAATTGTTTGCATGATATATACCATAATCACCCTCTTTCCTTAAATTGTAATTTACAATGGTTTTAATGTTCGTACTTTTGTCGAAAGAAAAAAAAAATGAAGAAGAAAAGAGCTAAGGTGGTATCTTATCGCAACCAAAATCGAGTGGAGAATGCTTGCCTTTTCTCGTCGATATAAGTTTTTGGCTGAGAATTAATATTTTAATTTTAAAGTAAAATTGATTAGGACTAATTTAAAAAAAAAAACAAAACAAAAACAAAACAAAATAGCTTGACAAGACAGTCTTTTTTGTTTTATTTCAGGATTGCTTTATTTTTCCGGTAATGAAGGGAAAACATGTAGGACTTAAATGTCAAGTCGTGTTTTATGAATTAAAAAAAAAAAGGATAATTAGGGGGGAAAAACATCAAAAACAAAAGAGCACTCCCCACTGGGAAAATATCGTTACGTTTATGGCTTTGGTTGATCTTAAGCCCAACAAATGGCTAAACGGTAACTTACGATGTGATATTTACTTTTATTCTGATTGATTTTGTAAGTAAAACCGTTATCATTTTTAACTAGTAATCCTGTAAGCACCTCTCTTTTTTTCATGGATGGCATATTAATTACCAAAATAAATCACAGTTGCACAAATGTTACAGTATATAAGGTAAGGGAATATGATGCTCTTCTTGGGTTTATCTACTAATTAAAATGATATGACAAGTAATTTGAGGCATTTATAAAAAGGGGAAACATATTTACAAATTGTGCTTCGTTGACATGTTTCGGTTTGATAATTTTTTTAGACAAATTATTTCATCCGTCTCATCCAATGGTTGGTCGTGACAAATTAAATAGAACGATGAGTTATATTACATCTGTCCTAAAAAAAGAATTCACGTTGAGTTTTTAAATTTGTACTAAAAATAGTACAAATCTCAAAATTTAAAGTGGATAGTTATTGATACTATACGATTAGTTCGGATTCGGAGCTGCTAATTGCATTCTAAGAAGAAAAAGGAAAGTGACAGTTGCAAAGTTCAATCATGCCAACGAAGGAATGAAGGGTACGACATATTGCAATAGCTAGACGAAACCATAAAATCCAGGACGGAAAGAATTTCTTTGTAATTATAATTTTTCTTTTGGAAAAAAAGAAAAAGAAAATGGTAAAAGCAAATGAATTGCAATGAAGTTCCGGAGTGATGGGCCGGTAGGAATTATTTGGGATTGGTGGGCTCAAAACTGGCCTTTTAAACTCAAGTGGCAGTTATATTTGTTTCTTTACGTGAAAGTTGTTTTTTTTTTTTTTTTAATGGTACGTGGCAATTTCTTAGTTAGTAAGGAAGTAAAGTGTGGAGTTCAATCAAAGAGGCTGCTACACTTGGGCACCAATTTACCACGTGGAATTCCCTGATTAAAATCGATTAATTACATTGTCAAATCAGTCATTTTCATGGGATTTTGGTTAGTTGATCTTTGTTCTCTTAACAATTTCTTATTAATAATTCCCACTTCTAAAAAACAAATGTTACTGCAGGGAAAAAATATCCCATAAAAGTGGTTGGAGTTTTCAGATTGTACAGTCAAGAATGTGAACCGGTCGGGTCCCATGATCCGGAGATGAAACAATTTGAACAATGTATGTATGTGACTATGAATGTAGTGGTACATATATATATATATATATATGAAATAGAAAATTCATATCTACGATATTATGTTATTATAACTTATAAGTTACTTCATCTGTATTCTACTATTATTACATTCAGTTTAAACAATAAAAATATTAATAGATTGTTACATTGTTAAAAATAAATATTAAAAATCTAAATTAAACAATAATTTCGAAATAGATAGAATAATATTAAATTTGAACTAGTTTACATTGTTACGATAGTTACACGAATTATCTGGTTGGTTGAGGATCAAACGGGAACTTCACCGCTGGGAACATTCCACATTATTTCCCAAATAACGATCACTCTCTAGAGTTTATACATTCACATTCATCTTTACTCTTCAACATTACATTCAAGGAACAACATTTTGCTGCCGCGCTGGAATCAACCGGCTCATTTTATGGTCGAACGGAATCTTTGTCGCATAAATGTACACTAAAAAGATGAAGATATCGTGTAGACAAGAAGCACAATAAGGCATCGATACTATAGTTTAAGCATGATATTAGAGGACACAAGGCACTTTTTTTTTTTTTTTTTTTTGAGGCACTTCATTTCATTAATTTAGAGTTCAATCTTATCTAATTGAGCTATTTCGTTGAAGTTTGTATGTGTTAGATAGGCCGCTATTTGGAGTCCTTTTATGGTTTCTAACATAATATTAATGAGTAATATGTCCTGCAAGTATAATGATTTGTAGTTTTCTTCCTTTATATATATATATATGTTGATATATATATATGTTGATATCAAATTTATTTATTTGATTACTTTCTGTGTGATATTAAATCCTCTTACAATTAATCGGAAAAGAATTTAATACTTTTTTCGACAACAGAATAATGTGCTGATGTTTGGCCATATTGTTCAATTATGCAAAAGCATATAATTCGATTCTTCTTTTCCTCGACAGAATTTTAGAGGGATTTGTCATTTCTCCACTTGAGCGAAATTCCCAACTGCTTATCCAGAATAGATAAATTGATGCATTGAGGATATGGGATATTTTAATCTCAAAACCATTCACTAGCTACTCGAATCAACACTATAATTATAATTTCACAATTAGTATATGGTCAAAGTGATAAAATATTGGATCAGCTTTACAATAGTTAAGGTACAAATTTCGGCATAAGCATGTTAATTAGAATACAACATCTATTACGAGAGTTTTGTACATGAGCTTGCTCTCGTACGAAAAGATGATCATTTGAATTTAAAAAAATCGCTCGATACAAATTAGTCAAAACAGTAATTTTGAAATTTGAATATTAACGTATTATTCGACAAAAAAAAACATTAAAATTACGATTCAGTAACTTTGTCTACCTAATAGAAAAGCTATTATGTTATTTCAGTGTAGCTCTTCAACAAAAATATTTAGTGTAAAAATCAAAACTATACCAATAATAATAATAATAATAATAATAAAGTGGCAACAAGGAATAAAAAAAGAAGGAACACAAAATGGAATCTTCCTTTTCCTATAAATACCAAAGCTGCCTTCAAAGCACCACATTACAGCTTCATTGTCCATATTTTCTCCTCCAAAGCCAAAGAAAGAAAACACAAGAAAAAGAAAAGCCACATCTAAAGCAGCATCCACTGATTCAATTCCACTCCCCTTTTTCAGTGTTCAGTCAATTAAACAACACAGAGAACACATCCAGTGTGTGTGTTTTCTTAACGTTCTTCTTACTCCACTGAACAAAAATATTCCATCATTAATCATGAGCTTCATTGTTCAGACATACTCTGTTAATCCAGGGGCTCGAGCCAAGTTCTTAACATCAAAGGAATACTCTTTCCAGTGAATCCTTCTCCGCCCTTCATCAACACCAAGCACATAGAAAATTCCAGGAATTCAGTGATACATACAGAATAATCATCCAAATCATTAAAAAAAAATAAAAATGGATCCCTTGAATTTGCACAACATCAAAGTGGAGAAAGCCAATGCAAAGCTTAGGTACCGTAGGATGAAAAAAATCACAGCCCTGTTCCGGCTGCTGGAGCTGTGCATATTTTTCTTCATCATTTCCAGGTTCACGACGCAACTCCCTATTGCTTTCAAGCTCTCCGGCGAATTTTTCCGGGGAATATCCGTATTCGCGGTGAGTCCCAGGTTCGTTTTCATCGTTGGGAACGTAATAGTTATCATCCTGTTTCTGAAATCCGGTCAATTATCCGGTAAAGATGGTAACTTTTCCGGCGACGGAAGCAGCAAACCGGACCTTTATGAGGAGTACGTGAAGACTTGTGAAAAGAGCCGAACTGTTTATAAAGAATTGGAAAGTAAGAATATTATTACAAGTAGCGTTAAAAAACAGAGGAAACAGAGTATTTCTGTAAGTAGAGAAATAGTCCATCCTGAGTCTGCACATATTAATTCCGAGGAGAAGAAGATGAAGCTACGTAGAAGTCAGTCTGAGAATCCAAAGACGATGGCGCTGAAGCCTGTAAAGGAGGAAGAGGAGGAGGAGGCGGAGGATAACATTGCCGGAAGGAAATTACGGCGATCGGTGACCGTTAGATACAGAGAGAGTGTAAATTCCGATCAGGGAAAGCCGGCGGGGGTCGGTTCAAGAGCAGAGGATCAAATGAGCAATGAAGAATTCAGGCGCACAGTTGAAGCTTTTATTGCTCGCCAGCAGAGGTTTTTGAGGGAAGAAGATTAAACCTTTTTTTTCAGCTACCATTTCTAATTAATGGGTTTTTTTTTTTTTTTAAAAAAAAAAAAAGAAGCTTTTTTTCCCTTCTTCTTCTTCTCCTGATGTTTCTTGAAACAAACCCTTTTCTGGTTATCTGTATTTAGTGAATATGGCAGTCAAGCTTAAAGAAATACATAATCATAATATACTCATCTCTCTGTGTCCATATTTATCCACTTTTTTATTATGGATATGCATGGTTTCGGATCTTCATTTTCAGAGTGATTTTAGTTCTCATGTAGACACTTGTTTTGAAGAACTAATCCATTTGATCTGAAATAAAGACAAGCATATGGTACAGCTGAAAAAAAGTGGTGTGCCATGAAGATTTTAATTTAATTACTGTTATAAATTCCAGGGCAGAAACATAATTTAAATCAGAAAAGGAGTGAACGGAAAAAAAGTGTAGAACATGTCGATACATGATTCAATATCAAAACAGGATTGTCGATTTGATTTTACTCCCTCCGTCTCAGAAAAAAAAAAAGCCATCATAGTTGTTCGTTGTCATACAGTTTTACAGAACAAGTGAAATATATTTTTCAGGTGCACATTGCACTCAACTTTTAGGAAAAAAAATCTAATAAAATCTAAGACGGAATAATTGATGAGTTCATAAAATCAATGGAATTCTATGGAAATGGGAAACAGTTTATTTATTTTCCGTAGTTACAGATTCTGTGGCCTAGTGGTAAGACATTTTTGCTGGATTTCACCATACAAAGTCAGTGAGGATTCCATAAGGAAATGGAAGAAAAGATAGGCTGTCGTGAGAAAATATTCCGAGTTCATGTTCCACGAATTTGTATATGCTTTTATTCCATACCAATACAGCTTAATATTCGGAATGTGACTATCGTAAAAAGGTTTGTGTTATGCGAATGCAAAGGAAAAAAATGCCTTAAAAATCACTTTTGTGACACACGGTACATAACGTAGACTAATCTTTAATCCATTTGAATGCTTAGGGTTTATACGAAATCCCTTGAAATCATACACGACAAATTACTTCGAACTAATCTGTTCAATGTTCACTTCAGCCTCGCTTTAACGATTTATTGTCATAAATCATAAGTGATTGAGTGAAATGCTCTTGATGAAGAAATAATATTACTAGTAAACAAACTCTTGTGAGTAATTGAGATAGATGGTTAATTGTTACCTATCTTTTTTCCCCAAAAGCAAGAAGAATCTTTTCATGCTGAATAAACTTTTATGATAGTTTGGAATGTTCAAGGAATTGTTTTAAACGCGTTGAATAATAGTAGTGTGTATTTTCTAGTTACTCTTGTGACAAAGGATTTTCCTGTTCACATGTATGTGGTTGGAATTCGTTGAGAATTCTCATCTCCGCAATGTAGTAGTTATTTAAACTTCAATCACCGTTATTATAGAAAAAAAGAGGAAAGTTTAATTGCTACTACTCATCACATTCTTCTTCTCTTATAATTGTTTATTTTTCAATGGTGTGATACAAAATTTCTTGTATGGTCATACGTTAAACGGGAAAGAAAAAGGAAAAAACAAAGAAAGAAGTGACCAAACGAAAAGTGAGAGTCCTGAAAAAGCAATTTGATAAGTGTGACTCAGGCCTTACTCAGCTCCCATTCTTCTTCCTATAAAGGATGGAATATCATGAACCTTTATTTAAAGCCTTAAACATGCACCAATAATTCTTGACGATTTGACTTTAAAATGCAAAAATTTCTAGCCACCGAAGTATTAAATTTATGATGAAAACGAATTGGTATAAATATGGTTTTTTATTTTTTTCTGTCCATTGTTCATAAGTGCTTGATGAATGAATGGTCCCCAAATTTGGCTTGGTTTACCATGCGAGACGCTGTTTTTCTTTTTTGAAATGGCCGGAACCCGGATTCAAACTCCCCCATGGACTAGAGTGATTCATCATTCTCGGGAAGTTTTGCTCTTTCTTCATGTGCTTCCTTAGTCTTCTCAATGATAGGTTTGCTCTATAAGGATAGGTTAACTATACAGACCAAATGACCAAATATTCCTATTGGTCTTCTCAATGATCGAGTCAGAAATTATACTATGCCGATACAAAATGATATATTTTCGTTTAACATGAACGAAATTATAAGTTTTTTTGAAATTTCAAAATAAAAAAATTAAACATTCTGGTAATTTAAAAAAGTGGGAGAGGGGGGACGACCGCTCCTATTGGTCCTCTTGTTTATGCTATTTTTTGTTGGGATATATTTAAATTAATATTCTAATTAATCCAATTTTGAGCTGAGTATTTTTAATCAAACCAGTTTTGAGATACTATACTATGAATCCTAAAGTGGACTTGAACTACTTGAATATGGGATGGACTTAAAACTATGGGCCGTAGAGGCATTCAGCACACACAAGGTACAAGTCTTGCAATTTTAAGGCGCTTTTTTTTTTAGTTTGCGACTTTGCGGTTTGAACTTTGAAAAAAACACAAATTGTGGGAGTAGATGATATTAGTAGAAGAATAAAGGCACCCCCGCGCCCCCCCCCCCCAATAAAAAAAAGATTTAAAGGTTTGGTCTTTTGTAAGTATTATCTGTTCAAAGGTAGATGGGTAAAATCAAATAAAAAAAATGGTGGAATCAAATCTACCCCCACCAAAAAAAAAAAAAAAAGTAAAAATTTGCTACACATTTGCCTCATACTACATTCTTTACATGGTTGGAATTCTGGTCTCAAAATGAAGTAGTGCCCCAAAATTAATTGATCTGTATAAGCAATAAGTGCTGTTCAATAATTACTACTCCGATAAAGTCTTCAATCTTTGGAAATTTCAAATTTGGTTAATTCCTCGCCAAGAAGAAAAACAAACCTGATTGAGACATTTTTTGGTCTCTTACATGCTATTTGATTGTATGAAAACAATGGTCAAACTCCACGCACTGAGGTTTCACACCTAAACTGTGGAATTGCTTGTATGGCCTTTTTCCATACACTCAAATTGCCAAAATACAAAATATAACCCCTAATTTAAAAAAGCCGATTGACCTCCCAAAATGTCATCCAATTTCATTAACGTCCAATTCCATGTTATACAGCTACCAGCATTCGAGTTCGTCCAATCACAAAATTTTTACTTGTAGACAACGGTTTCTAGAACGTTGGAATCAATTTAAGACAAAAAAAATAAAAATAAAAATCCCGTCTTGATCCTAACGTTTTTTTTTTTTTTTTTTGTTTTTTAACACAGAAATTTGTGAGCTTAACAATTGACTTGATTTTCTACCCAGTTCCAAAACATATCCCCAATTAGGCCGGAAAAAAAAAAACTATGGTTTCCACCATGTTTTCTGATGTTGACCTGCCTTCTGCTAAAACAATTGTGTCCACCGCAGCTTCGGTTGCTGCTTCTGTTATGGTGGTTCGGTCAATCACCAGAGACTTAATCCCATACGAGCTTCAACAATACATCAACTTAAGCCTTTACAGTTTCTTCAGATCATTCTCCCCCGAAACTATCCTAATCATTGAAGAATTTGCCGGCCTTGGAGCCAACCAAATTTACAGGGCTGCAGAGATTTACATCGGCGAAAAGATTTCGCCTTTCACCGCCAGGTTTATGGTCAGCATGGCGGAAAAGGAAAGCAAAGTCTCAACTTCAATGGCTAAAAACCAAGAAATTGTGGATAAATTCAAAGGGGTGCAGTTCAAATGGAAGCAAATTACCCGACAGTCGGAATCCAGGAGTAGTGTCAGATATCCAGGCCAGAGTTCTTCCAACCAATCAGAAACTAAGTATTTTGAGCTTCGTTTCCACAAGAAACACAAGAAGATGGTGTTTGAGTCCTATATTCCGTTCATTCTGAAGGAATCTAAAGGGGTGAAAGACGAGAAAAAGACTATCAAGATCCACACTTTGAGCAGCGATCATATGCGCAGATATTCAGGGGATTATACTTGGCATTCCATCAAGCTTGAACATCCAGCAACTTTTCAAACACTGGCAATGGATACAGAGTTGAAGAAGCTGATAATGGATGATCTTGACAGGTTTGTGAGAAGGAGGGAGTTTTACAGGGAAGTTGGGAAGGCTTGGAAACGTGGGTATCTTTTGTATGGTCCTCCGGGAACAGGGAAATCAAGCTTGATTGCAGCCATGGCTAATTACCTTAATTTCGACATTTATGACTTGGAGTTGACTGATATTCATGCCAATTCTGACCTGAGAAGATTGATGATCAATACCGCAAACCGATCAATCCTCGTTGTGGAGGATATAGATTGCACTCTGGAGCTGGAAGACAGAAAAGCAGAACAAGAAGCTCTCAAGATCCTGCGTTCTAATCAAGCCAGCCAAGCTCAAACTATCAACATTGTCCGGAAAAATAAGCCTAATCAAGTAAGTCCATTTCGTATGGCTTGATTTTAAATTACTCCGTCCCAAAATTATTGTTTAGTTCGGGGACAGAGGGAGTATTTTGACCGAAAAAAACTAATCATGATTCGTTACTTCATTTGGTTCAGATTACATTGTCAGGATTGCTTAATTTCATTGATGGGTTGTGGTCTAGTTGTGGAGATGAGAGGATTATTGTGGTAACAACAAACCATAAGGAGCATTTGGACCCTGCCCTGCTTCGTCCCGGGCGAATGGATATGCATATTCACATGTCATATTGTACTCCTTGTGCATTCAGGACTCTTGCTTCAAATTATCTCAAGATTAGCCAACACCATTGTTTTGAAGAGATCAGCCAGTTGCTGAAGGAGGTCGACGTGACGCCGGCCGAAGTTGCGGAACAATTGATGAGGATCGAGGGTGTTGATGATGCCCTGGCGGATCTCATTGGATTTCTCCACGAGAAGAAGAGGGAAGATGAAGAAATGAAGGCCAAGAAGTTGCAGGAATTGCAAGATGGAGAAGGAACAAGTGACGGTCAAGACCAAGAAAATTAGTGAGGGTTGACTTTCTGAGGCCTTGCGACTTTTCTAATTGCTTTTTTTCAGTGTTCTTCTTTTCGGGAAACAAACTTCATGGAATTAGGAACTAATACAAGATTGAGTTGTTACGGAGTTACTATAATTATGTAATCACGGTCTAGTAACCGTAAAGTTAGGACTGTAACTTTGTACTCAAGTTCTATATTTAGCTCATGATTTACTGTAATATACACAATGTTTTCAAAACAGAAACAAACAGCAAGTCCACTCCCGAAACCTGAAAACGACTAATTGAAGTAAAGTACCAGGACCAAGCCACAATACTGCTGAAAAGTTAGGACCAAACTACTCCCTGCTATACATAAAAGATCCCCTGATCCTTTGAAGAAATGTCCATAGACGTTGTGTCTGACTGTACAAGGGCTCCCATGCTTTCGATGCTTTTTCACGGATTTCAGGGTTCTCATGGGACTGCAAGGCCTTGATTTTATCCAATCCCCCAGCTTGATCAATCAATTTGGCAAAGGAAGTCGGGGCTAATTCATCTTCATCGACCTCACACAACTTTGTAAGAGCCTCTAGACAACCGATATCGATCCTGGGATCCTCGTATTCAAGAAGATCACCGCTGCCACTCTCAGAAACAAAACTGTTGCATGCTCATTCAATAGTGCCAGCAATGGAGCCAGAGCTCCTTCACTCAGAACAAGATCACGATATGCAGGAGAGTCACCAGCCATGTTTCCCAAAGCCAAAACAGCCTAAACATTCAAAGAATATTGGAATGAAACTAATTTTAAACCTCCAACAAAGAAAACATTTTAACTTTTCAGCCCGCAGCGATACCAAACAAGGCGGTAAGGAAACACATACCAGCAGACGAAAATAATCGCTTGGGTTATACAGGAGACCTACTAAAATAGACACAACATTTCCATCAATCACCCCTTCAATTTGCTCAGACGTCCCAGATGTAACGATTGCGAGAGCCCAGAGAGCTTCCAACTAATTGAACATAATAAAAATACAAGTCAGAGACAACTCTAATGGCAGAACAATTTCAACAAAAGACAAAGTCGACAGATGTAACATCAAACCTTCTCTATAGGATCTCCAGAAAGTAATAACTGAAGATAGGAATGGGCAGGAACTTGTCCAAGTCTATCAACCAACACCGTGCTTTCACTTTCTGTAAATTTGGGTTTTTAATCATACAATAGTTCATCACAAGGAGGGGAAGCTTGAGAAGCAAAGCCCAGGTAGAAATTTTACCAAGGCAATGTATGTCAGGTAAATGGCTCAGTTCAATCCTACATTGCTCGAACTGCAAAAATTGGACAAACATCATCCTATTACATCAGAACACACTCAAATATGTTCTAAAAATAGAAAACAAAACAAGCTACATCAAACCCCAAAAAAGCTCTGTTTAAAGCTTGAATCTAACATTCGAGGTTGAAGACTCTTTCAATAATCTAACATTCGAGGTTGAAGACATACAATAAATCAACAAACAAGATGACCCGACCCAACCCCACCCAAACAAAATAAAAAAAAAAGAAAAAAGAAAAAGAAAAGAAAATTACGACAAAGCTTTCATCCAAAAACGTACCAGGCTGAGGGGCCAAGCTCGGGGAGGTCCTTTCAGTTGTTGATCCTCTTGCCACCGCTGTCCTTCATCGGAGTCCGTCAACCGAAAATCGTTGGTTTTCTCCGGAAACAACGACATCGTTTCGCACTTGATGCCTTCCAACACGATCGAAAAACCCTAAGAGTCAAAATTAACTCCTGCAATAAAAAAAAAAAAATCAGAATTGAAGCGTTGGACGAGAGTATAAAGGGAAAAAAAGGGAGTTGATTGATGATTGTTGAATGCTAATAGTTGGAGGGTATGGCCTGGATACCTTGTAAATCGCATGATTGGAGTTTGGTGGTTTTGGGACTGTATTTATTTAAGGGACGGGTTTGATGAGAAGACACTTGCAGTGTCTCAATTCGGCTCCGGGATGATTGTTGCTATTAAGAAGCTAAACTCCGAAAGTGTGCAAGACTGTTAGTTTTCTGAGAATTTTTCCTTATTGAATGATTTCAGATTTGTCCTGTTGTGTTTGGTATGTTTATAATGTCTTTGTTGATGTAAGTTGCTTGCAGTAATTTGTTTAACTTGTGTAAGAAGTATGCAAATGGTAAAAAGATGGTAATTCTTATTATGTAGAAATTGGTTGGGATAGAAGCTAAGATATGTCACTGTTTATTAGTTGACTTTGGGTGCAGTATGCACTTGTTTTGAATTATAAATATGAATGAAAAGAATGAAGTATGTGTGTTGTTTCAAGCAGAAAACTTACCTCTATCCTTGTTTATTCTCTGCATTTTTGAAAATATGAAAATTCCTTACTTTTGCAACTTTGTTCATGGTATCAAGAGCTTAGAAGATCTTAAAGGACTTGTGAGAGTTTGAGAGAAAACAAGTCGGGCTCCCTTCACAAAACCAAATATATTTTTTTTCAGTTTCTTATGGCTACAAGCAATTCTTCTAATCTTTCACCCCCAACCTTTAATGGTAAGAACTATCAAGTGTGGGCTGTCAAGATAAAAGCTCACTTGAGAGGTCTCGGTTTATGGCAGTGGGTTGAGACGGATAAGGAAGTACCTCTTTTGGGAAACAATCCAACTCTCATCCAAATTAGAGCTCATGAAGAAGAAGAAGCCAAAGCTCCAAGAGCTTTGTCTTTCATTCATGCTGCTGTTTCAGATAATATTTTCACAAGAATTATGGCTTGTGAAACTCCAAAAGAAGCTAGGGACAAGCTCAAGGAGATGTATACATGGAGTGATAGAACAAGGCTGATGCAAATTCTCAATTTGAAGAGAGAATTTGAAGTTCTGAGGATGAAAGACAATGAGTCCATCAAAGAGTATGTTGATAGACTATAGAGGTTGTTAACAAAATCAGACTTCTTGGAGAAGACTTGACTGATCAGAGGGGTAGAGAAAGTATTGGTGAGCTTGCCCCAAAGATTTGAGTCTAAGATCCCTTCTCTTGAAGACTCAAAAGACTTAACCAAGATGTCCTTGGCAGAGCTTGTTCATACTTTTCAAGCTCAAGAACAAAGGAGATCAATGAGGCAAGAAAGTAGCAGCAAAGGAGTTTTGTTCGCAAAACAGAAAGTTTTCCAAGGAGAAAAGAAGCAACTTGGTGAGAGGAAAGGAAAGGAGAAGATGGATGGCCAAACTCTAAAAGTGAAGGCAAAAGGAAATATCCACCATGCCCTTATTGCAAGAAAACCAGTTATTCTGAAAATTTTTGTTGGTTTAGGCCTGGAGTGCAGTGTCGATGATGCAAGCAATATGGACATGTGCAAAAGGTTTGTAAAAACAAGAACCAACAAAGGCAACAAGATCAAGGGCAACATACTAAAGTTGCCGAAAATCAGCAACAAGAGGAGCATCTATTTATGTTTACAAATCTTGCAACAAACAGCTCGGATGATGCGTGGCTTATTGACAATGGCTGTACAAACCACATGACTCATAACTCAGCAAATTCAAGGAGCTGGATAAGTCATGCAAGTCAAAAGTGAGGATTAGAAATGGAGACTTAGTTGACGTTGAAGGAAAAGGAGTTGTGGTAGTTGAAACTCCCTCAGGTACGAAATACATTTCAGATGTTTTATTTGTACCTGAAATTGATCAAAGCTTGCTGAGTGTTGGCCAAATGCTTGAGAATGATTTCTCTTTGCATTTTGAAAATAAGTCATGCATTATTTTTGATAGAGCTGGTTGTGAGTTGATTAGAGTAAAAATGGTCAACAAAAGCTTTCCAATTATATGGAAAAATAGTAATTTGTATGCACTTAAAAGCTGTAGTTGATGATTCTGAATTATGACACAAAAAATTTGGTCATTGTCACTGTGAGGCACTTAGGCACATGCACCAAAAAGGGTTGGCCCAAGGCCTTCCTATTATTTGTAGTGAAGAAGCTGTGAATCAAGGTTGTAAATTAGGTAAGCAATGTAGGTTACCATTTCCTGTAAATTCAGCTTGGCGAGCTTCTGAAAAGCTGCAATTAGTTCACACGGATGTGTGCGGACCAATGAAGACACCATCACTAAATGGAAGTGTATATTTCATCTTATTCATAGATGATTATACAAGAACGTGTTGGGTGTATTTTCTGAAGCAAAAGTCCGAAGTGGCTGATGTATTTCAAAAGGTCAATGTTTTTGTGGGAAATCAATCAAACTGCAGCATCAAGGTGATAAGATTGGACAACGGGTCTGAATTCACTTCAAACAAATTTCAGCAATTTTGTGATGAATATGGAATTCAACATCAGCTCACCGTCACTTATTCTCCTCAACAAAATGGCGTGAGTAAGAGGAAGAACATAACTGTTATGGAGATGGCAAGATGCTTGTTACACGATATAAAGAACAGGAAAATGTCGGGCTAAAAGCCACATTCTCAACCTCCCCACCATATATGTATCTCTGTAAGCATACATTAGAAACTTCATTACAAAAAGACAGAAGAGAAATAAGATACTAGAGCGTTACTACTGTGTTGTTATTATAATAAAAGAACATCGATGGCGAGTTCTAATCAAATCAATCAACTAGAGTATACAACTGCCAACCAGATCAATGAACAAGAGTATATTACAGCCAATACTTATAATATGTAGAGTCATATAAGCAATAAAATGGCACATCCATTTCATTTTTCTTTGTGTCCTTGTCAATTTTCAGTTTGGAAAAACTTCATCAGGTGAAATTTTTTCTTTCCCCTTTTACTTTAATGTCAAATGTTTAAAGAGTACATCAATATTACATTTAAATAAATATTATATGGATGAAATAGAGGTACCTACTGCTTATGTTGATCATTGTAAAATTCAATGCGTTCACGGCATATCCTTAGGATCTCAGCATTGACAGTCTGTCCGCCGTCTTCAGTGAATTTAAAAGGTAAAATTGGAGCTATGAAGGTATCACTAGGAAGAGCAAGGGTGATGTCAAAACCCTGATGACAGAACAAAAAAAGAGAAAGAAACCACCCCAAAATCAATCAATAATTGTAACCAATTTTTGGAAGAATGGAAATTGAGGGAAAGAAGAGGGGTAAAGTAATTGAGTAAAAAAAAAAAAACTGGTTGTTGTGCATCATCTCATAGTATTCCTGCCATTGATTCAGTACCAAATTATACTTAGCTTGATCAGGCAAAGACGGTAGTATATCAGAGCTCGATTTTCCTGATTCGAGCAACCCTAAGGCAGTTTTCTTAGACGGAAATTCCAGTCTCACGGTAGCCTTTAATGGCGGGATCTTCTTCCATGTCGGCCCTTTTCCAGAGGGCGTTAAGCTGGGTGACATCTTCTTCCATGCTGGCCGTTTTCCAGATGGCGTCAAGCCGGGCCTTTCTTTCCCTAATCCCTGATTCCCTGTCCTCTACTTCCTTACGCCCTGCTTCCTTAGCGTCGACCATTGACTTCCACTCTTCGCCTATTATTTGCCACCTTGGGGGTAACAAAGAAGTCGGTAGCATCTTCGTCGCTGGTTGCCGCCAGTCAAAGCCTCCCACTGTAAACCAGCTTCGCCGCCCCTCAACCGCAAAACACCTAGTGTTCTCCATCACAACGGGACCCAAGCCTAAGCCGTAATCACGTCTCTTTTTACCTACAAGTTTTTGGCAACTACCGAAAATAAATAAGTAAATTATTACAAGCCAGACATAATAATTTGGAATAAGGACAATAATTGTTCGCTTATTACAGTCCAAACGCTAAAGTTGTTCACTTATGATAGGAATAATAGGGTAATAATATCTGGACATGGGTTTACAAGTCCATGATAATCAGTAAATCTTGATCATCCAGCCACTTTTGACACATTGGCTATGGATACAGAGATCAAGAACATGGTCATCAGTGATCTTGACCAGTTTGTGATGAGGAAGGAGCTGAAAGTTGGAAATGCATGAAAAATAGGGTATTTGTTGTTCGGGCCACCATAGACGGAGAAATCGAGTCTAATTGCCGCCAAGGCAAATTACTTAACTTTGATATCTTTGGGTTGGATATTACTAATATATTACGATTAACTCTGAATTACGAAGACTCCTGGTTACAATGACTAATCATTCAATACTCCTTGTTGTAGTCAAGACTTTGATTGCTCGTTCGAACTCACTGAGATGACTGATATTTGGAGTAATGTAGCTATGTGTTCACATGTTGAGATTCATTGTGAATATCGTTTCTCATACTTTTTATGTTTTTGGTTATTGGAATTGTAAGATTGTGATACAACATGCCTAACAAATTGGTGCTTATTTGGTTTGGCTAAAAGTATGAATATTGGTGGGAATTGTTTTTTTTTTTTTTGCTTTGTTTTCTGTTTTGTGATCAGACAACTATTTATGCTGCGTCATTGGAAGCATTCCCCAAAAGAATAATTTATAAACCTACTTAAAATTATTAGCTAGTGGTAAGCAGGGTCGTTCCACATGGACGGTAGTCAACCGCTCAAAATCTTATTAAAATGCAAATAAGAAAATAACTAGTTGGAGAGCTGTCACTTGGGAGAGTGAGAAATGTCGCTTGATAGAGTGAATTGGCAGTAAGAGTCAATCACCTTCATACCTTTATGCTCCAGTTTTGATTCAATACTCCTATAGTGTATGATTAGTTGTTCAATCAAGCACATATGTATCTCTACAATTCCGTCAAAATAGAGTAAAGAGTCCTAGATTATCAACCCAGTCAGAGTACTATTTAATCCGACCATTGAGTTCTTAAGCCCTTATAGATCACCTATGCCACCTCCGAACTTCCGTTGGTAGATGAAAACAAAGGGGTGGTATTCCTCCTTTGTCATTGACTAGATTAAGCACTACTAAGGTTATGCTCCCCTTTCCAGATCTTCATAACCAGACATGCACTTTTAATTAATTGATCAGGTTAACTAAAAGGTAAATTTAAACACTTATCTAGGCACAACACCTCATCGAGAAGATGGAATCAAAACCTTAACATAAAGATAGTAGGGATTGAACCCTTAACTAAGTTAGCTACTCATGCTTATTGAGTTAAGCATGAGAGCAACATAGTACAAAAGATAGGACATGAATCCTAATCAAAAGGTTAGAGGAAAGAAAGGGAAGATGGTAGTAGGGACAGTTCTGTCTGCTCACTATGACGAGTGGCGTTCGCCACTTGACAGAGTGACAGTCCGCCTTGTTTCTGCTACTACTCTGTTTCTATCCAACTAACTAACTATCTAACTACTGTCTTTAGGATTAAATCTAACTATCCGCTCTCTCCTTTTCTACTGCTATTGACTAGGTATTTATAGAGATTTGGAGAGGCTTAGATTTGTGGAGTTCTGGCCTTCTTTTTTGCAACCGAAGTGTGAGGCAGCAACTTGCAGCAGTAGTAGAGAGTTGTTTATTCTGCAACTTGGCAAGATGCAGATTTCTTGTTGGCTACTCTTTCTCTTCAACCGCTATTAGTCATCTTCCTCTCATCATTGCCTGTTTTCCTTAGCCATAAGTATCTATTTCTCCAGTGCAGTTGCTTTTCTTCAGCGCAGTTGCTTCAATTCTCAGCCATAAGTCTCTATTTCTTCATTCTTTAATCCTCAGCAGGCAATTTAGCAGCACCAGTCAGCATCAACAGCATTCTTCCTTCCATCATTATGTCTTCAACCCCCAATTCAGTCTGATTCTTCTAGCATTTTCTTCCTTGTTTCCTGGATCACTTGCTATGCCATTTCTCACCCTTCAGCAGTAGCCAATCCATCAACTCAGCAGTAACAACAGTGGGTAAGTAGCAGAGTTGCAGCCGCTGCTTGTCACATATACTCCTTCTTTCTCTCCTTACAATTGCAGCAATCAACAACTTGCAGTGATGACAAAGTAATTTCCTTCTATGGGCACCAAGATTCTCGGCTAGTAGCTCTTCTTCTTTGATTGACAGCAGCAACAGCTTCTGCAATAGAGATCAGAACTGCAGAACAGCTACCATGCTGCCTTTGATTGAGTATGCTGCAACAAATTTTTCCACTTGCCTCCATTTGCTATCAATCTTTCTCCTTCAGCAATGATTCCTTCACTTACTCCCAGCTCTAATCAGTCCTTCCACTAACTCCAATTTCGGCAACTTCAGCTCCAGCAGCTCAATTCCAGCAGTCTTCAGTTTCAGTCCCTTTTTATGTCTTTTAGTGCAATTTGTTCCACATTTATGCTGAAGTTCCACAGCCCCCTTAAGATACCTGAACTGCAAAATCATCCCAAAAGTAAACTAATCCTAACTAATTGACATCAAATTAAAGGTAGAAATGAGTAGAAAATGCTATCAAAAAGGGTATATATTTTTGTGTCATCATATATCGGATTTTCTAAATCTCGTAGTAATTGTAATTGTGGACACTTGGTTTTTATCACTATCTTCACAGATTGTTGAAGACCATTCTCCTCAAATGGAGACTCTCGATTCTGCAACATAAGTAACAAATTTGCATCTGCATGCAATAGATTGTTATAAATTGTTCCGTGTACAAATTATTTTCATATGAAGAAACCGCTTGTAGTTGTAGGCCAAACTACCACATGCTATTGTACATAAAAGAACCACTGAACTTCTCAAGTAGTTTCCATCCACGTCGTCTGTGACTGTACATGGGCTCCCATGCTTCCCGTGCTTTTTCACTGATTTAATGTCTCTTGTGCGTCTGCAAGGCCTTGATTTTACCCAATCCCCCACCTCTTTCAATCAATTTGGCAAAGGTATTGGGGCGGTATTCATTTTCATCGACCTCGCACAAAGTTTAAGAGCCGCTAGGCAATCGACGACGACCTTGGGATCCTCGTCATCAAGAAGATCACATAATGGCCTTACCAAGTCATTGAAAACAACTACCCTACTACGATCTCCACCAGGGATGACATTTAAAACTGCCTGCACAACTTCTATCTTTATTTTAGAGCCTGCATTTTGTAGCAAATAAACTAGATGTCCCACCAACTTTCTGTCAGCCAAATACAGCCTCCGAGAATCCACTCTCTCAATATTTCTGACTGTGTGAGTTGTAGCCATTTGCACCAAAGGCAATGGATTTCTGAAAGATGTGTACAATCGCTTTTATATCAGAAATCGGTTGAGAAGACAGAAATAAAAAAAAAAACAAAACAAAACAAATAGACAAAAAATGAAACCTACACAAGCAACTCCACAAGTCTTGGATAGACACCAGCCTCAATCACAGATTTGGTTTCACTGTTCGAACTGTCGGAAAGAAACGACAGAGCCCAACATGCACAGATTTGGTTTCACTGTTCGAACTGTCGGAAAGAAATGACAGAGCCAGCATGCACATGAGAGCACTTGCTGGTGATCCAAATAAAGAAGAATCTGAAGCACTGGAAGGGCTAAACGCACCTGAAAAATAAGTCTTAGTATTAAAAGGAGAGGATGTTGGAAAACAAAAGGGAAAAGTATACAATTATATAACTAATTAACCTGCTTGAATAGAGGTTGAGGTTTGCCCCGACAGAAGTTTAACATTGTCAATGCCGCTGCTCTCAGCATTAAAATTGTTGCATGCTCATTCAATTGCGCCAGCAACGGAGCCAGAGCCCCTTCACTCAGAACAAGATCGCGATATATGGGAGAGTCACCCACAATGTTTTCCAATGCCATTACAGCCTAAACATTAAGAAAAACCAATTGGAATCAAACTAATTTTAAACCACCTACAAAGAAAACATTCAAAATTTTCAGCCTGCATCTGCAATACTGAACAAGCAGCAAGGAAAAACATACTAGCAGGCGAATATCAGCACTAGGGGAATGCAGGAGATCTACTAAAATAGACACAACATTTCCATCAATCAGCCCTCTAATTTGCTCAGATGTCCCAGATGTAATGATTGCAAGAGCTGGGATAGCTTCCAACTAGTTGAACATAAAAATGCAAGTCAGAGATAACTCTATGGCAGACAATTATAGAAAAACAAACAACTTCAACAGATGTTACATCAAACCTTCTCTACAGGATCTCCCCCCTGTATTAACTGAAGATAGGAAGAGGTAGGTAGTTGTAGAAGTTTATCAACCAACGCCGCGCTTTCACATTTTGTAAGTTTTGGTTTAGATCATGCAATGGTTCATCAAAAGGGGAGAGGCTTGAGTAGCAAAGCAGGTTGAAGAAATTTTTACCTAGAGAACGTATATCGCTTAAATGGCTCAGTCCAATCCCACAATGGTCGAACTGCAATTGGACAAACATCCTATGTCATCAGAACACGCACTCAAATGTTTTAAACAGACGAATCAAAATATGCTACTTCAACCAAAAAGCTATATGTTTCATAATCCATCCCCGAAGCCTAAGACATATAGTGAACCAAGAAAACAAGGGGAAAAGGAAGAGTTTTGTATTTTTGACGAAGGCAAATCTCGATGGTAGTGAGTCAACGGTCGTCTAAGATGGAGAGCTGCAAGACAAGGGTTAGCACTCCGATACCAAAGTCAGTATAGTGAGAGAAATAATCAAAATACACATTTAGAGGGAGAGTGAGGAGTGTGAATTAACCCTTTGAAATAAATATCTTGAAATATATATAGAACACTATTTAGGATGTGTCCAAAAGTGGAGCCGTGGGTCTTCAACTGATATGGGCTTATGAGCCTTCATTGTGCGGCCCACTACTCTGAGAAAAACTCCTTGGGCCTTTATTAACAGGAATGAGCACCGTCAATTTTCATCCAACAAAATCAACAAGAATGCATGAAAAAAAAAAATGAAAAGAAGACGGATCCAACGACCCCTAGTAAATCAAATCATCGAACAGATTAATGGGATCCAAACAGGACAAGGGGTAAAAAGTTAACTACCAGGCTAACGGGCCGAGCTCCGGGAGGTCTTTGTAGTTGTTGTCCCTCTTGCCGCCGCTGTTTCTCATCATCATCCAGGGATTTGACATCACCCGTGCTCCCCCAAGTAATATCTTCATAGCACCGATTTTACCTTATAAATTCACACAAGATGACGGACACACCATCAGTGCTGAGATCCAACGGATGTGCTGGGAATGCATTCAATTTTACAATCAACAACATGATGATCAGACGGAGAGATACAGATATTGTGGGAAGGTTGAGAATGTGGCTTTTAGCACCACATCTTCGTATTCTTCGTCTCAGGTCACTTTCACAGGTTCACTTGTTGATGATTCCTCCGGCATTAATATTACTGGGGAAACCAGCTTTGTAGGTCAGTATGTTGTTTATCATCATCATCCTCCCAAAGGGGCAGTGGCGGCGGAGGAAGAGGCATTGTTTTGCGAGAAGAAAGAAGAGTTCCTAGCTGATTGGGAGCAGAGAAAGAAGGAGCCCTGTCAGCTTGGTTGCTGTGTCGGTTATCGCAGCGGGTTCCCCGGTTTCATAAGCGAAACATTTCGCGAATTCGTTCGTGATTCCTGGGAGGATCGAAGAGCCCGATCCCGGAAGCACAATCTTCACCTCTTGCGCTTGCAGGGACTGCTCCGAGGAACATCCCAATGGTCTGCCGTTTTATGCCATAATAACAATTGATTGATTTTGAACTATTTCATGCATGAAGATTGTGAGATTCTGGTATTTCCTTCATTTTTGTTTCATTGGTTTATTCATTTGCATACCACAAAAGATCGCGCCTGGTGTACTCTGTGTTTTCGCTCTGTCGAGTTTACTACTCCCTCCGGCAAATAATTATACTCCAATTTGAGTTTTCATTTCTAGTTCAAATTGCACTAAAAGTGAAATCTCAAACTGAATAATAATTTTAGGACAGAAGGAGTATTAGTTTTATGCATATGTTTGAGTAGCGATTATTGCTGGGAAAGCCTGTGAACTCTTATTCTCAAACACGAGTAAAAAGAGTAAAGAAACATTATTTAATTTTGTATGTCGAAAAAAAAAGAAAAAGAGAGAGAGAGATCAACAATCTGAATATTTATGATTTGGGGGATGATTTTAGTTTATTCCAATTGCATTGTGGCCGGTATAGTTTAGTGGTAAAATCGTTACCTGTACCCAATGTGATATGTATCCAATGTTCATTTAGAATTTAGAAATGAGAAAGTGGATTATGAAGTTAGAACATAAGTTTTTGAATTGAATTGGATTATAGTCATTAATCTTTGAATAATTAAGAATAAAACAGTCATGGATGCAGGTACAAAGTAGGTTTCGCATCATAGCTAAATATTCAACTTTTTCTATACAAAAAAAATTTGAAAAATACTCCCTTCGGTTCTTAATATATAAGATATTTTGATTTATCCTAGGTTTAACTTAGTACATATTTTTAATTGATAAAAAAACTTTGAAAATATTTCATAACAATCAAGAGAATGCAGTGATTGTGAAAATATATTTTTAAGATTTTTCCGTCAATTAAATATGTATATTACGTGAAACCCATGACAAATCAAAATATGTTTTATTAAAGATCGGAGGGAGTAGCTCTTAAATAATAACAGTAGTTTACTATACTCTTTAACCTATTCTTTCAGTTCGGCAAAAAAAAGAACGAAAAATTCTTTCTTCATGATCTTCTCAAGAGAAATTTGGAGAATATTGACTTCTAAGGCCTTGTGTCTTTTTCTAATTGCTTTTTAGCATCCCTCCTTTTGGGCTACTGACTTCATGAAATTAATTATGAACTACTACAACAGTTTAGTTAATTAAATGAGATAAGAATATTATTTTTGAGATATTCAAAAATGCAGATGAAAGACTTTTTACGCTTATTCCCATTATGAAATATTTAGTCAATCAATTACACCATGTTTTGGGCTAGTAACTTCATGAAATTAGGAACTACTACTACAATTTAATTTCTCAAAAGATATTAGACTATTATTTTGAGATATTCAAAATTGTAGATAAAAGACTTTTTATACTTATTCATAAAATATTTAGTCAATCAATTACACCGTTCACATATGTAAAAAATTGTCTCACTAAAAAATTCTCACCCTCACTTAAAAAACTTAAAGAGGTCGAAAAACTTCGGTAAATTTGTTACTCTTCATCAATTAAATCTTCATTCAATTGAAAAAGGTTATTGTTGGTTGGAATAGCGTTAATATACTATGGGCTTAATATCCATATGTATTGGCTAAAAATTACTCATGAACATCACAATATTCCATCAGATATCTCCTCAACAGTTCTTTATATGCTTATATATAAACAAATGTTAACTTTTTTTTTTTTACAACTATAAGAGTAAGTTTGATGTTTATGTTGTAGCATATAATGCTAACACCTCAATAATAACAAGTAAAAAGCAAACAAGGTGAAGTAATTAGATCATTATAGATTGCAATAATACTAACATATCAATTAATAAAGGTATAATAACTAATAAGAGGTTGAGGGACGTCTTAGAGGTTTTAGTTTTAAAAAAATACTCACATTGGTAATTATCATAACTTGGATGAGATTGATGTAATTTAGGCCATGTTTGATAAACCAATTAAGTACTTAAACTTATTAATTAAGTACTTAATTGATTAGCACTGTTTGATAACACAATATCATAACAACTTAATTTATTAAGGATTTAAAATTTAAGTGTGTTTGATAACTCAAAGTAAGATGTCTTAATAAATTAAGTGGGTCTGAAATGCTAGTACAAATGTGAGCCTAAAAATAAGTGATAGGCCTCTTATGTCTGAACTGAATTCGTGAGACGATTTTTTTCAATTTATTTATTTTTATGTTTATAATTTTGATATTTTATCTTGAAATATTTTTATTAATCATGATGTCTAGTTCTAAATTAAAATTTATGTAAATTATTTTTTATTTAATAAATATTTATTTTTATATAAAAATTAAAATCCATTAAATTCCATGATCAATATATCTTTACCATAAAATATGAATTTTTTTTGACAATGATAAAATATGATATTATTATTAACTGAAAAAATAATAACATAACAAAATTTAAATAATTTTATTACATTATTTAATGTTATTATTATTATTTTTATTATCATAGTTTCATATATATCAATTATTTTTTTTAGATAAAATTATAAATCGAGATACTTTAAATTTCAGTATTCAGACTTCAGATTTCAGACATTTTATTCAGTGTTTAGATTTTGGTTTTTATCAAACACGACAAACTTAATCAATTCAGTACTTTTGATTCAGTCTTCAGATTTCAGACTTCAGACCCAAATTAAGTTTTATCAAACGGGCCCTTACTTCCAGTTTTTAAGAAAATTGAAGAAAAGGACAAAAAGGCAAATCTTTTTTAGACTAGTCAGTGAAGGCAAAAACCACTACCGACCAAAAGAAACAGGGTGGACTGCAAAGTCGACGATGGAGGCAAAAGTATAATAATATAAAGTCTTTTCTTCACAGGAACTGAGACCAATAATTCTGAAAATAAGGTCAAAACCTCCATTTCCAAGCAATTTCCGCCCTTGCGGATTACGGAATGATGCTTTATAGTAAGGAGAAGGAACCCAACTTCCTCCGTATGCCGTATTCCCTCTTTCTGTGTTCATCTTTTTTTCCAGTACTAATGATCAGTTGCAGACGAAAAATCCCTGAATTTTTTTAACAATCCCGAAGCTTCCCATTGATTGTTTTTCTAAAACCCATTTCCTCAAATACCCCAATTTTGATCCTCCAGATATGATTCAAAACATCCAAATGCCGTCCGCCAAAGCAGTTGTTTCCACGGCGGCTTCCGTCGCTGCCACGGCCATGCTCGTCAGGTCATTTGCCAGAGAATTCATTCCTCACGAGCTAACAAACTATTTCTTTATCAAGCTCCGCCGCTTTTTCACCACTTTCACCAGTGAAATGGTCGTTGTCATTGATGAATTCGATGGGCTCAGCAAGAACCAGCTGTACAAGGCTGCTGAAATCTATTTGGGTAGCATTATTAGTCCTTCCACCAAAAGATTTAGGGCCACTCTGCCTGACAAAGAGAAGAAAATCAGTGTTTCAATGGAAAGAAATGAAGAAATCGTTGATGAATTTTGTGGGGTACAAGTGAAATGGAGGATGGTTTGTCAACAAATTCAGCCCAGGTACGTTCCTAACCCCAATGATCCCTACAATAACTTCAGGTCCGAACTGCAATATTATGAATTGAGCTTCCATAAGAGTCACAGAGACAGAGTGGTTAATGAGTATATACCTTATGTTTTGGAAAAATCAAAGACTGCTGCCTTAGAGAAGAAGACGTTGAAGTTGTTCACTTATGATCGGCATAATAGGGTAATAATATCTGGACATGGGTTTACAAATCCATGGAAATCAGTAAATCTTGATCATCCAGCCACTTTTGACACATTGGCTATGGATATGGAGATCAAGAACATGGTCCTCAGTGATCTTGACCAGTTTGTGATGCGGAAGGAACTGTATAGGAAAGTTGGAAAGGCATGGAAAAGAGGGTATTTGTTGTTCGGGCCTCCAGGGACAGGGAAATCGAGTCTAATCGCTGCCATGGCAAATTACTTAAACTTTGATATCTATGACCTGGAGCTTACTGATATTAGGAGTAACTCTGAATTAAGAAGACTCCTGGTTACTACGGCTAATCATTCAATACTTGTTGTCGAAGATATCGATTGCTCTATCGAACTCACTGAGAATCGAGGCGCCTCTTCAAAAGCACAAGTACCTTGTCCGCGTCAACCTAGTAGGGGAGACCGCGTAAGTCTTTCAATCTGATCTTTTTTGTTTGAGTAATGTAGCTATGTGTTTACCTGTTGAGATTCACTGTGGATATCACTTCTCACTCATTTATGTTTTTGGTTAATGCACCAATGCATCTTAGGTCGTACTACTTAAACAGCCTCTCTGTATTAAAATACAGGGGTAAGGCTGCGTACATCTTGACCCCCCAGACCCCAACCGAGTTGGGAATATACTGGATATGTTGTTGTTGTTCTTGTTCTTGTTATGTTTTTGGTTAGTGAAAGCTGTTAGATAGTGATAAGAAATTGGAGCTGGTTAAGTGGATTTATCTATCCTGTGATGTTATGCCAATTGCAGATGGTTCAGGGCTCAATGAAGTCACTTACAGGGGTTATGATGTTATGAAGTGTTATTTGGTCCTGGAATTAGCACTTTCTGCTTTCGTTCCCCCCTTGTTTAGGAGTTGAATTATCTATAGGCAATTCGTACCTAAGCTTCGAGTCTTTTAGAGTTTTAGTGGCACCATAGCATTAATGTTGTGGTATTTAGAGCAACTAACTATCTAAGAGAGGAGGTTTTTTTAGTCTGACATTATACTTGAAACAATTTGATTTCGCAACATAAGTTGCTGTGATCCTTATTTATCATGCACTACATTGACACATAGTGGTTGTGCTTGGGTAATTTATATTGTGTTAAAACTTGATACCTCAAGAAACTTGTGCATATAACTGATTCTCGTTTTTGTTTGAATATATGCTTGTTCATAAGTCTCTTTGATAACAGTAGTATCTAACTTTAAATACAGGTTACTTTGTCGGGATTGCTGAACTTCATTGATGGATTGTGGTCAAGCTGTGGTGATGAGCGCATCATTGTGTTTACAACCAATCATAAAGATAAGCTGGATCCTGCTTTGTTGCGACCAGGTCGAATGGATGTACACATTCACATGTCCTATTGCACACCTTGCGGCTTCAAATTGCTCGCCTCCAACTACCTTGGAATTGCAGAACACCCCTTATTCCTGGATGTTGAGAAGCTGTTGAAAATCACGAATGTGACTCCCGCAGAAGTAGGAGAGCAGATGCTGAAACACGGTGAACCCGAAACGGCACTCAAAGGCCTGATTGAGTTTCTTGAAGAAAAGAAGAAAACAGCTGAACTCGACGCACATAAAAAGAATCAAGAAGTGGCCAAAGCTGAAGAAGTCAAAACCGAAGAAGTTGTTCCCGTATCATCAGAAGAAAAGGGTGGAAGGAAAGAGGAGAATGGTGTCATCAGCATCGAAGCTATTAAGCAAATGTTGAAGAAAGGGCCCAACACTGAAGTTCAAGGCGAAAACAAGCAGGGCGACATTTACCATATGTTTAAAGCTATGGTTCAAATGATGCAGGACACCAAGGAATCTGAAGATTTGGAAGGCAGCAAGACAGAATCTCCGGCTGTTGGGAAAATTTTGCCCAATTCTGCTTGAACAGTAAACCTGGCAATCACCAGTTCATGAATGAAGCTGTCGTTCATTTTGTATTTTCCAGATAATCTCACAAGTTTTGTCAGCTCAATTTAATAGTACAGAATAAAATCCAGACCGTGATTCATCGTCCATGCTTAACATGTTAGAGATTGTGTACCCATTTATCCAATTTAATGTAAGGTATAATTCAGCGTCCTCCTTTTGATATACAAAGTATTTATATATCCAATGCTATCCTTGAGCTCTACCAGCTATGGCTGCATCAGATACCATAGCCAGAATCAGCATATGCTAAGAACTTCAAGTTATTTCGAAGTGGAATAAACATCATTCTGCAGTAAGCATAAAATATTCAACTGGCTCTTTAATAGTTTTGATAGTACATGGGTACAGATAATTACACAGATTGAGTGGTACTTGACAGATGACAACATGAATGAACACATGAACGTATAAACTACAAAAACAAATCGATCCAAACGACAGAAACGTTATGTTTTACATGTTTTCAAACGAATCAAATTACCAGAAAAAAACTGCTGAAGCATAATCTCTTTCAATTTGAGATCAGAACTAAGCCTTCCCTTCAATCCTGGCATGAGTTAGGCCGACACAAGCATCAACAAAGTCTTCATCAATAAAATCCGATGAATAAATCTGCAAACGATCAGCACAACCCTTTGCAAAGCACTGATTTATGAACAGTCTGGAAAAACCACGAATTCTGTCTGTAACAGGTTTGACCCACAAAACTGGATTATCAGCCTGAGGAGTTAAAGTATTCTCAACCCTGTAAAAGAATTTCCGGGATGTAACCGGCGGCTGCTCGCTCAAATGCTTCAGGTTGCTCTCGAACTTTGTGTTTGGCAAATCAGTGTCAATCCAGTTATCTTTCAAATATCCAGCGCTCCATAACGGAGATCCCGGTTTTGGCTGCGGCGATTCCCTTGGCTTCCACACACAAATCACTCTCTGATTAGGCAACAATTCGGAAATCGTCTTGCCAAAAACAGAGTCATCCTGATGAATCAGGTACTCCCCGAGGTGTTCCTCCAAGAACTTGTCGAATTCAGGCGGATCCTTGTGCCCGAATTCTGTACGGATTTCAAGGATGATCACCTCGGATTGGGTTTCGGACAGGAACTTCTTGACATCGTTGATCACAACATCAACACTGTAGGACAACAGTATCCCGTGGCAGACTTTTCGATCCTCCTGAACCCGGATATCCAAAACCCGAGTACCTAAAACCAGCTGATCGTAAATCGACCGGCTTTGGCACTCTGCAAAGGGGCGGGTGATGGCCGGAACGCCAATCTCGTTGGTCGCAGAATCGTGGGTTCCGGGCCAAACGATCTGGTTGATGTGAAGTTTTGCCGGGTCGAGGTTTGACATCCAGTTTTTCCTGTCGGAAGGGTGGTAATCAGAGCCAGGGAAGTCAGTTCCAGTGCTCTGTTTCAGATCTTCCAAGGTCTTTTCTTGGGATGAAATTGATTCCCTTCGTTCCACTTGTTTAGATACTTCAGCTTCCACCGCCGAGGCCGCCGCCGAGAGATTCTTACCAATTGCAGCAAACATTGTTGTGCTTCCGCTCCTTCTTCTTCTTCCTTCTCAGATGGTAGTTTCTTTTTTCCGGTTTGGATTGCCTTGTTCCTCTCCTGTTTCCGTGTTGAGGTAGTTGATGACTAGAAAAATGACTGGACAGCTTGTCAATTTAATAATTCACATGGACTAATTGCCCATTTCTGTTACTTGATCCATAATAATTACGGTTTTTTTTTTCTTTTTGGCCATAATAATTACGATTTGAAATAAATTTCAGTCGCTTTCGTTTAATGGTTATTAAAAGTTTTTACATAAATAAATACAATTAGATTTAGACATTTTTTTTGGGCTATTATGATTAAGAAAATGGAGGAACGTGCATTATAATTGTGTGTGGGGGGGCCGGTTTGATTGAATTGAAGCGGGAGAGTCACTATCTACCTGTCCCTTTTGCACAGAGTTGTGTGGTTGGTTGGTTTCGACGAATTGGGTCACTTTAACACTGAAAAAAATCCTCCGTCCGTCGGTGTGGGAATGCACTTCTACTAATAATAATAATAATAATATAGCCTACATGTAAACAAATACAACAACATTTTCTCTATCCTATATACAAATAATAATAATTCACATTATAATTTCGATTATTTTATTGGTACGGAGAGAAAGAAAAATCATTGTAATTTTGAACCACTCCACCCAACAAAACTCTTCTGATAATAAACTCAATGTAATTCCGCTCATCTTGATCCATAAACCAAGATTTGCAAATTGATGCTGGAGGTGAACGAGAACAACCTCTAAACGGATTGTATCCATATTCCTTCTATCTTAAAATACGAGTTTCATCTCTCACCCCATTTGGTCTAGTAAAAATTATTACCTCCGTCCCATAATTATGGTCCAGTTTAGATTTTTATTTTTAGTTTTAAATTGTACTAAAAGTGAAATTTTAAACTGGACAATAATTTTGGGATAGAGGGAGTATATTGCAACCGTATACTACATTTAACCACACATCAACAATTTTCTTGCTGGAAGCTCAACTGGCCACTTAATCACAGGCAGCTGAAATCGGCTTAGCCAAATTGCGCAGATAAATGGAGGAAAGAAGAAATAACATTCTAATTCCCCTGCGAAGATACGTATAAAATCCAAGGTAAGCCTCGTCATACAAATACGGAATACCCCGAGGTTTCAAGACCACCAAATATTATGTTCCCAGGGGAAGGAAAATAATAAATTTAAATCACCTTAGAACCACCAAATATTCGTGGAACTAAAGGATTCTCTGTTCCTAAACAATACTACCAAGATTATATGTTGTTCGTAACCTTTACCATGATCATGCTGGTGCCTGCAAGTCATAAGAAACATTTCAAGGACTTAGTTCAGCTTGAGATGCACCCTTTATATGATAGAAAAATCTGAACCTGAAGTTACACATATGGGAAATAAAAAAATGACCGTGGAGTGGAGTGCCTTAGAAAAATTGGTACCGGCTGAAAAACTCAATATATAGATACAAGAAGATGCATGGGATCAAGTTTGGAAAGCCACTTAAGTTTGGAAAGCCACTTAAGTTTGGAAAACTTGACTCGTGCTGACATAATGTAGACAACAGAAGTTTCAACGCGGAACAACTTATGTTAGGAACAAATTACTGTACATTACTACTTCTAACTACAAAACTTAACAAACAATCAGGACTTCCAAACACCCAGATATACCTAAGAAATACTACCCAAGGAAAATGGTTTCGATTTGCAAGAAATGAATGACCCCATAAAACATTACTCTGCAATAGATAAAGAAGGAGGTGATACTTTTACAAATAAGATACCAAACATAAAGTTCAAGATGCTTGCCTCAGATAGGAGCTAATTTGTCTGAGCAGGAACAAAAAGTGTGCTCTTTTTGCTTGGCAGACAGATACTTATACTGCCATTTTCATTTCAATTTTATTGTGTGGATCATAACCCAAGAGTGTAAAATCATTCAGCACAAAAGATTCTATATCTTTCTTATCAGGGTTGATCTTCAAAATCTGCAGACAATAAAGGTTACATAAACCAGAACAACGAAGTAAGGATCAAATAGTCAGCAATAACCCGCGTCTTTACCAAATTTACAGTATAGTTTACAGAGACAGAGAGGGTCGACAGAGATGCAGTACTTACTGGAAAAGGTTTTGGTAGTTTTTGAAGTTGATCCTGCAGAGGTCTAATGTGTGTGCGGTAAACATGGGCATCCCCAATGACATGGATGAAGTCGCCTGGTTTGAGATCTGCACAAGAATGTCATATGAAATTAGAATTCTAAATAATACTTCTAGAAGGTGCAGCTCAAATAACAATTTAACTATCCACGCAGCTTGGATGAACTCTGCAGAAAACCGTGATTTCTAGTAATCTTACCACAAACATGTGCAATCATGCAGGTAAATAATGCATAAGAGGCAATGTTGAAAGGAACCCCAAGGCCCATGTCAGCAGACCGCTGATACATTTGGCAAGATAACTCTCCATTGGCAACATAAAACTGCAAAAAGGACAGACGAGTGTCAATAAAATGTATACAACAACAAACAAGGAACTTTACAAACCAGTGTGTCATTAACCTGAGCAAACATGTGACAAGGTGGAAGCGCCATAAGTTTCAGATCAGAAGGATTCCAAGCAGAAAGAATAATTCGTCTGTCATCTGGATTATTTTTAATTTTTCCAATAACATCCATCAATTGATCAAACCCTTGGCCAGCATAATCAGCATGCATGTCGGTATACCTAATACAATGCCAGTACACATGAGTACAAAATTATAACCACTCCAATCAAATGTGAAAATCTTTCACCACTGAAAGTGGATTAAGTAAAGGTCTCGCTAACCTTGCCCCAAAATGTCTCCATTGGAAGCCATATACTGGCCCCAGGTCACCTTCCTCCCTCTCTGCTAACCCAATACTGAAACAGAAAACACGTGCATCAATGGAGGGAAGCAGAATCCAAGACACAACAAGGGACTGATTAACTACCTGTCAAGGTAATCTCTAGATGCATTGCCATCCCATATATGGATCCCTTTCTCCTGCAGGACCTATGAAACATACGCACTCTTTCATTTGATGTCTGAGCGTAAAAAGATCAACAAGGTGCACTTGTCTAAAAGTGTATCATACTATACATACTCTATTGAAAAAAGAAAGACACCCAAGTTATACCCTATAGAAGTTGATAACAGGGAACAAAAAAAAATATTTACCTTGGCATTTGTTGAACCACTGATGAACCACAACAATTCTTCAACAACACCCCGCCAAAATATTTTCTACAAAAACCACAAGGACAATAGAATCCACACCTCATCACTTAAACAAAAGAAAGTTACCGAAAGATATGCTGCAAACTATTCATTGGAATGGCAAACATACCTTGGTGGTGAGGAGCGGAAATGACTTTCGCAGATTGAACCTCATCTGCAAAATAAGCAAAAAGAAAAATTTATAAACCTACTAGCATTAAACATAAAGATGCAGAAAACAAATTTAACAAAATATACATGAACAAGAAACATCTAACAGCAGCTCTGAATCACCTGGCATCCAAATTTAGAAAGAGTACCGGTCCCTGTTCTATCATCTTTTGACATGCCATTCAAAATAATGTCTTCGACAAGTCTGAGATACTTGAATTCTTCATGCCTCTCAAAGACCATTTTAGGTAGAAAAGAGAATGTCGTAACCTCAGTCTTGGCATTGTTTGAGCCATTCTCACAGATCAACCCATTAGTCTGATTGAAAGATTCCACCCCTAAATTTCTCGCACGAACATAAGTATTAAATGTGTAACAGACTTTGTTTTCAACAAGTGGAAATGACGAGCACCATGGCTGAAACAAAGAGTGATCAATAGCTGGCATAAAGGTATCACATTCAAGGTTAGCCTCAATTTCGGTGAGGTGAATAGCATCACATTCAGGAGCATTGAGGGTTTCCCTGCAATGGAAAAGTCAGGGTCAAAAACTAAGCAGAAAGTTACTGAAAAATGATCAAACAAAATGACTAAATAGAGCCACTCACTTCAAAATCTCGCCACCTCCAGTAATAAACACTTTCTCGATGGACAGACAATAAGGAGGTGCAGCCAGCAATTCCAAAGCAGAAAGCACACTCCCACATATTACAACATTTTCAGCAGTAGCGATATCAAAACTACCGGAACGAGTAAGAACCACATTAAGACGACCAGGAAGAGGACGATTCTTCAGGGGAATACTCTCCCAGGTCTTTCGACCCATGACAACAGCATTCTTTTTGGTGGGATCAGATGTGATGGAAGTTATATCCTCGAAGAACTTGAGATCAGTAGGCAAATTCCAAGGCATAACTCCATCCTTGCTAATACCCATGTCCAAAGTAGCCGCCATAACAACTTGGTAAGTCCTGCGAGGATTTGGCTGTCCACGAGGACTACCATTCGTAAGTCCCGTCAAGGAATCACCAGCCATTACTGAAGAAAAAGGTCTGGCCGTCTGGGATAGGATATCCAAGAGAGTAACTGACTTTATAATCAACAAAAACGATGAAATCAATTGTAGATTACATGCCCTTTCTCACACTAAAAGCCTAAAAGGATCGTGCTAAAGTCAAATGCCGCATGAAAAACAATGGCGCGGGAAAAATCCCCCCACTACCCAACCCAACCCTCGTCCGAAAAGACAAATTGGAAAAGAAAATGAGGGAAAGAGTGGGTGGCCGACAGAGACCAAAATGCCCAGAAAGTTCCACCGATAATAATGGAAGGGCTCATACCAAATAAACAATAGGATAATTGCAAAACCCAGAATGAATTATACTACTACATACCCAAAGAGAGATCAATTAAAAAAAAAAAAAAACCTGGGATGAAAATATTAAACAAGTCAATAAAATGCAGTTCCCTAAGAAACAAAGCAGAATCATCCTTTTCCTTTCCCTTTTTTCTATTTAATCCCAACTCCCAAGACTTAAAATACACAATAATCCTCAGATTATTTAACATCACCAAACCTCGCACCATCATCATCGTTGTTTTAGCCAAGCAAGTTACAACAGAAATTGATACGGGAACTACATAGTACATTATGAAGCTAACCAAATGCAGACAGAAAAACTCACCGATCGGAGACGCCGATTTACAAATGGAAGGAATCTTGAAGGACAACAGTAGTAAGGAAACCTAAACCCGGAAAAAAAAAAAAAACGAAAACTGTGCTGGAGAAAGAAGAAGAAGGGAAAATGCAGGGAAACTATAGTGTTATCTTCAAGCTTGCATTTGAAGGAAGAAGAAGGGGGGGAGTTGGTGGCGATTGCGTGTATGGAGAAAAACCGGGCCGCGCGGAGATCGGTCTGACTTTCTGAGGAGTTGCTTTAGACCAATTGTGATTGTACTACTACCACTTTTACTTGCTAATTTAGTCGTCGTCTTCTTACTAGAAAAAAAAAAAAAGAACTCAGCAAGAGAGAGAAAGAAAATAAACTACACTAGAGATAATTACATCAAACCACCCCAAGGTTTTGGATAAACTGAAATGGAACTCACTAACTGTTTGTGAAAACTATATAGTATTAATCTTCTCTTCAATAATAATAGTTCAATGGCCAAATCGTTTTTTTCCCCCTCTTCCAATCAAATCAAAACGTTTGATGTATATCCCAAATTGACTTTCTATTATCTATATCTATATATAGTATTTTTTCTTTGTGGTACATAAGAGGAGGCATAGCCTACATTATATTAAAATATTTCGTGGGTATTATACTCCAATTACATTATGACGTATCCATTATATGACCGACACAGGTGATTGAGTTAGTTTCCTTGCTCTTCGTTTTGACTAATCTGTAACCTGCCAAGCAATCAACGGCAAAATTTGCTTCTCTAGGACCAACTTAACATTCATAATTTCATGACATGCATAAAAGGCTGACTATATGTACTTTTATTTAAGTTAATAAAAGTATCATTGTAAAAAAAAAAAACATTTTTATATTTCAGATAGGATAATAGATATACTATAATAAAAAGTAGGAGTGAAAAGTTATACTTTTGTGTGGTCCTTTTACAATTTACATACCTTACTACAGTTCAAAATGGTGAAGAATTCTACATATTTTTTCAATTGAGATCTTAAAAAAACTTTAGTGAGAAAATCGTGAGAAATCACAAACTTGAGAGAAGTTGCGGTAATTAATCGGAAAAAGAAGAAGAATAATAATAAAAATAGAAAGAGTTGAGTAGTTGAGCTCAAAGACGGACTGTCAGACTGACTTGCTCACTCAAGGGTTTTTGGGTGGGGACTGGGGGAGTGAGTCCTAAGTAAAGACAGAGAAAAAAGAAAGAAGGAAAAAAAAATCGGATAATTATTGGTGGGCCAGTAAGAAAGAATAATCAATCCATCAAATAAGAAATTGGAAAAGAAGACACCCAGACAAGTCCAAACTCTCCCCCACAGGGATGACGCGACCCGACGCCCCCACCCACCCCCTTCCTTCATTGAGATTTCCGGTCAATTTATCATCATTTTTTTTTGTGGGTAAATAATTTATCATCATTTTCGTATATTTTATCCGTCTCATAATTATTATCCAATTTAAATTTTCATTTTTAATTCAAATTGTACCACAAATGACATAGCAAACTGGACAATAATTTTGGACGGGAATAATATCTTACGGCCTTGTGTTTTGTTTTGGCCTTGCATTTATCGTAGGCCTTTTTTATTCAGACAAAAAACTTTTATATCAATGCAATGGTTTCTTGGAAAATGAAGGGGGAGGAGAGAGGGCGTTACGTTAGGAGGTTGAAAATTACTCACTATGCATTAATCTATGAGAAAGAAAAATATTATTATCAGGTGAAAAAACGTTATTTCTTTAACAACTGTAAATACAAAGACACATATAACAGAATTCAGACTTTTGATCCATTGAATTTGTAAAGATACAAAACAAACAGTGGCAAGCGAATTTGAGACAAGCTCTTAGCTCACTAGATTAAGCTGGCCGAACCCTACAGACAAACCTTGAGACCATCATCTCTAACACGGGCTAATTCTAGTAGAATGCCGCCCACCCTAAATTGCATTTCACAGATCCTTAAAAAATCTCAAGTGGTCATCAAATGTCTCCCCGTGCCGGATTTTTGATACTGATCCATCATCTTCAACCTGAGAGATTGATTACGGTCCTCAGTAAGACAAAAGGAAAAAGTTTTAACTAGCAAAATCATACATAAGCCTAGTATAGTGCACGCAGAACAAAGTTTCCATTTCTTGCTCACCCTGGAAAGACACCACCAACCGGAAATGAAATCCATGTAAAACACTCAAATCTATCTACTCATTCCAATTTTATTCATCTTGTTTCCTATGAAATAACACTGTAAAATAGTAAGCCTCAGAGGTTGGTTGCAAAAGGGTTTAATATGTTTTCTCTTCATATCAACCTGAATCACAAACGCAACTTTAGCTGCCAGCAAAGAGTTCTGAAATTAAACATTAATTTAACAAAAGTTGATTGTTTACTGGGTGACCTTTTGTCTCAATTCAATGTTCTTTAAAGAGTACATACATTGGATTCATGATCACTTAAAAAGCAAATATAAGATTACTAACCCAGTATTCTGGAGGGCGCATCTTGAGATTGTAAGTTGATGCCATACTCATGCAGTATGCACCTGCATCGTGAACTACCAAGCCAGCACCCTGAAAGAAATATATTGAGATGAATATGAATTCTAAATATTGCAAGGACTATGTACCAAAAATAAGAGCTCAATTATTACCCTATCAGGAGTTGGAAGTTGTCTATCCTTCCCCAAGAAATCTGCAGACTCACAAACTGGACCCACAACATCAAAAGTGGAAATCTCGGCTTCACTTGGAGGAGGAGAAACCAGCTCAATGTGCTGTAATCAGTTTCGGCAAAAGATTATACATTAAACAACGCAAAAGATGTTAACATTTGAAGATTTAAGTCCTAAGAGAATAAAATTGTAGAGTGCATGACCGCCTATAATGGAACATTCTCGATAAATTAAAAAGCTACCATAATACTCTCCAAGACGTAGCACAGAGGCAGAGGGACATACAAGGATGAATTGCCCCACCATATTTTCCCATTTACCCCTTAACTTGGGAAAATTAACGAAAAAAGTCAATTATTGCCCCCACCATAATTTTATATCATAAGGGGCAAGTTTGTTTAGTAACAATATTTAAATTCTGCCCCCACTACATCTCCAGGGCCTAGCTCCGCCCCCTGGCATTGCATTGGAGAAAAATGAAAAGATAAAAAAGCGGTGAAATAGTCAAATATGATTTTTTTCTGTTTCTGTAGCTAATGTCATGACATCCTTCACACTCCAACTTTCACAATGACTAAAAAATAACTTTAAGGTTAGTACTTTGCATCAAGTTAAAAGGAGTTAACAACAAGTAAAAGTGAAGGAAAACCTTACTTGATAAGCATCATAGAGACTGGGACGAATCAGTTCTGCCATACTGCCATCAATCACAACGAAGTTTTTAGTTCCATTAGTTTTGACTCCAGTGACGCGATTAACCAAGCAACAAGTATTTGCAATAAGTGATCTGCCAGGTTCAATTATGAGATTGAGATTTCGTGAAAGCACCAACTCCCGAACCTGCAGCCACGACACACACACACGTAAGTGATATTATCCAATAAAATGCAGGTTTCCCTCTCTCTCTCTCTCTCTCTACACATCATGCATTTAAACGAGACTAAAACTCTGCTGAGGAAGATGTATTAAAAGATGTAAACATAGCACACATCTTCTGTTCTTGTCAACATATTAAGATAAAGGCTTAATTGACTACTACCAGTACTCCAATACAGTTACCTTATAAATTTCCCCTTTTGCTCAGCCATACAATAAAGGGAAAAGTTAGATTTCACAGCAGTAGAAGCCAGTTCATGCATAAAATCGAGGGTAGTTTGCCAACAACAAATCTATCATATGACATCTCACTAATAAGAAACTACATATGGTAGTTCCAGTGGTGGTCCTTACCGTGTCTATTAAATCTCTTGGGGAAGGAAGGACAGCTCCAGCATGATAATAATCAATTCCCAAACCACCTCCAATGTTTAAGTAATCTATCTCGAATCCTTGCTCCCGGATTTGGTCAATGTAGTTAACCATCAGAACAGCAGCATCTCTGAAAATGTCTACCTGTAGAAACACAAGCATTCCGGCTTGCATAAAGTGCATCCCTTTGACGGATATACATACAAAAGATATTGCATACAATCGAATTCAGAGAGCATTAAGTTCATCAAAAAGGTCCCGAAACATGAAAAGAACCAAACAGTAAACACAAATGGATCTTAAATGACAAGGAGAACAAGCAATGTAAAAGAACATGGATTGCCTGCAAACAAAGCTCTAATGAGAAGAATAGCATTTCCCCAACTTCAATCTTCTCTATCTTTCTGGCAGAAGAAGCTGGGGAACAGGGCAGCCATTAAAAACTATTGGTCAATCTTCATAAAGTCTACCGATGAACTAAAATGTCAACAATCATCAAAGCCATAAGCAAAAATGAACAGAAAGATGGGCACTACGAAATCAGTGTACCTTCGTAATGGTTGAACCAAGATGGCAATGTGCCCCAACAAGTTTTAGTTCAGTAGGATGCGCCTTCACAGCATCAAGAAACCACTGCAGCTTTTCGTTTCTGATACCAAATTTAGAGTTCTTGTTCCCAGTAGCAACATATGGATGGACCTGATTGAAGCAACATTAGACTATTAATTGCTTATGCATTTGATGCCTCATAGACATGAGAAAGAGCTCAACTACAGATTTAGGGGCCCAAATCTCCTGAATAAGTTAATGTTCGCTTTAGGGACAGACTGTATGGTGTTTAATTTCTGAATTTTACATGATATTCTTTCTGTTCCCAATAAGCTTGGTAAATATATACCTGAGGATCCACATCTGGATTAATTCGCAATAGAACATTCACTTTCTTTCCAGCAATTCTTGCTGCAGCAACTATATTCTCTAAGTCAAACTCACTGTCAACATTTACAAAGACACCTGCTTCAGCAGCTAGCACAAGATCCTCCAACAGCTTGCCATTTCCATTGAAGATGCACCTGGCGCAACCCCCAAAAAAAACATATATATTAAAGTAAGTTTGACTGAATATGAAACGTGAGATATCTTAGGCAAGATACATATGACTTTCTTAGTAATCCAGGGAAGCAAAAATATCAGCACCCTGGGATTAACTAGACATTCACACTAACAACAAGAATTCTTCACACCAACAATAACTTTCTCAACATTTGAATAGCAGCACTTAATTTCCAGAGCTAAACAACCTATTCTTTTGCAATTTAAAACATAGCCTTACAAATGTATCACGCTCAGTTCAAAAACTAACTATTAACCACCAAGAAAACGTAAAATTGGATAAGTAAGAATGAAAAAGTAATAAAGTCTTGAACAACCAACTAAGTTCGCCGTTTGCTGCAATAAATCTTCAAAGGAGCAACTTAACTAACAGGTCAAAGCGCTGACGTGAAACTAAAAGTGAAAAACAGAAAGAAAGTAATCTTTTTTCACCTCTTGGGATCAAAGCCAGCATGGAGCGCTAGCCTTAGCTCATTACCACTGACCAGGACAGCCCCACAACCTAACCCTCTCAAATGCTCCAAAATCTTGAGGTTATTATTCGCCTTAATAGCATAACCAATTATCGAATTCAAGCCTACCAATGCATCCTTATAAGCCTCAACGTTTCTAGTAATCTGGGGCTTGCTGTAAAGATAAAAGGGCCGTCTTTCGACCGAATCCATGATTTCCTGAACCTTAAGATTCTCGCAGTATAAAAACCCATCATCGGATTTCGTAAAACAGTGCTGAAATTTCTGGGTCGTTTTGGGTTCAGAGGCGGTTGACAGGGCAGCCCTAAGAGCGAGAGTTCTAGAGGCGAACTTGATGGGTAAAATGGGTTTGAGGAATAAGGAGCTGCTGGGGGGTTTGGGTAAGGATTTGGGAAGAAATGGAGTGCGGGAAATGAGATGTGTGTTTGTAGCCGCCATTGATGGTGGAGGAAGAAGAGTTGAGAGTTGACTGTATTCTCTGCAGCTCTACTGAGGGTTTAAGCCTACAAAGGCTTTTTTAAGGCTTAAGCATATCCACCCTTTTGGCACGTGATTAGATTATATTAGCTGCACATTAGATTATACTTTATTTTCCATATTCAGTAAACAAAGAGTTTATATTAGCTGCATATCAAAGTTTTTTCCCTTGTTTTATTAAAAAAGAAAAAAAAAGCTTCCATTCTAACTTTACTGTCAAACTATTCCCTCTATCCCAAAATTATTATCCAGTTTGAGAATTTATTTTTAGTACAATTTGAACTAAAAATTAAAATTCAAACTGGATAATAATTATGGGACGGAGGGAGTATAATATAGATCCTTTTTTCATATTGTTTACTTATGATTGTAAAAATGATTTACTAGATTAGAAAAATGACTTAAAATCACCAATAAAATGTTCAATGATATAGTGAGTGTAATAAAAGAGTGATGATCAATAAAGTGTTCAAATGATGTGTGAAAATATACATTTTTCTTGTTTGATAAAAACTGATAAGAAAAGATGCGGCTAAATTTCAAATCATCACACTTTACATACTTTATTTAACTCATATGAATCCGTTCATAAATTTATTAAGCAAATTACCACGACATTTTTTGTAATAAGAAAATGTAGGTAATGATTCGTTTTTCTATAAGTGAAAACTTGTTATTTGTCATCTATAAATATTTTTTTTGGCTTGTTAAGCAATAAAGTGTTGTCTAATGTTTCTTAAAAAAAAAAAAAAGTGTTGTCTAATGTTTGATGCGTACTAGAAATCAATCTGAACTGGATTTGACCAAGAAAATAATAGTGGAGCACCACGACAATGAATCAGCATTGCATTGCGGATGAGATTATGCGCAGGAGCTTTGTGCGTAAAAGTTGCTAATGGAGTCAATCATCAATGTTAACCGGTAAATCCCCAAAAGAGCAATTTAGGGTAGCAACAGTACATTTTCGAATTTATCCATAATTAGGAAGGGCTAAACATCTGCTCGAACCTCGAAAGTTAGACCAGAAATGTCGATACAAAAATTGATAACAGCACTCTATATAGTTTGTCCGTCAAATTATAAGCCACAAATTAATAAAAAAAATTAATTTATATTTATAGGACTAGAAGGAATATATGGTCTGGTTGGCCGCCTACTATTGCTCATTATTCCTGCTACTCAAATGATTAAATTAAATTACCATTTATCATCGAACCAGTGATACCTTTCAACTAAATTTTTTGTTTCAATATAGTTTATCATAACAATCAGGTCGTGTTTTATGTTTACAAATTGTCGAAAATTAAAAATTTTTGTGTTGAGGAGTTTAGCGGGGAAAAGGATGGAAAAAGGGACTTTAATTTGGTCTATCAATGAACATCTAGAAAAAGATTTAATAATAAGAAGCAAATTGAACGATGTGGGTTGCACTTAATCATGTTTATGATATGCTGGCAGGTGATTGAATATGTTTTTTTTTTGGGGGGGCAAAATATAAATGGCAAAGATAGAGAGATAGCAGAGAAGACAGGTCATGGGACAACGGAGACCTTGTCAAAACCATCATTCTGATTCTCTTTCTCGGTCTCTCTCTTCCCCATGTTTTTCTAACCTTTTTTTTTTTTTTAATAATTTGTTTTTGTGAAATTAATGAATGATCTTATGGATAACTATTGTCCATTGGAGTTTTCTTACTGCAACCCGCATTTTGTGAGACTTTTTTTTAATTTTCTGGTTGATTTAAAACTCTTGCCTTCCCTTCTTTCCAAAAGGTCCAGCATTTTTGTTTGTCACTGGTAATCTCTATTTCTTGTTCTTTCTCTTTCTCTCTAAAGAAAAAAAACTATATTTCATTGCATTCCCCTCCCTGCTCTTCAATTATCCTAATCTTACTTCCCACATTACCACATTGTATGGTTATCATATATTGTTCATTGCCTGTGTTTCTTTTTTGTGTAAGACTCAATGATGATGTTCATGATTGATGGTGCATTTGTTGTTGTTGTTGCTGTTGGATATTGCATTTTTAAATACGTATCAGATGGCATTATTGGTTTGGACACCAACCCATTTTCTTAGATTGACTTTTTGTTCTTTTCTTTTCATGATAATGTATAAGTTTCTGCCACCTTCTCTTTCTTGTGATAAATGTATCACCATATTTAAGGTTTTTATAGAAACGGGTTTTGGACAACAACATGTGATTTCTATGATACCAATTGGATTTTTCTGATCCTTGAATCAGCCCAGAGAACATGCATTGTTTCCATCATATATTTTGATGTCTTTATTTTCATTTTTTGTTGTTTGGTAAGTTTTTTTTTTTTTTTTTCTTCTTCTCTCCCGCGTTCTCGTTGCTTTCCCCTTTGCAATTATGTAATGCATCATCAGCTGAGTGTTTTTTTTTTTTTGGGTGGGGGAGGGGGCTATGAAGATGGCAAGTTTTTTTTTGTGTGATTGATTGAAGTTATTTTTGGTGGAACTGTTGTTTGGGTTGATGCCTGATGAAAGTGTTTTCTTGAAAGGTGTAGGCATTAAGCAAGTAAAACAAGTTCAGACATTGTACAAACCTTAAAAATTTGTTTCACTGAGATCCAATTAACTTGCAAATTGTGATCATGAGTGACACGATGTCTGGACCTCTTGAACGACCTTTCAGGCCAAGTAAGTTTCCTTCCACTCCTGATCATTTCTTTCAACTTCATTTTCTTGCTGAGGAAAGGAATTTTAATGGTGTGACGAATATTGGATTGTGGATGAGGTCTAGATAAATAACATAAAATCATTGAGATTTGATGCCGTAATTTGGAAGTAGTTGCAATGTTAGAGACTTGTTTTTCTGCCCAGAAGAGCAGCTATGGCCTCTTGGCCACGAATGAATTCTGCATTTTGTTTCATTTTCATAATGTGTTTGGGAGGTCTAAGTGCCAAATGGAATGGACACAGGTATGGAAAAGATCGACCTCGAGAACGTTGACGACGAGAGGAAGACCAGGCTTGGGTCTCTCAAGAAGGTGGCAATCAGTGCTTCCACCAAGTTTAGACACTCCTTGACCAAGAAGAGCAGGAGAAACAGCAGAGTCATGTCTGTTGTTTTCGAAGATGAGCATGATGCCGAGGAACTCAAGGCTGTTGATGCCTTGCGTCAGGCACTTATCCTTGAGGAGTTATTGCCAGCAAAACACGACGATTATCACATGTTGTTGAGGTTAGTTCATCTTAAAAATTATGTTAGGATCAAGGTATATTTGTTTTTCACTGTGATGCGAATGCTGAAAGGAATGGTGTATAATTTTTACTTATTTTCTAGTTCTTCTTGCCTTGAGTTGCTGAGATTCTCGAGTACTGAACTTTTTAAACTTGTGGTTGTTCAGATTTTTGAAGGCCAGGAAATTTGACATTGAGAAATCAAAGCAGATGTGGGCTGATATGATTCAGTGGAGGAAGGACTTTGGAGCTGACACCATCTTTGAGGTAACTTAGCAGACTCAATTACAAATTCTTTTGACAATGAAAACACTTGGCATTGGGAATTGATTAAGAACAACTCCATGTCCCTTTAGGAATTTGAGTTCAAGGAAAGGGATGAAGTCCTGAAGTACTATCCACAAGGACACCATGGTGTTGACAAGGATGGAAGACCCATCTATATCGAAAGACTCGGACAAGTTGATGCTGTCAAGCTGATGCAAGTCACAACATTGGACCGATATGTCAAGTACCACGTCCAGGAGTTCGAAAGGACCTTCATTGATAAGTTCCCTGCCTGTTCTATTGCAGCCAAGAAGCACATTGACCAGAGCACAACCATCTTGGATGTCCAAGGAGTTGTAAGTGGAGCTCATCCAGATTCATGTTCAAAAGCATCAATTTTTTTCCAGGAGTTGTTGCGCTTAAGCTTCATATGCTAATGACAAACATAATTTGTTCAGGGACTCAAAAACTTCAACAAGTCTGCCAGGGAACTCATTCAACGTCTTCAGAAGATCGATGGGGACAATTACCCTGAGGTACTCACTTCTTTCCATATTTTCTTACCTTTTTCTGAGCCAAACCAATTCAAACAATGAAGCTAACACCTTTACTCTTAGCTTAGTTTTCCAGATATGTTGCTCAGTGTTTTAACAATATTTCCTCTCCTAAATATAGACCCTTTGCCGCATGTACATCATCAATGCTGGCTCTGGATTTAGGCTCTTGTGGAACACTGTGAAATCCTTCCTTGACCCAAAGACCACAGCAAAGATCCATGTAAGCTTTATATCTTTAACTTCCAAATGATGTCTCTTCAATCAAGCCATGGCATAAATGTTGAGTCTTGAAATCTATCCAGGTTCTTGGCAACAAGTACCAGAGCAAGCTCCTTGAAATCATTGATGCCAGGTATTCTTCTGCCGGCTGAATGTGCTAAAAAAAGCAGGCATTCAGTCAAGTCTACTTCAGCATCACTAAACAAAGTTTCAATCTTGAAACCCTGTCATGTTTGAATTGGACATTAATATCTAGAATTCTTGTATCAGTGAGCTACCTGAATTCTTGGGTGGTACATGCACATGTGCTGATAAAGGTGGATGCATGCTTTCTGACAAAGGCCCATGGAATGACGTTGACATCATGAAGGTTAGTTTATTCGCTGCAATATCTGATGGCATACCAAAATTTTTGCACATTTGAGTTGTTAAAATGTGCTCTTTTGATTCACCAGATGGTTCGCAATGGTGAGCACAAATGCTCTCAAAAAATCGTCATCCCATGTGATGAGAAAACCATCTCTGAGGATGACAGTGCCACCACTAAGGTATGAACTGAAATGATCATTGTTGATTGATCTGTTGGTGTATATTGCTTATGCTTTTATGTCCCCTGGTAATACCTATGAGCTGCATTGGCTTTTGATAGTTCTGAATTAGTATGCATTATTGTTCCTTATTTGGTTTTCGTTAATGTTCTGGAATGCACAGAAGAACAACTCTTTCAAATCAGATTCTCCAAGAGTCCAAAAGACACAACAGCTCTCCACTGTTCAAGAGGAAGTAAGTATTCTGTATTCCTTTAAGCATTAATGCTTATTTTAGTTTCTGTTTACTTAGAAACTAAAATCTATGGGTTCACTGGTGATCAAATGAAATTTCAACTAAGGGAAGACTTTGTTTTGCAGGTATTTAGCAAGAACTATCCCATGGCAGAGCCTGAGATGTCTATCCCAATGGTGGACAAAGTTGTAGATTGGCCTAGAATGACCAAAAGTGACGCATTCGCCCTATCCAAATGTATAACCATCTTTATTTGATGACACTCTTCTTCATCTCATCTGAGATGTGTTTGCTACATCACTCGTACATATTTTTTATCCAAAAATCTGACAGTATTCTGATGATTCTTTTGTTGTTTGCATGTAAAGCCAAGCACTATTTCCCAGTAGATGATGCTTGCAAGAACCATCCTGATGGGTTTAGCAATCATTTATTCAGTGGTGTGATGACATTTGTGATGGGCATCGTCACAATGGTGCGCATGACACGCAACATGCCAAGGAAGATCACAGATGCAACTTTCTACTCAACTGGTTCTATGTATGGCGTTGAAGCCATGATCAAAGGCCAGGCTTATGAGATCCAAGCACCGGCCATCTCCAGCGCCGATTACTTCACCATGATGAAGCGCATGGCGGAACTGGAAGATAAGATGATCAATCTCACCCAGAAGCCACAAACCATGCCTCCTGAGAAGGAGGAAATGCTCAATAATGCCTTGAGCAAAGTTGATACCTTGGAGCAAGAGCTTCAATCAACCAAGAAGGTAGGTGTTTTTCTCCTTTCTTTACTTTGCTTCATGCTTCTTTACCGTCTAGCATAATGAAAGTCGGAGATACTGAGGCTTATCCTATCAGTATTGAATGTCTTCCAAATTGGTTTTGTTTACTGTCTAAAACTATTGCAGGCTCTTGAGGATGCACTGGTGAGACAGGAGGAACTCTTGGCCTATATTGAGAAGAAGAAGAAGAAGAAGAAGTTCTTTGGCTTCTAAGCGCAGGAAATCAATCTATGTTGAAGCGTGTATAGGGAAAAAGGCTAGAGCCAATCTTTTTTTGTCTTTGTGCTCCATAACAATGTTCGCATTGTCATTTTTTTTCCTTCATTTCAGAGGCTTTGTATATTACCTATATATATATATAAAACCACATTCTATATATATATGCATATATATATGAGGAACTCCATTCCATGAGAATGTGTAGTGTTTGCTATGTGGGAGTTTTGGAGTTTTGTTTTGTTTTCACCATTTTATTTTTCTTGACAAAAGAACTGATGGAGGAACCTCTCCACAAACGTGTGTTTCCCTATTCAAATCTGTTTGAAAATGATGAATGATGGATTTGGATTTTTAATTTTTATTTTTTTAGTATTTAGAGTCATTGACTGCATTATTTGATGTTTATTTGGATTTGATTGTTAAGATTTGATTACCAGACCAAAATATTGTCACGTTTGAGATTTTACTTTTAGTACAATTTGAATTAAAAATAAAAATTCAAACTGGACAATAATTATGAGACGAGGGAGTAATAGACATGGCAATCTTCGAATAATGAATGCTGCTTTCCATTTTTCCAGCAAACTTGTCAACACCAAGTAGATAAAAAATATTGAACCTCATTGAATTGCTAACTTTCCATTTGACGACGACTGTCTCATTCTAAGTTATTTAACATCAACGAAATGCAGGGCTGTTTTCAAAATGACACAAGTGCAACAAAAATTTAGTCACCAATGTACACTCAATTTTCAAACCATTCGCATTGATCAGAGGATAAAGGTTTCCACACTTTGAAACAACATCAACGGGGTAGCTGAAACATGATGTACAAACATTACATACATTTCTCACACAGCAAAAAGTGCAAGTCACCTCACATTTCAACATGAATCCGCCACCTTCAACAAAGGTGCGCATGTGATAAACATCATACAAAAGAACCATGTAAATTGCATTGGTCAATCAAACTTTTTAACATCGCCTCATCATAGCTCACCAGCAAGACTTCTTTTTCTGCATACGACACGGAAAAGGGAAAAAGTAATCAGAACACCTTGAACAACCAAAATTTTCAAACAGAATTTTGCCAGGGATGGGGATGCAGCGACAGCTAAGCATCAAAGTTAAACGTAAAAATGTCATAATAAACAGGGATTTTCGTGAACATACCCGAAACTTGGCTTCTTCTTGAGCGTCAATGTAAGCAAGCAGCTCTTCTTGCCTCATCAATGCTTCATGCAGAGCCTAATTATTGACAATGAAATTATCAATATGAAAATGAAAGAACAGAAAAGCATAAAACCAGAAGACTTGCACCGTTTAAGCCAGATACTCCTTCAGTGGTAAGGAATTTACAGCAGTATTTTGAAACAAAAAATGAAAAGGGATTCTTTAAAGCTTGAAAAACTGTTGATACTAATTTCTTTTCACCAAAAGGAAATGAAAATTGTGAATTTTCGTAAAGCTATTTAAGGATACCAAAGGATTTGGACAGGCAGAAGCTGATAATTCTCAAGCAGGCAAAGAAGATGGGAAAATTAATCTAATTGATAAATCAGAAGATCTAATCAGGGTCAGACCACAAACCTTTTTCGTTGCAATTAACTCCGCCTCTAGAGCATCCACTCTGCAAACAGCTGCATTCAGTAATTCCTCTTTTTCGTATGGCATCTCAGATGGCTTTGCTTGAAGTGTACTAACTTTGTCTTCTAGCTCACCCAATCTTTTCACAACAGAAGAGAGGAGCTCTGCCTCACTAAATGCAGGTGTCGGTGAAGGGGGCCGAAAATCTTCCTTGCCTACGTCCCCAAATGAAAATTCTTTAGAACTTTGATCCTGGATAGACGACGCATCTGGAAGTTTTTTCGAGACACGGCCAGTTACCGAACGGAAGAACATAAAAAGCGCCGTAAAAAAGGTCATAAGGGTTGCTAAAACTCGAGCACGGAGTCCTTGTGGCGCCTTTGGAGTTTCAGGCAGGATCATCCCTGAATTTCAAGTTCGAGTCAGACTTCATAACAAATGACATCAAAACGATTCTAATTAAATGAAATGATCTGCAACTAATGAAGAGGAGAAAAAGCACCCGATAACAGATCCAATTCTAATCCTCCCTCTATACGATAGTGTACATAATTTCTTCCAGGGGTATTTTAATAAGGCACAATCATGGTGCTATAGAAGTTCAATGCAATGAGTGATCCTGATTCATCAACCATCAGAGGATAATGATATTCACTTCTAATTTATTAAATATTTTCTCCTGAACAGTAAGAAGTATTGCTTTACAACTGAATGATGTAGTCCATTCTTTTAAGAGATAAGTAAAACGTTGAAATTTTAGGTATAATGAGGTGGGAAATGATAAAGACGAAAAAAATTTCCTTTTCCACAGTATGTTTGAATGGGCATATCAAAGAAAACACATGGAAACTGGTGCCTACTCTGAATATATCAAATGACATCAAAACGATTCTAATTAAATGAAATGATCTGCAACTAATGAAGAGGAGAAAAAGCACCCGATAACAGATCCAATTCTAATCCTCCCTCTATACGATCGTGTACATAATTTCTTCCAGGGGTATTTTAATAAGGCACAATCATGGTGTTATAGAAGTTCAATGCAATGAGTGATCCCGATTCATCAACCATACGAGGATAATGATATTCACTTCTACTTTATTATATATTTTCTCCTGAACAGTAAGAAGTATTGCTTTACAACTGAATGATGTAGTTCTATTCTTTTAAGAGATAAGTAAAACGTTGAAATTTTATGTATAATGAGGTGGGAAATGGTAAAGACGAAAAATATTTCCTTTTCCACAGTATGTTTGAATGGGCATATCAAAGAAAACACATGGAAACTGGTGCCTACTCTGAATATATCGCCTGCACTTCTATAGGTGCAGTAATATCTATGCATCTACACAAATTTATGATAGTCCACATACTACATACCTTGAACAGTGTTAGGCTTTTGAAGGGGTGCTTGCTTCTTCCATCCAGAATCAACTGCCTTATCCACCATAGGAACATATTCATCATATCCGGAAAGCTTATTGACATAACCCGATGTTCCCATAGCCTTAGCCTGTATGAGAGAACAGATCAGAACATAAAATGTTTACATACATGCTTCGATTTGATTTGGAACCCAGGGGACAGAAAGAGGACAGAAAAAAATGAAAAGACAGATTTTGTACATTTTTGCATTAAATTTTACAAGTTTATTGACATGAACAAAGTTTTGAGATAAACAACTAAAAGTTGGCGGGGTAAGACCACCACCAAAATCTACGGATAATTTTTTTCTTTTTCTTTTTTTTTTAATAATTAAGCTATTTGACCACATAACAAAAGCCAACAGAACTTAATGTTTCTAAATTTCAACTACCTCTTCACGAACAGGAGTGAGGCGAAGATGAGAATAAGTCCTAATAGCTTTTGGTGAAGCAATATCTTCAGCTTCAGATCCTGACTCGGCAGTGGAAGTATCACTGCCTCTTACCTGTTCAACAAAACAATGAAGAAGTTATAGGCATGATACGAACAGAATCAAACCTAAAAATAAATACATTAAAAACCAAAAGAATTTAGCAACACGATACCATGGAATAGTGAGGCTTAGCATAAACCACCTTCCCATCACTGTTCAACACTTTAACCACCTGCCTTGCACGCCGTGTTTCACCATTAAGAACTATCTGCATCAAGAAACATTCAAGAGAATTGCCTATAAGATTCCACTTAAGAGATTTTACCAAAACAGACTTCTACCCCAACAAAAGAGCATATTCAATCCCAACATTAGGAAAGGGTAACTAGAGAGGCTCAGAAAGTTAAGGACCTTCATGATTTCAGGATTTTTCCAAGGGCCTTTATCAGAGCGTAGGCAACCCCCAGCATCAGCACAAGTACAAGTGCCACCCAAGAACTCTGGCAGCTCACTGCATACACCCAAGACATAATTAATAACCGGTCAAGTGAGTGACAAACTGGTTCAGTAGAAACCATCAAATCATCCTGAAAAAATTGAATTAGTCACCCACCTGGGATCTATAACTTCAAGTAACCTGCTCTGGAACTTGTAACCAAGAACCTACAAAATTATCCAAGTTAGCAAGGTTTGCTAATAGAGTTAATGCAGCTTTACAATTTACCAGATGGACTCGGAAAAGAATGAACAAGATTTACATGAATCTTAGAGGTCGTCTTGGGATCCAGAAAGGATTTAACAGTACTCCAGAGCAATCTAAATCCAGGACCGGCATTGATAATGAACATTTGATGGAGAGTCTACACAAATTACAACAACAGGCATCCACATTAGTAATTTGATTAAACATCAGAACACAGAATAGCAGACATCTTGCGTCAGATAAATTAAACCTACCTCAGGATAATTGTCACCATCAATCTTCTGGAGCCGTGTGATGAGATCCCTCGCACTCTTTGTCAGATTCTTTAACCCCTAAACATAGGAACAAGTACATGTTATAACCAAAATAAAAGATTTTGTTTATATTGTCTCAGAAGATGAGAAGTACTAAGGAAAGGAGGATAGAAGGTAACATACTATGCCCTGAACATCCAAGATTGTTGTACTCGAATCAATGTGCCTTTTTGCAGCAATTGTGCAAGCAGGAAATTTAACGGCAAAGGTTCTCTCAAATTCCCTCACATGGTATCTCACGTAACGATCCATTGTCGTAACTTGCATTAGCTTGTTCGCATCAACCTTCCCCAACCTTTCAATATATACAGGTCTTCCTTCCTTATCAACACCATGATTACCATGAGGATAATACTTCAAAACGTCAGTCAACTCTTCATATTCAAAATCCTGAGTGAATATGCCAAGGCAAAAATCAAGTTAGAACCTATTTAATTAAATGAAAAGATAGCTCTAAAGAATCGAAGTGTAGATTAGTATAAAATCCATCTATGCCAAGCAACCACTTCGGAAAACGCTCTCTTTTAAATACCTCCATAACTGTGTCAGCGCCAAACTCCTTCCTCCACTGGATCATATCAGACCACATTTGCTTTGCTTTTTTGACATCGAAACCTCTCGCTTTGAGGAACCTAGGTGGAATTTTTCAGGACAATTTCAACAAATTAACGCTGAGGTTGGGAACAAATTCCACATCCGTGTAAGCGATAAAACATTTTGTAGCAACTTCTTTTCAGTTCAAATGACTAATCATGCAACCAACCTTGTGAGGTAATCTCAAACCCCCAACAAAATGCACTAAAACCCTAGCAACTACCCAAACAAATAATATGCTTTAAAATAGCATGATTCAAACTTCAATTCCTCCATAACACAAGGAAATCAAACAGATTTTTTTAGCAATTAAATAATCAAAGCTAGATGTGATCCAGTAAAAAATGGACAAAATACCATCTATTGCGACTGAGAACACTAAGCAACTATACAAGACTAACTTAATGACATCTCAACTCATCTTACCTTATCATCTGACTTTGTCATCTACATTCTTTTATTAACTGCGTACGTTGTTACTTACAATCAGAAACCAATTTCTTATTTACTAGACTAAGAATGAGAACGATACACTTCAATCAGAAATCTCATAGACATTGAGGTGATTAAATGAAAGAATAAAGTGAAAAGTTTTACCTCAACATCATATGATAATCATCAAATTTGTCAGGCAATAATTCATCCAGAAGCAATGCCTGTCGGAACGCATCAACTTTCTGTAGCTCCTCAGCATCTCGAATGTCCTCAATTGAAACGGAGCTGACTCTACCATCACTTTTTCTTCTGCTGCTCTTCTTCTTGAGCGAATGCTTGAATTTAGAGGATGCATTCAGAGCCTTCTTTTTCAAAGAACCAATCCTTGTCCTCCTCTCATCCTCAGAATTCTCAAAGTCGGATTTTCTCTCTCTTTTCTCATCATTTCCAGAGGAACCCTCAAAGCCTGCCATGAAACCGTAGCCAATGCGGATGAGTAAGATTGACTAAGGCAGGGAAAGGGGGAGGCATAATTTTGACAAAGAAAAGTTTTCTTGTAAGAAATATTGGAACAGTAAGCCCCGCTCAAAAAATTCTCAATCTATGATGCTTTGACTGAAATGCAGAATTCAAACAGACTTAAATGCCCAAATTCAAATTACAATTGAACTTTTTTTAAAAAGCAGATAAAGGTGGACAGAAATAGGGCAAAAGTTTTCAAGCAAAAACCACAAATTATGAACAAATTCTGGTCTTGAATAAATTCCGAACAAGGGAATAATCATGCGCCAGTCCAACAATTACAAGGATCGATTCATGAGCAGAGAAAAAAAAAAAAGAAGAAGAAGAAGAAGCTCAGAAACCCACAAATTCATGACTTATACCCAGCAAATCAAAGAAAAATCAAAACACAACACAAAATGCGGTGAGGGGAAAAAGAACAAATTGAATAAAGAATAGTGAAATTCAACTCACAAGGTCTGGCAAATCTATCCAGCGGCCCCGACATCGCGAACAAATATGAGCAGGATGAAGCAAGCTGAGCTGAGCAAAAGCCACGGTCAACTTCTCAAAATCCTGGATAATCAATTAATCAACGATTCAAGAATCATAATCACCAGTAACACAAATTAAATAAACTCAAATTCACTTGAGCTACAATCACAAAAACCCTAGGCAAAAAAAAATTAGGTGAGGTTGGAAAATTTCTAACTGAAGAAGTTGTTCCGACTTTTAGTAAAGGAGAGAAGAAAAAGAGAGAGAGAGGGGAGAAGTGGTAGTACCTTGAAAGTGTCGGCGTGGATCACGAGAATAATCCGACGGTGAGTAAATGCATCAGACGTAACGGAAAAACAATATAATAAAATCGGGAGTATTTACTAAGAACAAAGATGACTGTTACGAAAAAATGGTGTATCGCCGGATTGATCGACGGCGATGACGGAATGAAAGTTAGAGAGAGACAGAGAAAAAGGGGAAAAATATATAGTCGTAAAAAAAGGAACCTGGAAGTCCTAAATTGAAGGGGGGAAAGATTAACTGTGCGAGCTGTCCTATTACTGTACGTTAAGGCGGAGTAAAGTGGGACCCGGTGTCCCATGACGATAGAATTACACGTGGCATTTCAGAAGTTACAGAATAACAAGGATTCCGCCGGCGGTAATAAGCTCTACCTCGTATTTTTCGCTAATATGACTAGTCTCACTGTGTATTTATACCACATGTTTTATAGTAGGTGTAATAAATATTACAGCGACCAAAATAAAATAAAATATTCCTTCCGGTCCTTAATATAAAATATTTTTATTTTATTTTAAGTTTCTCCTAATATATTTTTTTAATTGATACAAAATTTTAATAATATATTTTCACATTTGTTATAATTTCTTGATTGTAAAACAAACTCATGTCACAACAATTTTGTTTTCCTAACCTAATTGAATATAGATTAATTTTAGCTCGAACGAAATGAACTCTATTTGAGACAAATGTCTTCCAATAATTTACTACTCCTACTAGCATTTTTTTTCAACACAAATTTTGTACAGTCATTTTTTCCTACCGCCTACATTATTCTAAAAGAAAAAGAAGATATTGTACAACTATAGATTTTTATTTTATTTTATTGTTGTGTGTCGACATTGATTAAAAAAAAAAGGTTCTAAATGGATGACTTTCCTTAATGTCAATGCCTTTGTATTGTCCATAGAAAAAGATTCAATTTGAATTCCTTCTATATATTCCCTCCGTCTCATAATTATTGTCCACTTTGCCCAAAAAATTTTATCTCAAAATTATTGTCCAATTTGACTATTTATGGATCAAGTTACACATTTGTCCTTAGTAAACAACATTATCCATTAAAATCTTTATGGTTAAACAATTACTTATGTAGGGATATATCCGGTTGTTCAAGATAAAATATAATTAAGTTTGACTAAAAATAAAATATTTCATTTTTGTAAAATTGGACAATAATTATGGGACGGAGGGAGTATATTTCAACGAATATTTTTTTGTCTAAAAACTTTCTATATTTGAATATCTTTCACTATTCCTACTTCAAATAAAGAGGTCAATTTTGAATCCTATTTCTTATCTAACTTCCTAACTTGACTGACCATCACGGTGGCTAATGACTCCTACCCAATTTCCTTTGCCACTCTTTTTCTTCTTCTTTTTTTTTTTCTTTCCAATTAGTGTGTGTGTGTGTGTGGGTGAAATGGGTTAAATAGCACTCGTATTATGGATGTTATATCAGTTAAAAGCCTACAACTTTTCGTTTTATGAAAAAAAGGGGTCAATAAACTGAAACCTATAAAAGTATAGATACCTATAAACTGAAACCTATGTCCTAACTCTTTTTTCCATTTTCCCTATGGAGCTCGAATAAATACGCCTACCTAAAATTTGCTTCCCAGGGAAGAAAGAATAAAACGTGAAAAATGCAACAAGATATAGAGTAATAATTGAATTCAGATTAGGGGTTTTATTTTCATGAGCCAACTTTTAACATTTTCTCTAAAATGCATCATTCCTTTCATATGGATTTATGTCATATTTAAAATTTGTGTCGCGAATTATCATCTCTATAATCAAGTATATATCATGTATTTTCTCTGTCTTAGAATGATTATGTAGTTTAAATAAAAATTTAAAATTAACAATAATTTTAGGACATAAATAGTATACGTATTGGAAAAGTAAAACAAAAACGGAAATAAGAATGAATGGACAGTTAAGTAAGAATACAAAAAGAAAGAACTTTTGAAGACTCGGTAGTAATATTGGGGAGAAGTTGCCAAAGAGCTGGCAAATTGGAGGCTTTTGAGCTTTGACAACGTACGCTTTAGGTGATTAATTGATAATTCTTTTCTTTATAAACAACTGATCATCTAAATACAAATCTTTTTCATCATTTAAAATAAAAAATTAATAAGACAGATGGTACCAACTAGGCATTCCTTTGACATTGATGGATTGATCAGAATCTTGGACATGTATCTCAGATTCTTCTCATCATTAAGCCCGCGCTTAGCCCTTTTGACTTTGTCCGAAACGAAGAAGCACAAAAAGAAGAATGAAAAAAGAAAAAGGAATAGCAGATGGAAATTGCTAAAAAAATAAAATAAAATAAAATAAAAATTCTAAGTTGAAATTGGGCCGAGGTAAATGCCGACTGGGCCAGGTTGGTTAATTCACCGGACAGGTGCTCTGACGATATGCCGTTTTCTGGAGGAATTTGGTGAACAGGAAACTCGAAATGTCAATCATTTATTAGAGCTACCAACTAGAAGAACGTTATCAAGCTAAAACTGGTAAACTCGTGAGAAAATAAGTTAAATTTCTTATTTTCCTTTTTGTTTTCAATAATATCAAAAAAATAATAAAATAAAAATGAACAAGTACTTGGTCTAGCGCAAAAAGTAGGTATTATACCAGCATAATTATAATAAGGGTTTGAACTTTGAACTTTGAACCTGTAAAAATTGTTTAAATACGTATTGGTTTTTTTTTGTTTTTTGTTTTTTGGGGGAGTTATTTATCTTTCAAAAAATTCTCTTCAATTCGGATGAAAATTAATGAAAATTAATGAAGATAGTGGCTTTGGACACTGATGCATTGTACCGCAAAATAGAAGAAAATCATTTGATTATTTTCCTCTCTTCTTTTTCACGAGTAACTTTTACTTAAGTGAATCAACTCATTTAAAAATATGATTTCATTGAGCTTTATACTGTGGCAATTTGTAAAAGCGCGTTTCCGGCAATCCAGGTTATAGTATATAGCTCCTAGGTATACTTAATTTGAAATTCACGCGCCCAAAAAGAAGGTAAAAAAAAGAATTTTAAAATTTTCAATTTCTTAATATCTCTTATAATTTTCAGCCATCATTAACCATATCCATCCAACTTCCTATTCCAATCTAATGACATCTCAAACTAAAAAATCTAAAAAACAAAATATTCTCTGCAGTGATTTGGTATCAAAACTTCTCGTCGGCGGTATTTTTGAAGACGAAATCCGATTGTACATCAAATCTTGTGAGTTTGGTTGCAATATACGCTGCTGAATATGAGAATTACGGTAAGATTTGAGATTATTCATCTATTTTGTGTTTTGTCCGGAGAATTTTGGAAAAAATTAATAGATCTAGGTGCTATTCATCAGTTTAATAGATCTATTTTGTGTTTGTCCGGTGGCAAAGATTTGAGATTATTCGCGTCGATTAGTTTTGTTGATCGATATGTGATTGATTTTGGAAAAGATTAATAGATCTAGGTGTTCTTCATCAGTTTAATATGAGTATTCATCTTTAAAACATGTTATTTCGTCGATATTCTAGTCTTGTTTATCGCTTTGTGGTTGATTTCAGAAATATTCATAGATCTGGCATTATTTTTTATCTCGGTTTCATTATTCATCATCAATGTGTGATTATTTTAGTCATGTTTATTCATCATTTATCATCGATTAATGATGTTAGTTCATCAGTTTCTTAGTTTTGTTCATTGACCTGTGGTTGATTTTGGAAAAGATTAATAGATCTAGGCTTTGTTCATCAGTTTAATATCATTATTCATCTTTAAAACATGTTAGTTCATTGATGTTTTAGTATTGTTCATCGATTTGTGGTTGATTTTAGAAATCATATTTTGACATTATTATCTATTTATGGTGGTTATTCATCATCTCGATATCATTATTCATCATCAATTTTGGGTTATTTTAGTCATGTTTTCTTCTTCTATGAAATGTTTATTCATCATCTATTTCAAGTTGTTCATTATTTTCGCTTAGTTATTTATTCTAGTTGTGATACAAACTACAATTGATGTTGTTCATCATGTAATATGTGATTGTACACAATTATAAATATGTATCATTAATCCTGTAAAATAGTGTTTTTCATCCTGTCAATATATATCATTCATCGTTTGAACATGTGTTATTCATTCCGTAGATATGTGTATTCATCATACAAATATATGTCATTCATCACCAGTTATGTTGTTATTCATCATGTAATATGTACCGTACACAATTGTTATCAACTGGATTCGATTTATGTAATTTTAATATTTATTCATCATTTTCAAAATGATAATTCATCTTCAATAGCATTGTTATTGATGATTAACAGAGTTTTGATTGGATGTGAAATCTCATTTATTGTAATATTTTTTTGTTTGATCAACGGCAAAGAAACACTCATCAAAATGAACACGATCGGTCGAGAATCAAATATTTGACAGAGTTGTTGAAATCAAACAATTAACATATAGGTGTTGAGCATCGGTGAATCATTCAAGACCGTATATGTTAAAAACAATGACTAGTGTTATTAATAATGTAAAATAGTGTTATTCATCTTGTAAATATATGTCATTCATTGTTTGAACATGTGTTATTCATTCCATAGATATGTGTATTCATCATGCAAATATATATCTATTCTTCATTTTATTATTGTTATTCATCTTGGATGAGATCATTATTCATCAACATTTGCTTCGTTATTCATCTTTGTAAATATCTATATTCATTTCAAAATTTTAAATTTATTTATCTATAACTTTGTCACTATGAGAACACCATTATTCATCCAAAAAATTATTATTATTCATCGATGGGAATACTATTATTCATCCGAATAAACATCGTTACCTACTAAAATCTTCCATATTTGACGCTTAATTCTCCAGATTTCATTGATAATCAATTCAAATTTTTTGCTCCAATTAATTCTTTGAATTTATAAGTTTCGATGATGAATCATATTCAATTTTACGCAAATAAAATCCATAGCTAGAAAAAAAATTTCTCATAAAATAAAATAATATAAAAGATAACATGATAAGCAAAAAAGAAAACGGTTTAAAATTAAATGTGTGAGAAAAAAATAGGATGAGAATTGGAGGATTTAATGGGCGTATAACTGAAAATTAGAAAAAGAAATAAATCAACTTGTGTAAAAGGAGAGTGTATTACACATGTCCAGAGGTACACCTTACAAAGT